TATTATTGTCTCTCCATTTACCATGGCTGACTGCACTAATACCCTTTTAACAGTGGACACCGATATCAGTATACATGTAGGCTTTTTGTTCAAAAAGGAATATGCAGGAAATTATATGTAACAATTAACTGTGTACTAATTACATGTTTGAATGTTATCAGTTTTACGTTCTGAGATAGTGATGTAAGCATCTTCTAAAATCTTCTATAAATATAATGAAATACAAAACTCTCTGCCGTAATTTTTTTGTGGAAATCATTCGATCAAGTAAAAATGACTGCGTGACAAGACGAATCAACTATTTATACCCGATAAAAGAAACTGCCGTATTTTAGGAACAGTGCTATAACAAGACATTTGAAATTTCTAACAAGCAGATACATTAGAGACAGTGACTAGACTACAGGTACGTAATCCGTATCAATTAAAGGTGTAAAAAAACCTGAAAATCATATCTGTCGGAGACCTACCAAATTACCAAGTTTTATCATTACTATATTTATTACAATGCAAATACTTTAGTGATACATTTTTTAGAGGAGAGGGCATACACACAAGTATATTGCTTCCGTGTGTGAATGCAGGTTGTACTTGGTATCTCAGTTCATACCGGTTGTATAACTGAATTTGTATATGGAACCATGCGTACAGCATGACAATTACTTGCTATTCGTCAGTTTACAACACACATAACACGGTCAAACAATCTTAGGCACCGCTTTTGCGAGTTATTTAGTACAATAATGTTTTATTAAAATCTATTTCAATTTGTTTTCACCATTTTCCCTATTGACAGTCGTTGTTACGTGCGTCACTAGGTAATTAGTGCGGATTGACCTTGTTTATTGTTTCTATACTTTGAGGATTTCTGTGGCAAGTGGCGGACGCAATTCAAACTCCTTCCGCACTGACACCGCATCAAATATATTTGTGTTACGATTACATAACTCTAATGGACAGGGTGGGGTGGTAGTTCACGGGACGACACTGTGTATATTGGGCGGCTCCTTTGATATCTCCTCCAAACATACGTTTATTGAATGACCCAATTAAACGATGATACACATCTCGATGAATATATCAAGGCACTAATTCACCTTTCATAAACATTTTTTTGTCCTTCGGCTTAATATATCCACATATCAACGAACATTTGTAAAACATGTATCCTAAAAAAAATAAACATTTTCAGGCTAGGTATTTGCCCACAGCAACACCTGCATAACTGTTTATTCACGCGGGGTGTGGTAGATCGTAATTGACCGAGAGCAGGTATTGTAGAATCACCTGTAAATAAGGCCGACACTGTAATTAGATACAACGTACTAATGAGAATTATCATAAGAAGGCTGTTGTTTTTTCTGAACTGTTACCATTTTCATACCAAAAGTGACAATGCAGTTAAAAGTTGCTTTAGTGTCACAATATTCACTCACGTTTTCCTCAATCGCATTGAAACATAATTCCCACTGGTCAGTTCGAAATCGCATGTAATTAAATAATTATTTCGAGATTTCGTTAGAATGTAAGATATTCAGCCAAACGTTATGCAATAAAAGACGAATAGTTTTTTTCATTAAAATACGCGCACGCGTACCTGTATATTGCATACCTAGTGTCACGTAATTGCCCAGTGTGATGTATCAACGGGACATAAAATGGGAAATGAAATAGAAACTAACTAAAATTTAATGTTGTGGAAAAACTCCAATGAATTGGAGTACACGCACATGAATTCGTATGATAAACTGTCAAAACGTTTTGAGAGGTAAGGCCGGGTTCATTAAAGATCGCTACAATATGTAAAACAGGTGAAATTTGTAGAACTAAAGGAAACATCCAACCAAATGCCCTTTTTAAATAGTAATGTAATGATATAATATAAAGTATATTTCACATGATACAATATACTTTGCAAACAGTTAGTTGATGCTTGAAAGGGACTGACGAAAACATGGGCGAAATATTTTAATAACGCCGTAAAATAGTTGAATTAAGTAAAAATTAGTTAAATGTTGTGTCATGATACTTGAAAAAATACATTTAATGTATTTGCGAAACAAAAACATGAGTTTTGAGTAAAGGAACATGTTCTCGCCCATGGGCCTGCCCATGGGCCAAACCTTTTCTCGCCCATGGGTGAAATATTTCAATATCGCTATAAAATCGTTGAATTAAGTTAAAATGAGTTTAATTTTGTGTCATTATACTTCAATGAATATATTTAATGTATTTGCGAAACAAAATCATGAGTTTTAAGTAAAGGAACATATACTCGCCCATGGGCCAAACCTTTTCTCGCCCATTGGCGAAATATTTCAATATCGCTATAAAATCGTTGAATTAAGTTAAAATGAGTTTAATTTTGTGTCATGATACTTCAATAAATATATTTAATGTATTTGCGAAACAAAATCATGAGTTTCAAGTAAAGGAACATATTCTCGCCCATGGGCCAAACCTTTTTCTCGCCCATGGGCGAAATATTTCAATATCGCTATAAAATCGTTGAATTAAGTTAAAATGAGTTAAATTTTGTGTCATGATACTTCAATAAATATATTTAATGTATTTGCGAAACAAAATCATGAGTTTCAAGTAAAGGAACATATTCTCGCCCATGGGCCAAACCTTTTTCTCGCCCATGGGCGAAATATTTCAATATCGCTATAAAATCGTTGAATTAAGTTAAAATGAGTTAAATTTTGTGTCATGATACTTCAATAAATACATTTAATGTATTTGCGAAACAAAATCATGAGTTTTAAGTAAAGGAACATATTCTCGCCCATGGGCCAAACCTTTTTCTCGCCCATGGGCGAAATATTTCAATATCGCTATAAAATCGTTGAATTAAGTTAAAATGAGTTAAATTTTGTGTCATGATACTTGAATGAATACATTAAATGTATTTGAGAAACAAAAACATGAGTTTTAAGTAAAGGAACATATTCTCGCCCCTGGGCCAGACAGGCCCATGGGCGACATAGTCTAAATATTGAGTTTTTAAACAATTTTTTTTCATTTTTTCTTCCTTGGTATGTTCCCATGAAAACGGCATGTTTAATTTTGTAAATACCTTTAACCGAGACTGGGCAAAGAGCGTAGAGTTTCTGGACTTTTGGGTATCCAGAATTAAAATGGGACGTGTTACTATATCAAATCATCATCATATCTGAAGCTTAAGTTAAACTTCCCGGTCATATTCCCTTGGTTTGATTTTACTAATCCGAGCAGAAATTCAATTCACATACATAAAGAAACATATTAGCAAGGAGGGGAGCACATTTGGTACCCAACGGATGTCTTTTGCCTACATTTTGTATCCCCAAATTTCACATATAATTTTATTGCAGTGTTATTTATTGTTAAACAATGTTGTATTTGTATTACATTGTTTAATTTAGATTCAGTAGAAGCTCATAGCATTGTGCTTTTACAATTATTAGTTGTCAAGAATGTAGTACTATATAATGTAAACAGTGGTGTAGAAGTTATTATATTCAGATGCGTGTGGGATCAAATGTAATCTATAAACCACTGGAAGGGATTTAGGTGAGGTGAAATGGTGTTCAGCGTCGCGTCCAAGATTATTACACTTATATAGCGACGTGCATGCACGTGTGTGTGTGTGTGTGTGTGTGTGTGTGTGTGTGTGTGTGTGTGTGTGTATGTGTGTGTGGCTGCTTGTACTGGTACGGACTGATGCCGATTTATAGTGCGAGTACACTGAGATACCATGCCGCAGTTTAACATGAATATCCCACCCAGACACAGTATACTGACTCTAAGCCGACCAGTCCTTGTTTTAGCCGAGCGCCAGACAAGGTAACAACAAGTACCATCAATGCACGTCTTTTGGTATGACGCGACCACTCTCCTACCACTAAACCAAGAAGGTGGCCGGAAAGGATTTAGACTATATACAGGGACATAAGTGTGCCTCTCTCATCTCACATTACCTCTCACATTACAGTTACGGATCATTACGCCTCAGGTTATTAATAAGGCGTTGGTAAAGTCCTCACCATGGTTGGATTGCCTAGGACTATTAAGTCAGGGCTCCAATTTCATGTCAGGTGTTTTCCAACAGGCTATGCAACAGTTAGACATAGCTAAGGTTAAGTCTTGTACATATGATCTTGATCAGACTCTTAACAATATGATGAAGACTTACTGTTTTAAGACTGAGAAAGATTGGGATGAAGGCATTCATTTTGTTGTTGTTTCCTGTGATGGTGCTTACTGTGAGGGAGTCAGTTCAGGAGTCCTTGGGTTTTAGTTCTGTTCAACTTGTCTTTGTCCATAACGTACATTATAGGTCTGAGTTTGTTTCATCATTATTTCAACATTTCGGGCTCGGCTTTCTGAGGCTTGTGAAGTTGCTAGTCATAATCTGAATTGAAAGGTGGAAGCTATTTCGAAATTCCCACAAAGCAAAACGGAACTATGAGATTGCTGTGTAACTAGCGTAAATTCTGTCAGAATTTCTCACATGTGGTAGTCCGTCCCACTAATGTGCTGGGCAAATAGGTGAAATTTGTTTGGGACCGGAATTGTCAGGCTGCTTTTGAGAAAATTAAATCCATTCTCATGAATTCTCCTCTTCTCCAAGCAAGTCATCTGTCATCTGAGCAAAAGGCTCTAGTGATTCAAGAGTTTGCTCACTTGTTTATGGATTTACCTGGCCGTGCATATTTAGGGTGTCATAATATAGATGTAGGTGACGCTTTGCATGTGAAACAAGATCCCTACTGGATGAAGCCATCAAGCTTGAAGCTCTGAATATCCAGCCAAAGCCTAATTTGGAAGGACGACCACTGTTGCTGCTAGGTGAATATCATCACTGCTTTTATTTTTTTTGCCATTGTACTTATATTGCTATTGATTTTTGTACTGCCACTCTATTGTGTACTGCCATTGTATTTGCTGTGCAGACATTCGTATTAATGTGTAAACTAAGTTTATTACATAACACAATTGTAAATTGTATACCATTTATTTGTTGTTTGTTCACACCAAATTCTTATGCAAGAGAGCTATACAAGGACTTGAGATAACTTTGATCCAGAGGATCAACTCAGCACAAATATTTTTTGTTTGGAGATGTTTGTTTGTTTGTTTTAATGCTGCATTCAGCAATATTCCAGGCCTTCAGTGTATGACGACGAGCAATCAAGCAAGTCACGGAATATGACCACTCGGTTCTCTATAGTCGGCTCATACATGCTCATACAAGCATTGGGTACTGGGACACATTCGTCCTCCCTTGTTAGAAAATAGACCCCATAATTCTGTTTTCATTATATACGCCATCAACACTCATAAACAGTTTCAAACACAGCAATCACTTTGGTCTCCATATAAACAAATAATGAGTCATACCAATCAAAGCACAGACCAACTGATCCATGAATACCATCTCTAGTCAACACAATTTCATGGTAGGCACCATCATTGCCAATATTTGTAAATTTGTTCAGCGAAAAATCCGCAAAGACAATGTGTCCCTTTGAATTCAATGCCACACCTCGGGGACACTGCACCTCTTCTCTGTGCTGAAATATACTCTTGCCTACCAGGGAGACTAACAATGAGATCACCATCCAGTGAGGAAAACACACACCTTGGAACTTGGACTAGCACATTTGACGAATCTGGAATAGTTTTAAAAGTCCAAACAATAGGAAGCCGAGAATGTCAATTGTCGATTTGTGAAAACAAATAAATCAGTTTTGCATTTCACCAGTTCTGGCTCTACTGTCATGACCCAAACCAGCATCTTGTGTGGCATAGTAACCATGATGACATGATGATCTATTTTAGCCAAACCCCATTGTTTTCTAGGAGTTGTAATGCCTTGTGCTTTGTGCATTCACCTGAAAGTACAGGAAAAAATATGCTTTTGTTAATTTTCATATGTTGTAATTGGCATTAGGTGCGTAAAGATATGTTCGACTGTTAACAGAAACCTGGGATGTGAAAGCCTCAATTACTATCTCCAAGCACTCACACGTTATTGTTCCTGTCCAATTTACCCTGAAAAGGATATATTGGCTACATATAATAGGTTCCTTAACATCTTACTATCTGAAGAGAATATGTTGACAATCGATCTACGCATGCATAACAACTCTTCATCAAAGACCCCCCTCGGTTTACTTTTATTAAGTGTATCCTGAGTAAACGACTAATGATCCATTTAACATGCCAAAGCAATGATGATTGTGTTTCAATCACAAAGCAATGTTCGTACCTTTGATTTTGTTTGATGAGCCATCGCTGAGTTGCAGAGGACGATGGCTCTGTGTTTTTATCTCATGTTGATCGCTGTAATATAGTAGTCAATGTTGTATTTGAACAAGAAATAAGCGATTAGCCTTCAGTATGTCTGTAGAAGCAAATAATTTTATATCAGTATATTGAAATATTTTGAAATGAAATAATCAATATTGAGATGGATTTTACAACCTTGTGTGCACCTCTGCAAACACATTGTATTATTATTGAGTGAGTGAGTGAGTATGGTTTTACGCTTTTAGCAATATTCTAGCAATATTACAACGGAGGACACTAGAAATGGGCTTCACACATTGTACCCATGTGGGGAATCGAACCCCGGGTCTTAGGCATGACGAGCGGACGCTTTAATCACAAGTCCACCCCACGGCCCCCATGTATTGTTATTACATACTAATAGAAATATTGTATCTCGTTCTGTAACCCTACTGTTTGCAACAAAAATGCCCAAGCTTGGTTTTACCTTTTCATTGCGTCCACCATATTTTTTCCTGTTTTAGAGAATCGTTCATTCAGCAGTAAATGAAAGCTCTCATCACTGTGAGATACAGTGGTCCTGTGATGAGTTGAATCAAGATGAAGCATCAGTTTACGGTACATATCCACAGGCACAACATAGTGGGATGCCTTGCCAACGTCCTCTTCAACAGCTGGCACTAAACGAATGTCAGATAGGGCAGACATCATGATGAAGGCCTTGTGGATTTTCAGACATCGTTCTTGAGACATCAACAGATTACTACCAATACTATATTTTGATGTTTCTTCTTTTATATTTGACAGTCTCCTGTTAAATGTTTCTGTTGTCTCATTATCTTCAGACTTGATAATTCCGTAGATCACATCAAAGTGTTCATCAGTGAAATAACATGCATGCATCATTGCCTTGGCTACGGATTTGTTGTACTTTCTTTCCTCCTCGTCGTCTATTCCCTCAGCAGTAGAGACACTGGCGATATCCACTTCAGCATCTTCTTTGGCCTCTATAAAGGTGAGCAATGTTGGGGGAAGGGATTGTGAGATCAACAGAGCATCATAGATAACACTATCAGGACGAGCTTCAGTGTTCTTCAAGTTGCATGTTGCAGCCATTGATCTGCCGACAAGTGCGATACCTGCTTTTCCGATGAAGTCTCTCAGACGTGACGTGAGGTTCGTGTTCTTCTCTTCTGCTTCAAATGTGTTAAACATTTCTGACGGGAATATTCCTTAAAGGATGAAATAAACCATGAAAAATATTTGCCTGAACTCAATGCAGTGAATCAGAATATAAGAAGGGCTATTCAGAATATTGACTGAAAGAAACGTTTGGATTCTCCTTTCAGAGAAAACAATTGCCATCGTGATATAAGTGGTACATGTAATAAATACAGGGTAAATGAGGTGACACAATTTACGTACCTTCTGAGGGTACTGATTCAAAAATCTCCTCCAGTGAGTTTCCCCTTTCCTTCACAGTCGGTGGAAATGCTGATACTGAGGTGTACTTAATGTCAGTGTATGGGAGGCCAGCAATAGCGATAGGTTCTGTATGGAGAATACGAAAAGTAAAATACTCATTTTATATTTGTTTGTTTTGTTTGTTTGTTGTTTAACACCGCACTCAGCAATATTCCAGTTATATGACGGCGGTCTGTAAATAATCGAGTCTGGACCAGACAATCCAGTGATTGACATCATGAGCATCAATCCACGCAAATCGGATACGATGACATGCATCAACCAAATCAGCGAGCTTGATCCCCCGATCCCGTTAGTCGCCTCTTACGGCAAGAGTGGGTTGCTGAAGATATATTGTATGCCCATGCAAGAGAAAGATATAATTTCTTTTCATAAATACAATTTCTTCACCTGCTATAGCTATAGGCTAGACAACTGAGATTTTGCAGGGAGGATGCGACAACAGAAATACATGTGTGTATGCTTGACTGGCCCATGGGGCATCTGATATCAAGAACAGCATGTGGCTCATCACTTCTATGCGGATGATGCACAATGGTTGACAGTTGCAATCCCCTCATGGACAAGACCTGTGAAGATCCCGGGTAGAATAGATCTTCAGCAACCCATGCTTGCCGTAAAAGGCGACTATGCTTGTCGTAAAAGGCGACTAACGGGATCGGGTGGTCAGGCTCGCTGATTTGGTTGATGCATGTCATCGATCCCAATTGCGTGGATCGATGCTCATGATATTAATCACTGGACTGTCTGGTCCTGACTCGATTATTTACAGACCGCCGCCATATAGCTGAAATATTGCTGAGTGCGGCGTTAAACAACAAACCAACCAACCAACCAACCAACAAGCAGCCATACACACACACGTGCATGCACGTCACTATAAATACAAAAATCTTGAACGCGACGTCAAACCCAATTTCAACAATTCACCTCATAGTGCTGAATTAACAGTTACGCTGCATACGCTAGAGTAACGTATCACCCATAGATGAACTGTCATGTGATTGCCTTAAGGGATAACTAGCGAGGAGACTTGACACGTTGAACGGCATAAATAAAAACATACGTAAGAAGACAGACACATGAATCTCAGATCAGCCGAAATTGTTACGGCAGAAGGCGACCTCTTAAACACTTGAAGCAACAACAACAGACAGAAGGATTGCATTAAGGCTCATTGATAAGGAACAACCAAAATGAAGTTTAAGGATTTATTTACACAAAGCAATAAACCAAGCTAAAACATTACGGTAAGCAGTTACATTTTAATAAACGCGACAAAATCCATGTTCATACGAAATCTCTGCCAAAGACAGATTGTATGATTCCGACTATTTCATGAACATGCGTTTATGAATCATTCTCAAAATAGTAGAGATACAAGGTGCCTGCCATAAGGTGAGCGTTTCCCGCCCCACCGGTTACACCCATCACAAACACATGCAAGGGCAAGTCAAAGGTACACCTGAAAAAAAAACACGGGAACAAAAGGTACAAGTCAAAATAGGGAATTTCATCGGACATCATTTTTGTCACTGATGTGTCAAATGTGAAAATGTCCTCCACATGTCTACCACTTTTTTAAAATCTATACTGAAGCCTTGAATGTTGTAACCTTGATCAAACACCTTCGAGGCTGGAGTCGCATAACACTCTTTAAAATATTGGTATAAAGAACATGCTCGAGTGTACTAAAAGTAGTGAAACGAACTGTCGTTGCAGTAATATGTAAAGACGTCAACCCTCTTGCCATACAGTCTTGTGGAGAGTGTTTTGTGTGACCAAGTCACTCAGAGGTCGGTGTTTCAAATGTCCAAAGGCAAAACAACAGATTCGATTAACATATGAAAAGTTAATACGATTTTTTACATTACAGAATGCTCCAAAACTTTCCGACGCCATTCCTGTGGTTCAACACGTCGGATACAATTGTTCTCATTAAGACGGAATGAGTCCGGACCATCTCTGTCGAAAAACACAACTCCACTTAAAGAAGGCATATATACCTCAAGGACATAGGTGTCTTCTTGGCCTTCCACTTTGTGAAACGTAAGCTTCGGAGACCTTGTTATCACATCTTTGGGAATAAGGGACCTGTCCGGCGGAAGAAACAACACCTTTGAATCAATTTGGTGCAATATTTCTGATTTGAGAGTCTCATGATCTGTTTCGTTCAATTCGAATCCTTCAATGGATACCTTTCTTGTGTTGTAGGTGTCTATTTCTCCGTTGTCTTGTTCAGCAACTCCTAGGAAATAGTACCCACCTTCTTTCTGGTTTGCAAAGGATGAAATGAATTCCCTCAGACGAAGCCCCTCCATGATGTAGGGTGCCCATTCAGCCCTCGCCACATTGTGTGCTTTTCGGAAGGATTTCAGTTGCACATTGCTCGCCTCTTGCAGTTTGTGGAGCGACTTCTCTTCATATTCCCCACATAACCTGTCGTTACTCAGGATGTAGCGCATGTTTAAAAGTGTAGGTTTAGCAAAGCCTTTATTGAGGTTGATGTGTGTCTTGTAGTTTGTGGTAGAAATAGTCGATGAAGGGTTGCACGTAATGGAGAGACAATTGGGTTCTCTTTTCAGCCAGTCTCTGAAATAACTCTCATGGAATAAGGTTCCATCCTCAATCAGTTCATTTAGCCTGTCATCGATCAGTTCATCAAATCGTCCAAGAAACTGGTCGCTGTCGTCCATATGTGTAAAGTATATGAGCAATATGCCACCCCTTGAGTTTCTCAGTGCACAGATACGCTCAAAAATACGATCCTTTTCCTTGATTTTTCTGTCGGTCTTTTCCAGGTTATCTTGCTTTTGGTTTTTACTTTCTTCACCATCCTCCTGTTGTCTGTAAGGTTTTCCTTTCTTGGACGAGCCTGGCTTTACTTTCAGACTTATCGCTGAATCTTGTGTCTTTGGCGGGCAGATGCTTCTGATGTCAACATGCATTGAGAGGACACGCTGCGAGCTCTTGATACCTCTAACAATGGTCTTGCATTTTGAACAGTCTGAAAAATCCACATCTAGAGTTAAGATGTACTGGGCGACTTGGACTTTTCTTAAATCCTCACATGTATTAACCTTCACCTGTTCATATATGTTATATGTCACAATATTATTTATGTGTTTTGAAAGGATACAAACTCTAGGAGAAATAACATTGTACACATGAACTAGTTCTCATTTCACAAATTACCCTTGATACTTTAGGGCCACTTTCTTTTGCTCATAGAATTTTTACATTTACGTTACCTTCATCATTTGTGCTATGTCCATTGTCCATGGAGGTACGACGCTTTTGATTTTGATCTTGTGGGGTTTCAGCAACATCCTCAAGCTTTCTCTTCTTTCCTCGTTGGGTGGCACCACTCATCGTGAGCGCATACACGTATATGTCGTGGTGCTGTCTATCTGACAATACGCATGTACGCTATGGTCATGATAACAAATGAAAATAGTTAGACTGTAACTGTTCTACATAAGCTGTGCGTGTTTCAAAGCATTATCATATCTCCATGTCAGAATAATAAGATCTGATTGGTTCACGTGATGGTGATCAAAATACAAAAGGGGCGGTCGGGTAGCCTAGTGGTTAAAGCGATCGCTCGTCACGCCGAAGACCCGGGTTCGATTCCCGACATGGGTACAATGTGTGAAGCCCATTTCTGGTGTTCCCCGCCGTGATATTGCTGGAATATTGCAAAAAGCGGCGTAAAACAATACTCACTCACTCACTCACTCAAAATACAAAATATCCCACCTGGGAGGGAAATACATTTGTCAGTGGGAGATTCAATCCCTTATACCACACTTTAAAGCAAAATGCCTCACGCTTTTTCCGAGTCACTGATAGTCACCTCCACTCAATTTTGAAGAGGATCACAGTGACTATCTCGTGTAGTATAACACGGTGTATGTTGTATACAGATGGGCAGTGACTATCTCGTGTTGTATAACACAGTGTATGTTGTAGACAGAGGGGGCAGTGACTATCTCGTGTAGTATAACACAGTGTATGTTGTATACAGATGGGGCAGTGACTATCTAGTGTAGTATAACACAGTGTATGTTGTATACAGAGGGGGCAATGACTATCTAGTGTAGTATAACACAGTGTATGTTGTATACAGAGGGGGCAGTGACTATCTCGTGTAGTATAACGGTGTATGTTGTATACAGAGGAGGCAATGACTATCTCGTGTTGTATAACACATTGTATGTTGTAAACAGAGGGGGCAGTGATTATCTCGTTTTGTATAACACAGTGTATGTTGTAGACAGATGGGGGCAGTGATTATCTCGTTTTGTATAACACAGTGTATGTTGTATACAGAGGAGGCAATGACTATCTAGTGTTGTACAACACAGTGTATGTTGTAGACAGATGGGGGCAGTGACTATCTCGTGTTGTATAACACAGTGTATGTTGTATACAGAGGGGGCAGTGACTATCTCGTGTTGTATAACACAGTGTATGTTGTATACATAGGGGGCAGTGACTATCTAGTGTATTATAACACAGTGTATGTTGTATACATAGGGGCAGTGACTATCTGGTGTATTATAACACAGTGTATGTTGTGTACAGATGGGGCAGTGACGATCTCGTGTTGTATAACACAGTGTATGTTGTATACATAGGGGGCAATGACTATCTAGTGTATTATAACACAGTGTATGTTGTATACATAGGGGCAGTGACTATCTGGTGTATTATAACACAGTGTATGTTGTGTACAGATGGGGCAGTGACGATCTCGTGTTGTATAACACTCTGCATGTTGTATACTGTTTGGACGGTGACTGCCTCGTTTTGTATAACGCTGTGTATGCTATCCTATGAATGTCGCAAAGGCGTTTAGAATCGTGTGTCATAATACCACTTTACGAGGATTGCATTATGATCGACTATGCACTCGCCTGCCTGCTAAGGACCTGCTTCCCTTTTACAACTCAGGGCGATGGGGGTAGTCTTGTGGTTAAAGCGTTCGCTCGTCACACCGAAGACCCAGGTTTGATTTACCACAAGGGTACAATGCGTGAAGCCCATTTCTGGTGTCCCCCGTCGTGATATTGCTGGAATATTACTAAAAGCTAAGTAAATCCATACTCACTCACTCACTTTCACAAACCGCTATGAAATAGGCGAGATACACGAGACTACTGCATCGTTTGCTAATACGTACTCATTGTACACAACAATGGTAGTGCACAGTTCTGTCCCTTAGACGTTGCAGGATCCGCCTGACATGGATTCGAATCCTGAATCTTCTTTCTCACCGCAAGGTAACTGAAATACTGTCCAAAGTTATAAAATTCCAATAATATTATATTGGTCATCACCACATTAATGCTAATTAAAACGTGTCTTTGTAAAAACACGGATATTGAAGTAAGTCCTGCTTTTCTTAGTTGAAGGTTTTAGCCCATACTGAAACGTGGTCAGCACAGCAAATCAGGCCAACGTGCATCCTTTCAACTAACTGTTAACAGCCAGAACACACGCGTTTGATCCACTCAATAACATAGGTGAGCTCTCTGCGGGATTGACCAGGTAGTGGCAACTTTAAGATGACTTTCAACTTTTAACTTCGAGCGTTCAGTCCTCCTCCAAAGTACATAGTGTGACTGCTGCGAGAGACGCTGTACGTGAGGTGCGCGCAGAGTAACATATGGTGTACAGTAGACTCTGTATAACACACTGCGTACTGTCGGGTCAAAAACTGGAACTGTCAGTCTAGGACGTAGGATGACCGATGGATTGGTTCGATATAAAATAGAACGAATGATAGACAAAACAGGTGCGATATGAACTGCCGGTAGTGGAGAGTATACTTGAAAATTGGATTTACCCAAAAAGGACAAACGTTATCGAAATGCTATTAGGCTGAACACAGTCACTGAAACACTTCAAACTTAAGGCCCAAAACACAACTATGATACCCGTATAAAATACATGACAATCGAATATCCATTTCTTGTTTGTTTCATGTTTAGTCACCATGGATTATGGGGGCATACCTTCTTTTGCTCGGCAGTTCAGGAAATATTGTATAATAAATATGAATAAATTATTATGCTTTGAATGAGTGAGTAGGATTTTTACGCCGCTGTTAGCAACATTCCAGAAATATCACCGAGAAGGATAGAGAAATTGGTAATCGCGCAATGTTCCCATGCGGGAATCGAACCAAGATATTCTGTGTGACGAGCCAAAGATTAACTACGAGGCTACCCCACTGCCCTTTTTTATTAAACGCTTGGCTCTTGATAACACATTTCTAAAAGGAATATTTGAATTTATTGTTGTTTTATTTTCAAATAGTTTGAATATTGCCACACACGTTTGTAAACTGATTTGAATTAAGTTGCGGTATGTCCATCCGTATCGATACGTTCTTACTGGTTTTTTTAAGGTACGGGCATGTATTTATAAAGAAAACAGTTAAAAAAATAAAACATAGCCCCTGTGTCTGTAATGTATACGTTTCTAAAATTAATAAACATATTTGTGGACAGTGAAGAATTAAATATTACAGTAAATATCAGGTGTAATACATTGCAATGTAATTGTAACGGACAGTACTCATCGCTGTGTTGAAGACATAAGACATTTCACTTTGTTTTTTTTTGTCAACAATAGCTATTTAAGGTGGTCTGTAAATGATCGAATCTAGACCTGACAAACCTGTGATTGGTATTATGAGCAACGTCCAGGTATCACTTGGTCGCCTCTTAAGAAAAGCATACATTGCCGTGGACTAGGCTGGGAAGGGTAACTCGGGTACTCGGGTCGGGTACTCGGGTCGGTGGGTCCTGAGCAGGACTCGGCCGCGGGTACCCACAGGACTACCCGGACACGTGGTTAGTCACGTGATATATTGTTTCATGACAAAAATTATCTTAAACTCCATGGTTACACAACAAATGTTCCCCTTATTTCTGGCAATGCACTCATTCCTTCGGACTTTTACATGTCACAGTGTGAATAAAGATAAAGTTTTATGCAATAAACTTTAGTTTATACATGACCGGATGGTTTTTCACGTGTATCTAAATACATTTTGACAGGGCTACGGTCAAGCTTTTCTGAATCGGACATATTGTACCTATCTCTAAGTATCTACAATGGGTACCCGGGCAAGGTCGGGTAATAGGGTGGTGGGTACCCGGGGTGTACATTTGGACTACCTTAGACCCATATCCACCAAATAACCCAGTTGGGTGTTTACTGTTGTGTCACATTCAATACGTCAGAGTGAATGTAAGTCTCTGTTCGTAATTTAAAAAGCACTTACGCCGAAGACCCGAGTTCGATTCCCGACATGGGTTCAATGTATGAAGCCCATTTCTGGTGTCCCCTGCCGTGATATTGCTGGAATATTGCTAATATTGTAAAACCATACTCACTCACTCTTAAAAAAACATGTCATAGTCAGAATCGTACTATGGACTCTGATTTCAGCAGCTCTTTCATATAATCATGAACAGTTTTGTCGCTCTTATATTTATAGTATCGACATTGACGATATGACGCCATAATCAATCAGAAGGGTCCTGATCCTTTCTGAACTGCCGGGCAAAAGAAACTATACACATGTTTGATGGTTATTCGTGGTGTATTCTAGACGGGTATCATAGACAATAAAACATGCATCATATCAATGAGTATATCACAACAGGTCAACATTGTAACGGTGTGTTATTGTTAGTAATGTATTGGTCAAATACAATTTTAGGAGTATATGTACTTTCTTTTCCCTGACAGATTTTCTGTCAGTAACTGACAGAACATGCTTCGTTAACGAGATGCGTTGTGAAATATCAACTTAGCATGTCTTTCATTCGGAAGAACAATAGATATAGATAATAATTTAACTGCTCGTTTTCCATCATGGTGGAGTGACGACAACATGCGAGCTGCCAGTTTAATATTTGTGCATAGATAATGAAAGATTCAAGGTGCTGTTTAAATGAAACGGATGTTTTGTTTATTTTATTTGTCTGGTTGTTGTTTAACGCCGCACTCAGCAATATTCCAGCTATATGACGGCGGACTGTAAATAATCGAATTTGGACCAGACAATCCGGTGATTGACACCATGAGCATCAATCTACCCAATTGGGATATGATGACATGCATCAACCAAGTCAGCGAGCCTGACCGCCCGATCCCGTTAGTTACATATACCTGTAGTTTGCATTAATTGTTTATTTCTCTTACACAAATGACACCTGTCTTTCTTTATCTTACGAAAACGTTGACACATGATTTTCTAATTTACAAATTATCATTGTTGACAATTGCTTGACATTAGTATTCCACATACGTTATGAGTTTAAATCAACATGGACAACAACCAGAATAACCTGAGGCTGATCACTTCGCAAGGTTTCGAGAAGCTCCTCCCATGCGCCATGCAAACAAACTTGAACTCGGATGATCCTTCTGTCCAGATGGAGGTCTTAAAGTCTACTCTATACTTTCTGTTTTCACATTGGTTTAAATTAGAAACTGTTTAAGACTGAAACAAAAGTCATCGAAAGAGGCATCGAACACACGTCTGTCACTTTGTCCTCATGTGACTTGGACGCACAAGTCAAACTGATCTGCCCTCGCATAATTGGATTGTTTAAGGTGACAAATCATCCCCGCAAACGGTCCACAGTTCGGACAAAGGACTGGCCGGTAAATGACAAGCTGCGTGCCGTCACAAGTTACCGTTTTTTCCACTTGTAAGAAATCCCCACATTTGGTCAAATTACGACAGGTGAGGTGGGCGGATGTTCATTGTGAGTGTAAGATGTTGGGGTGGATTGTCCGAAGGGGATGTAGAGTGCGTGTTAAATCCCCCGCTAGATATAAAAGTGTTGGCGGTGGGCACCTAGTCAGTGACGGTTCCTGCCTCGCTGTTGACTACACAAGACACTGTAAGTTGACATTCAAGTTTTGTTTCACTTAGTTGTCATCCATACCTTTTCGCAAGGAAGCATTGACAACTGACAACTGCATATGTTTTTTTTTGTGGTTGTTTAAGGCCACGCTCAGCATTATTCCAGCTAAATGACGTCAGTCTGAAAATAATCGAATCTGGACCAGACAATCGAAACCATCGATGAGATGCATCAACCGAGTCAGCGAGACTGACCACCCGATCCCTTTAGTCGCCTCTTTCGACAAGCATAGGTTGATAAGCTAGGACATGCTTACGCATTTCGCGAACGCCCGATGTCGTCACTGATTTTCAACGATCCATTCATATAATTGTCTCCGCTATTTTGCCTTTTAACGCCCAATGTTACTGAGGGATATTTGAAAATAGTTATTTTCTGTCGTTAACAATAATCTTTTCCTTTGCACTGTTACTGATGGTCGTTCATACTTGAAGCCAAAACAACCAAAACTGTAAAGAACATAGCACAAGATGTTTTTTGTTTTTTTTTGTAAAATGTAGACGTTTGTTCTTCCTGCTCCAGAACGATGGTCTGTCTGCTGCTGCTGCTATGTCTCGCCCCTGTGGCGCTGTCCTGGGAGAGAGAGGATGTTCATGCCCTGCTTCAGAAGGCCATGTCCAAGGTAGGATCAAGCAGACACTGGAGCTCACCTGCGGGATTGTTTGATTGAACAGCGCTTTCCAAGCCTTAAAATAGCATAGAGTGAACACCCATTCCAAAGTTCCAATAATTCCCATGTCTCCAAACGAGCCATGCCTCTCTTCCAAGAACATTTCAAAATGATGTTACTTTGGGTTACATTAGAGTATTGTGGGCACTAGTAGGTATGGTGCCTGTTTAAGTGTATAACCACAATTATGGAATACATGTATTTTCGATCAACTACCTTTAACATGTGTCTGACTATAGTTTAGGAATATGCTATCCAATGTTCATTCAGATGAGGCAGTGGGATAGACTAGTGGTTAAAGCGTTCGACCATCACTCCAAAAGGCCCGGGTTCGGTTCTCCACAGAGATGCAATGTGTTAGCCTCTTTCTGGTGTCCTCCGCTGTGGTATTGCTAGAATATTGCTATAATGGCGTCCAACTATACTCACTCATTCAGATTATATGCTATGTAGTGATTATTAGCAGACTGTGTTTTTTATTCTACATATCATATATTAGGAATAGAAATTGTATTATGGTGTTCTTCGATTTAATTTGTTTGCTTCTCAAGTCATTACGATACACCCATGATGACACAATGTTTGTCACTTTTGGTGAGTGAGTTTGGTTTTACGCCACTTTTAGCAATATTCAAGCACGGCGGGGGACACCAGAAATGGGCTTCACACATTGTACCCATGTCGGGATTCGAACCCGTTTGTCACTTTTGGTTACTTGTATTTGTATGTGCGTGTCCACATGCCTAATAATATGAACGAATGACGGGCTTTGGGGTAGTGTGGAGGTTTAAGCGTTCGGTCGTCACGCGAAAGGCCCGGGTTCCTTCCCCACATATCTGGAGCCCATGTCTAGAGTCATCCGCCTTGATATTGGCGTAAAACTATGCTTACTCACTTGCCCACTCCCAAGACATTTAACCACAGAGCTGATGCTTCGGAAATTGGTGAAACCCGAGATATGTCATGTAAGGTGGTGCTATAAGATGAGCATGCTCCTATTACATAGCGTTCATGTAAACCATTAACGCACCGCTTTTAAACACGCAGATATTTCATATCTGAAACCTTGGAATACATGAGTTAATCACATAGTACCATATAGACTGAAGATGGGTTTAACCTGATCTACCGTTATGACCGACAACGACGTAAGGTAGTAAGCTTGTCTGGTTGGTCACCCCCAGGATGCTGACGGTGAGCTCGAGGGTTGGCAGATGGAGAAGTTGCCGGACTTTCTCAAGTGGTACAGCCTCCAGAAACAGATGGAAGGAGAAGAAGGTGACGACAGGAAGATGAGCGAAGGTGAAGATCAGGAAGAGCCGAAGAAACATGCCAGCCATGCTGCCCCCTGGGACCGCCCCGGACCCTTCTCCTGGTGGAGACTTCATCACAAGTACGACGTGAGGCAGTGGCAGGAGGAACAAGCGCGGAAGCATCATGAACAGGTGGCCATGTGGATGCGAGAGAAGAGGGAGAAGATGGAGAAGTTCGAGCAGTTCGAGAAGTTCCAGGCCGCCATGAAGGAACGCAGGGAGAAGGCAGAGAAGATGAAGAAGTTGCAGGGGATGCTCAGACTCCATGCTCAGGTAAGAATTTAGAAACGTTGGGGGTAGGAGGAGTGAGTGAGTGAGTGGGTTGGGTTTAACGCCGCTTTTAACAGTATTCCAGTTATATCACGGCGTGGCTGCTTAATGGGGGAGGAATGCCCAAAGTAATGCAGGTTTCAGACGTTTACCACTTCGGTGAAATCCATGAGCATGGGTATGGTGCTGACAAACCTAGAAACATACTCGGGGCGAAAGGGGATTCGAACCCACAATCATAGGTTTCTGGCGTGCCCAAGGGACGCAACTCTGAACAGCGAATCGCGGCGCCTTAGACGACTGGGCCACCCGTGACCCCGGGAGTAGGAGGATCAATGGATTCAACCATCAAATGAGTTTCCGTATACTTGTTTCGCAATTAGTATTATTATTAGTATTATACATGTATATACGATGATATCCAGGTACAAGTATCTTGCAGTTTTATTTGTTCCCCGAACAGTGGATCCGTTTGCATTCCATTGAACTGACCAGAGAAGTAACATCAGTTTAGTCTTTGAAGGGCATTTAGAAGGTGGTACAACAGGAGTGAGTGAGTGAGTGAGTTGGGTTTAACGCTGCTTTGAACAGTATTCCAGTTATATCACGGCGTGTCAGCTTAATGTGGGAGGAAAGCCCAAGTAATGCAGGTCTTAGACGTTTACCACTTCGGTGAAACCCACGAGCACGGGTATGGTGCTGACAAACCTAGAAACATACTCGGGGCGAACCGGGATTCGAACCCACAATCATAGGTTTCGGGCGTGCCCAAGGGACGCAACTTTGCACAGCGAATCGCAGCGCCTTAGACGACTGGGCCACCCGTGCCTCCTGGTACAACAGGAAGACAGGAGACGTTGTCGGGTTAGCAACTTCTGTATTCTTTGTAACGACCTTTCAGGGCTACTCCTTGCCCCTTCATCTTGTCAATACTGAGAAAGTGTTATGCTGGTTAATGATTGGCGATGTTTGGTATGTACCAATACACCTTCACGGAACGAGAGCAAGAGGTAATATAAATAATGTTCATGCCCTTGTTTAGTAAGGGGGCACGGGAAGCCAGTCGCCATTTGGGAACCCCAGAAAACTATGATCGTGGGTTCGAATCCTGGTTCGCTACGATTATGTTTCTAGTCAGCATCATTCCCGTGCTCGTGGGTTTCACCAACGTGGTAAACATGTTGCATTCCTCCACATTAAGCTGACACGCCGTGGTATAACTGGTATACCTGTCAAAGCGGAATTAAACCCAACTGACTCACTCACTTGTTCAGTAAGTTCAGTCACGTTACATTTTTGCGTGGAGGCTGGGGCATTGCGACGTCAAATTATACCTACCTCCCTCCATTTATCACTCACTCACTCACTCACTCACTACGATTATGGTTCTAGATTATGTTTCTAGATTTGTCAGCACCATTCCCGTGATCACTCACTCACTCACTCACCCACCCACCCACCCACTCACTCACTCACCTTGACAGGCCCACAAAGAGCAGGAGTTCGCCGAAATGATGAGGACCTTTACCGAGAAGAAGAAGCAGTACGTCTTCACTATTGTGTTTGAACTGATGAAGTTCTGCAAGAGCAGTGAGTCTATCATGGACCTTCAACGCTTCTTCAATCCCGACAGTGTGCGCAACATGAACGAGGCGAGCAGCAACAACACTGACGTCATGGACATCGACGAACACATGGCCTTCCCACACCCAAGGACACAAGAGGAGGCCAAGAAAATGTTCATGAAGGTAAGCTCAGTTTGCCTGGTGTCCATTCTTGTTTTTATTATGTAGGCCGAACATATGTCACTAAAGTGCTGGGCAAAAGAGATCATGCTCATGATAGTGGCTAGAAGTGAAACCCTAGACCTTAAGTTTGCAGTGTTTGACTGTTTTGAACCTAGTAACGTTTTGATACATTTGTAATAGTTTGGTTAAATTCAGTTTTTAGCGTTTTCTTTCTGTTGCTCGGTTGTATATTAAACAGCAGCATTTGTTCCAAGTGGAAATTTATCAGTGACAAAAATTATGTCCGATGCATTTCCCTATTTTGACGTGTACCATATGACTTGTCTTTGCATGTGTTTGTGACGGGTGTCACCGGTGGGGCAGGATACGCTCACATTTTAGCGTAACACCGGGTATCATGACTGCTTAGTCGGAATCATGTAACCTGCACACACGTTGGTGAAGCTGCCGGACAAATGCCGATTATGTTCTTTGATACAATGCCGTAGTTTTAACCTTGGATACTCACTCAGACACAGCATACTGACTCCAAGCCGACCACTTAATCCTCTTAATGGACCAGTAGGCAGGGTAACAACAAGTACCTTATTTTAACGTCTGTTGGCGTGACGCGGCCTCGCCATCTGAGATTACTATACATTGACAACGTTGCAGGGTCTTGTGAAGACGCTGTGCGTGAGCTCCAAGGAATACGTGCATCACGTGAGGATGTTCGCCGCCCATCACCTGGCCCATCACTTCGCCATGGAGACCGCAGGAGACGCGCAGCCAATGGGAGACACCAGTCCTGCATCTGGGAATTACGGCTTCTAGGTAAGACAAATACCCTATGGCGCTGTATTCTTCGTTTTCTCATTATCTCATTGAAATGGAAAAATACTTAGAGGTTTAATGATGCGGGAAGAGATAATTCCAGTAGGTATCTTCTTCATAAACATAGAATAAATAAAATATGTTATTAAATCATTCAGGTACGATTGCAAATTCCTGTTTATTATCAATTTACATGAACGAAAATACCCATCAAGCGTTTGAGGTTTATGTGGGAGGTAGGCCTTAATTGATGCAGGCCGTTTAGCACTCTTGTTAAGCAAGAGCACGGGTATGGTGCTGACATGTCTAGAAACATAATGGGGGCTAACCGGGATTCGAACCCACGATCAAAGGTTTATGGCCGGCCGAAGGGGCGCAACTCTGCACAACATTTCGACGACTGGGCCACCCGTTCCCCCTATAGCTTGGAAGGATTTGGTGTTGGCGCAGACGGGTCGTGTAGCCGGGACGCAGTGTTTAATATCTCGGGACGTAGCTAGGTGATATAATTATATCGGTTCTGCTGAATCACGCCTTATTAATGTTAAACTTCAATTTCAGATACCGAGACTCACAGAGACACGTATACGTGATGCATAGTGACGTGAAACACGGAGACGTGAAGCACAGAGACGTGAAACACGGAGATGTGAAGCACAGAGACATGAAACACGGAGACGTGATGCACGGAGACGTGAAACACGGAGACGTGATGCACGGAGACGTGAAACACGGAAATGTGAAGCACAGATCTCGTGTATTATCGCCAAACAGTAGACTGCACCTTTCTAATCACGCTTGACTATGCACATCTGCTCAACACTCTTATTGTATCGGTTAATAAAATGTTAAAAGGGTCAAATATTGCATTCTTAGTTTTATTTATTGTGCTCAAACACCATGTTCAAACGGTGTATGTCTCAGAACACATTCAGAAAACATCAAGTCCAAAACAGTTTGGTGTTTTCCTCAATAATCTCTACTGTAGATTTTCAACAAAACACCGATTATTGGAACCAACAAAGCACTTCAACCGAGATTGACATATGGGGTGAGTGAGTGAGATTTAACGCCGCTTTTAGCAATATTCCAGCAATATCACGGCGGGGGACACCGGAAAATGGGCTTCGCACATTGAATCCGTGTTGGGAATTTCGGCGTGACGAACGCTTTAACACTTTACCACTAGGCTATTCAACGGCCCCTGAGTGACAAATGAATTGAAGGATAGGACACATGCGTTCCTATTGATGCATGGCAAGTGACACGATCCATGTAAGAATGTCTAACGCAGGTGCCATCATATCGTCAGAGACATAACATCAAGGTTCTGTATGGAGAATTAGTGGCACTTCTGCGTGTGCATCTTATCTAAATGACCGCTTCACTATCAGTTGTTGCTGCCTGATATATTATGTGCGCTTCATTCAATATTTGTGCAAAACTTATGAATCACATGACTGCACGCTTTCCTTGACTTCTGGCACTAGTATGTGTGTGTTTGCCCATTCAAAGGATTATCCCAGTGATTGACATCATGAGTATCGATCCACGCAATTGGGATACTATGACATGCATCAACCAAATCAGCGAAAATATGAAATTTTGGAGCTCGATAGTCACATGTTGTGGTTGTAAAAAGGCATTGAAAATTGTTCATTGTCATGTCCACAACGTTGCGCTGAGCTCAGAATCTCCTTTGACCGCCCCGGGCAGCAATCACGGCTCTACATCTTCTCGGCAATGACTGGATAAGTGTACGAATTCTGTCCACCGGAATTCTGCGCCATTCTGCTTGTAACACGTTGGCCAGTTGTGGGAGTGTCTGCGGCGCGTTCTGACGTTGATGTACACGTCGGTCGAGTTCATCCCAGAGGTGTTCGATTTGGGTTCAGATTTCTAGATCTCGACGGCCAGGGCAAAACGTTGATGTTGGCATTATGGAGGTAGTCTACCGTGACACGAGCTGTGCGCGTCGGAGCGTTGTACTTTTGCAACGGCTCCCTCAGGCGGTCAATGATTGGAAGAAGGTGAGATTGAAGAAATTGATTCATGTAGCAATTTGCTGTCAATATCCCGGAACCACAACCAAGTCAGATTTCGTGGTGTAGGATATTTGCCCCCCCCCCCCCCCCCCCCCACACACACACACACCATGACACTACCGCCACCGAATTTGTCGAAATCACGTACACAATGTGGGTCAAAACGCTCATTTCGACGACGATAAACACGTTGTCTTCCATCTCATCGGTGAAGAAGAAATCGTGATTCATCGATAAACCACACTTGTCTGCAGTTTCTCAAATGCCAAGGCTGTAAGGTATGGCATCAACGCGTCGCAGTCGATAGATCTGCTGCAAAACAGGGACGATAACTGGTCTTCTGGGTCGGATTCCAGCCTCGCGAAGATGGTTCCTGACAGTCTGGTCCGATATCCTCCTCAAACCAGGGCTGCGTCCTGCAGCCTTCGTAGCTGTGGCATTGCGATGACGTAGATGGAACAGTCGAATGTAGCGATCCTGTGCAGTGGTGGTAACTCTTGGTCGGCCGGTTCTCGGACGGTCTTCAGTGGAATTGAACTGTGTGCATCGATCCCAATGGCGGCAAATGGTGGTGTGGTGGGCGTTGAAGTGGAGTGCAACAGAAGACTGCGATTTCGCTCTTTGGATACGTCCTATGGCGATGTTCCGATCGGCAGCGCTGAGTCTCGGCATTTTCGAACTTGAAAAATGTTGCCAATAGCCACTACCACGAGGTACGAATGCCATAACTTGCACGACGTCGTGCATTTTGCTTTAATATTTTCCGAGAATTTTTACAGAATCGATTGTGTACAAGCAGATTGAAACGTAAAAAAATAGCCCACACGTGACTGACAAAGGCTGATACACATGTAGCAACGTGCTTTGAAACCTCTTCAGTATAAGGTGTGAATACACTCAATGGTGTAGTCTTACTATTGAGAGAGGCTTGCTCTCAGAGGTACACCTATATTCTCGGAGAGTGTTAAGGAGTTCTCAGGAGTGTTCGGGCGTTCCCCGAATGTGCAGGTATTCTCGGGGAGAGTTCGGATATTCCCTGAGAGTGTTCAGGTATTCTCGGGTAGAGCGAGTAATATCTGACAGTGAATACGCTCATCACGTGCCGAGTTGTATAACTAGTTACCTCTGCACGGCTATTCTATTGTAAATAGACCTTAGCACTTGTAATGTTCTGTTTAATTTGGGTGGGCAATATAAATATAGTTGGCAGATGAAAGCACGAGAATAACACCCGGCACCCGTAAAGGGACTTGAAATATAGCATTGCAATATGTAAGAAGGAAAACTCCATGAGGTATGCAATAACCAAAATGTAAGACGTGAAATATGCACTTCCCTATGCAAAATCCTAATTGCCGTCTCTTACTTGCTTGTAAGATTCATCTCATGGTCAGAAGAGGGAATACTCTTTTATGATTTATGTATTTAACGTAATTTCTGCAATGTTTGTAAGTATGTATGTATGTATGTATGTATGTATGTATGTATGTATGTATGTATGTATGTATGTATGTATGTATGTATGTATGTATGTATGTATGTGTGTGTGTGTGTGTGTGTGTGTGTGTGTGTGTGTGTGTGTGTGTGTGTGTGTGTGTGTCTGTGTGTGTGTGTGGTCTGTGTGTCTATGTGTATGTTGTGTGTGTGTGTGCGTGTATGTATGTGTGTGTATGCGTGTATGTATGCGTGTGTATGCGCGTGTGTATGTATGTGTGTGTATGCGTTCGACTGAATGCATGTTTGTGCGAGAATCTATGTTGTTGACAGACCTGTATGATTGTTCTCATACAGGTTTTGGTATACTTCATGTTTTAATTATATATTGAATGTGGGGACTGTTTGTCAATTGTACTATCTTAACTTATTGTTGTTCTGTGATATTTTATATTATAGTGTCTCATAGGCCATATGGCCGGGTGCTTTTTATCATTCTATGAATGTACATTTTGTATTTTATCATATAATATGCACGTGACACTTAAATAAACATTCTCTCTCTGTGTAATGCATGACAAGTGCATTGTGTAACATGTAATACATGAGATGATAGTCGTGCAGTATAGTTTCAAATCGCTAGTGTATGGACAATGCCTGGTTTTGCCACAGGATTGTATTGATGGTCACGTGTGTATAAAGCGTCAAAACAATTCACGCATGAAAGCTGAGTTTGGCTTTCATCAGATTCATTCAGCGCAGTGAATCTTCATTCAATGCGTCAATGATAGCTGCACACAATGTGAATGCATGGCTTATATTAGTTTGTTTGAGGAGAAGTGAAATGGGGTTTGAGGTCCCGCGAAAGACTTGTGTACTTATATAGCGATGTATATGCACGTGTATGTGTGGCTGCTTGTTCGAGTCCGACTAATGGCAGTTTTATACTGCTCGCTCACTGGATTACCAGGTCGCAGTTTAACCCCACCCAGGCACAGAATAAGCCTCCAAGCCGACCAGTCCTTGTCTTTATCTCTTGTAGTGCAGAGGGACAGGCAGAGTGACAACAAATGCAATCTTTAAACGTCTTTATGCACTTTGTGTTTTGTGTTTTGTGTATAGACAATATCGAATGACAGTAAAGACCCCGCGTCATGTAATGTGGCTGTGTCGTGACGTAAATCACATATAAGTCCGCTCAAGCGTGAAGCTTTTTCAACTCACATGCAAAGTAGATTCGACAAGTTAGGTCCGGTTTTGATGATTACACAAGTGTAGGCGGTTAATGCTTGATGTGCACACCGATAGACACTACCGCAAATAATAAGGTATGTTTTAATCTTTGTAAGTCATCCAGATACGCCAATGAGTTGTTGCTTGCTTTTAGGCAATGTGAAGCAATGTTTACATGTTTATTGTATATACTACTTCCAGATGGCGGATACTGAGGCTGTTATCAGGAATGAACAGGTAATATACGAATACAGTAAACATCGATAGTGGTTAACAAAAAAGTCTGGTTGCTCTCTCTTCGACGTCCTGATACCTGGATTCAGTTCACTGATACTGGATTTCAACTTTCCGGTACCTGTATATATAATTAACGCCTAAAGAAACGCGAATACCACACATGTCGGTTAATATATGAAGACTTACTCATATTCAAGAGATATTAGTTTGGTTCGATGAAAAAACGAACATACTGGTATGTTGTGTGAACCGATGCTCATGAACGCATCACATGTGACGTCATAGACTCGAGATACGACATTTGTCTCATGTAGGAGTAGCGTGTAAAGATTGGAAATCACGTGCAGCATATCGTGATAAGAATAAAGACATCCTGTGGTAAAAAGAGATTCTACTGAGATTCGTATTAGATAAGCCTCTTCACGTTGTAGTGTTCATTAACTGAATGTGTTTGTAATGATGACCCAATGCTTGTTTTCAGGACCCTGATCCTGAGGCAGTCAGATTACATCCTGTAAGTTACACATTGTCTACTTGTCTTTTCGGAATAACCTTCATGTACTGTAATATTAGCTGTTTTATTTTTTAAAACAATTCAGCTTGCGTTAAAAAAGCGTAAAAGTAGACGGAGGAAATAGCATTTTTTATGAGTTGGTAGGGTCGGCAATTTACCTTTGTTTTACCTGTTGATGCAAGTACCTGATACTGTCACAAAGCGCACTTGTCTAACCAAGAAGATAAAACAAATTGTAATTTACATGTGGTACCTTCGGAATCAGGAATAAGAATATGGCAAAATTCAGTCTAAATATTTATGTAATATTGAAGTAGAAACAAACACATTATGAAAAAAAACTAGTAATATGTGTTCTCAAGAATGACTTCCTGGAACATTTATTATTGTTTTCAAGGAACATAGGGTATTAAGTTGACACAATCATAGTGGTGTACATGGTGGTAAAGTTATTCATATATATTAACCATCATCTGGTATGAGACCGGAGAGCGGAAGGTCCGGGGTTCGATCCCCGCGGCATACCAAAAGACGTTAAAAGATGGTACTTGTTGTTACCCAGTCTGGCGCTCGGCAATAAGGGCCTAAAACAAGGACTGGTCGGCTCGGAGTTAGTATACTGTGTCTGAGTGGGGTATTCATCAACTGGTCCCTTTTGCTCTTTTGGGATTTCTTTTCTTGTATACTGACAGTCATATTAGATGGAAATTCACTCATCAAGTTTGGCTTACTGTAACTGTCAGATGGTTTGTTCTTTCAAATTTGTTGGAACCGGGGGAAATTTAATTTTGTTTGACCTCAGTATGTTGATAAAAGTGGCTCCAGCTGAGCAAAGTGTATGTATTTGTTTAGGATTTTTTTCTGTACGCCCTGAAGAATCTCTTATTATCAAGGTTATGGAACTCATGGGACCGCGGATTTCTTCTTGTGGGCGTTGCCAGGATACCTGTCTCAGCGAGGACCCGGATGTTCCTTTCCACACATGTTCTTGTGGTCCTTATTCAGATAGTTATGCCTGTTCCTTCTGCTCGTTTATGCTTTCCCCGGTTTTTTTGGAAGATACTTTCCAAGTGTAAGGTAAGGAATTCTCAGGAGTGTTCGGGTATTCCCCGAGAGTGTGCATGTATCCTCGGGGAGAGTTCGGGCATTCCCCGAGACCGTACAGGTATTCTCAGGAGTGTACGGGTATTCCCCGAGAGCGTTCAGGTATTCTCGGGGAGAGTTCGGATATTCCCTGAGAGTGTACAGGTATTCTCAGGAGTGTACGGGTTTTCCCCGAGTGACTTCAGGTATTCTCGGGGAGACTTCGGATGTTCCCCGAGAGACTTCAGGTATTCTCGGGGAGACTTCGGATGTTCCCCGAGAGTGTGCAGGTATTCTCGAGGAGAGTTCGGATATTCCCCGAGAGTGTACAGGTATTCTCAGGAGTGTACGGGTTTTCCCCGAGAGACTTCAGGTATTCTCAGGAGTGTTCGGGCATTCCCCGAGATTGTGCAGGTATCCCCGGGGAGACTTCGGATATTCCCCGAGAGTGTTCAGGTTTTCTCGGGGAGAGTTCGGATATTCCCCGAGAGTGTTCAGATATCCCCGGGGAGAGTTCGAATGCTCCCCGAGAGTGTCCAGGTATTCTCAGGAGTGTACGGGTATTCCCCGAGAGTGTGCAGGTATCCTCGAGGAGAGTTCGGATATTCCCCGAGACTGTTCAGGTATTCTCGGGGAGAGTTCGGATATTCCCTGAGAGTGTGCAGGTAGTCTTAGGAGTGTACGGATATTCCCCGAGACTGTTCAGGTATTCTCGGGGAGAGTTCGGATAATTCCCGAGAGTGTTCAGGTATCCTCGGGGAGAGTTCGGGCATTCCCCGAGACTGTTCAGGTATTCTCGGGGAGAGTTCGGATATTTCCCGAGAGTGTTCAGGTATTCTCAGGAGTGTACGGGTATTCCCCGAGAGTGTGCAGGTATTCTCGGGGAGAGTTCGGGCATTCCCCGAGAGTGTGCAGGTATTCTCGGGGAGAGTTCGGATAATCCCCGAGAGTGTGCAGGTATTCTCAGGAGTGTACGGTTATTCCCCGAGTTTGTGCAGGTATTCTCGAGGAGTGTTCGGATATTCCCAGAGAGTGTTCAGGTATTCTTGGGGAGAGTTCGGATATTCCCCGACGGTGCAGGTATTCTCGGGGAGAGTTCGGGCATTCCCCGAGAGTGTGCAGGTATTCTCGGGGAGTGTTCGGATATTCCCAGAGAGTGTTAAGGTATTCTTGGGGAGAGTTCGGATATTCCCCGAGAGCGTACAGGTATTCTTTGGAGTTTACGGGTATTCCCCGAGAGTGTTCAGGTATTCTCGGGAAGAGTTCGGATATTCCCCGAGAGTGTTCGGGTATTCTCGGGGACAGTTCGGATGTTCCCCGAGAGAGTTCAGGTATTGTCGGGGAGAGTTTGGATATTCCCCGAGAGTGTAGAGCGAGTAATCTCTCACAGTGAATACGCACATCACGTGCCTAGGTGTATAACTAGTTACCTCTGCACGGCATATTGTGAATAGACCTGAGTTTTCTTCCGAAATAGTTGTTGTTGTTGTTGAGGAGAAGTGAAATGGGGTTTTAGGTCCCGCGAAAGACTAGTGTGCTTATATAGCGACGTGCATGCACGTGTATGTGTGGCTGCTTGTACTTGTCCGGACTAATGCCAGTTTCATAGTGCTCGCTCAATGAAATACCAGGTCGCAGTTTAACCCCACCCAGGCACAGAATACTAACTCCGAGCCGACCAGTCCTTGTCTTTTTCTCTCTTAATGCTGAGGGACAGGCAGAGTGACAACAAATACAATCTTTAAACGTCTTTATGTACTTTGTGTTTTGTGTTTTGTGTATAGACAATTTCGAATGACAGTAAAGACCCCGCGTCATGAAATGTGGTTGTGTCATGACGCAAATCACATATAAGTCCGCTCATGCGTGAAGCTTCAACTCACATGCAAAGTAGATTCGACAAGTTAGGTCCGGTTTTGATGATTACAGTGTAGGCGGTTAACGCTTGATGTGCACACCGATAGACAATACTGCAAATAATAAGGTATGTTTTAATCTGTGTAAGTCATCCAGATGCGCAAATGAGCTGTTGTTTGCTTTTAGGCAACAGAGAAATACCACTGAATTTTACCATTTCTCAAAACTATGAGACACTATGGCAAAAACGACGGGACATTTGTAGGACTTACACGAGGACATTGAAGGACTTAAATGAGGACATTGTAGGACTTACACGTGGACATTCTAGGAAGTACATAAGGACAACGTACTGCATCGGTAAAATAGTAACGATGAAATATATTTATGTGGATTATTTTAAAACGGTTAAAATTTTGTTAGATGAAACAGTGCTGTATAATGCAGCATAATCTTCATACACGAACATATACATTTAAAGACGTACACAAGACCTCGTAGGGTAACAACTGACTAACTTGACGTCTCAGCTTCAGGCACGTCTTATTTCATTTTAAGTCTCATGTGTGCACCCATGTGCAGCAATGTTTACATGTTTATTGTATATACTACTTCCAGATGGCGGATTCTGAGGATGTTATCATGACTGAACAGGTAATTTACAAATACAGTCCATATCGATAGTGGTTAACAAAAAAAAGTCTGGTTGCTCCCTCTTCGACGTCCTGATACCTGGATTCAGTTCACCGATACTGGATTTCAACTTCCCGGTACCTGTATAATTTATATACTTAACGCCTAAAGAAACGCGAATACCACACATGTCGGTTAATATATGAAGACTTACTCATATTCAAGAGATATTAGTTTGGTTCGATGAAAAAACGAACACACTGGTATGTTGTGTGAACCGATGCTCATGAACGCATCACATGTGACGTCATAGACTCGAGATACGACATTTGTCTCATGTAGGAGTAGCGTGTAAAGATTGGAAATCACGTGCAGCATATCTTGATAAGAATAAAGTCATCCTGTGGTAAAAATAGATTCTACTGAGATTCGTATGAGATAAGCCTCTTCACGTTGTAGTGTTCATTAACTGAATGTGTTTGTAATGATGACCCAATGCTTGTTTCAGGACCCTGATCCTGAGGCAGTCAGATTACATCCTGTAAGTTACACATTGTCTACTTGTCTTTTCAGAATAACCTTCATGTACTGTAATATTAGCTGTTTTATTTTTTAAAACAATTCAGCTTGTGTTAAAAAAGCCAAAAGTAGTCGGAGGAAATAGCAATTTTTATGAGTGGGTAGTGTTGGCAATTTCCCTATGTTTTGTTAAGTTTTACCTGTTGATGCCATTACCTAATATTGTCACAAAGCGCACTTGTCTAACCAAGAAGATAAAACAAATTGTAATTTACATGTGGTACCTTCGGAATCAGGAATAAGAATATGGCAAAAGTCAGTTTAAATATTTATGTAATATTTTGAAGTAAAAAAAACATATTATGAAAACAAAACTAGTAATATGTGTTCTCAAGCATGACTTCCTTGAACATTTATTATTGTTTTCAAGGAACATAGGGTTTTAAGTTGATACAATCATAGTGGTGTACATTGTGTTAAAGTTATTCATATATTTTAGCCATCATCTGGTATGAGACCGGAGAGCGGAAGGTCCGGGGTTCGATCCCCGCGTCATACCAAACGACGTTAAAAGATGGTACTTGTTGTTACCATGTCTGGCGCTCGGCATTAAGGGGCTAAAACAAGGACTGGTCGGCTCGGAGTCAGTATACTGTGTCTGAGTGGGGTATTCATGTTAAACTGCGGCATGGTATGTTAGTGGGCTAGCACTATAAATCGGCATCAGTCCGGACTATTACAAGCAGCCACACAAACACACACACGTACATGCACGTCGCTATATAAGTGCAATAATCTTGGACGCTCAACCCAATTTCACCTCAACTCATCTGGTATGTCCTTCCGTCCGTCCGTCCACCCGTATTTCTTGACAACCAACTATTGGATAATAGAATGTTCTTGTTCTTGTTTCAGCTCCAAAAGATCTCTGATGATCTCCAAGAAGACCACCGCAACAACTTCTATTGTGAAATGCTATTTCAGCTTGTTGGTGCCACTGGAAACGTGTTAGTCGTTGTGGCATTTGGGTTCATGTTCAACCCAAACCTTTTTCACTACTCTGACTACATTGCTGCGTCAGGGTCTGCCGTCTCGCTGTTGTCTAATATCGGAATATTGTTAGCAGACCGTAAACTACGATACGACAACAGAAAACTTGTAAAAGAAGATCTTCTCAAACTGATTACAGATGGCACAGAAAACTCACAAATAGTATTAAACTCCCAAAGTCTGAAGACCCTGATAGATATTTCTTTACGTCCTGAAGAATCTCTTATTATCAAGGTTATTGAACTCATGAAACAAAGGATTTTTTCTTGTGGGCGTTGCCAGCATACCTGTCTCAGCGAGGACCCGGATGTTCCTTTATGTACATGTTCTTGTGGTCCTTGTTCCGATAGTTATGCCTGTTCCTTCCTCTCCTTTATGCTTACCCCGGGTTTTTACGAAGATACATTCCAAGTGGTGTCTTCAGGGTGGTTGCTCAGCAGCAACATAAAAGCCATTGCTGATCGAGTCCAGAACAGTGATCCACCGGATAATCTGTTGTCAATGGGATCCTTAGGCATGATCTGTGAATTTGTGGAACTGACACTTGCTGTACTGTCGGTTTTCATAGTCATCGCCTTCTTATGTTCTCAGTGCTCCAGTCGTCAAAAAGGCGAAATGCCAAATATCATTAATAGAGTAAACGAATTAGACCTCGGACAAGCTTCCAGTGCCTAACAGTAATCAGCAGAAATAGCGGACGCCAATCTAAATGTAAAGGAGTCAAGCTTGTTACTTCTTGGCATTCATTTTATAGATTTGACTTTAGGTTGTATGTTTGTTTGTTTGTTTGTTTGTTGTGTAACATTCCAGGAACATTCCAGCTATACGAGTACAATGTGTAAAGACCATTTCTGGTATCCCCTGCCGTGATATTGCTGGGATTTTGTCCAAAGCGGCATAAAACCATACTCACTCCCAGCTTTGTGACTGCAGTCTGTAAATAATAGAGTCTGAACAAGACACTCGAGTGGATGACATCATGTTTTAGGTTGTAGAGCTAGTAAATAACGTAGATATTTATTATCTTTAAGTTCATATCAACCGTTAGGGGTGATTTAGCCCGAAGTGTAATGATAATGGCAGATAACAATTCTATTAATTGTCAAAATATGTTCATGATCATTTGTTAGGAAATAAAATCTATAGTGCGAAGGCGAAACCTTTTTATTGATCTTTTTAATATCCTGATATAAAAAAAATATGGATTTCGACGCAGCACGCAGGTTTCTCCCCATGGTGATCGCTGGGAAGAATAGTTCCCCAGTTGGGATTTACGGGTAGAATATGTGGTCTGTACCCTGTACTGTCGCACCGTCGGGAATACGGGGAAGAATATTAGGGATGTACCCTGGGGATATACGAGCACAATATGCGGCTGTGTCATATACTAGTCACCCATTGGGGAGTACCTGGCGAAGTTGTGATTGTAGCTATAGACTTTGTTGATAAACACTCTCCGTGTGATTCACAGAGGCTTACAAGGGTCAAGTACACAACGATGACGACAGTCACAGGCCAGAGATGGGTCAAGGCTGTAACCAGAGCATGAATCAAAGTTACAAACGCTAGGTTACTGGCCAGAAAGGTCAAGGTTATAAGCGGAGGACCAATCAAAGTTACAAACACCAGGTCACAGGCCAGAGAAAGGTCAACGTTATAACCGGAGGACCAAACAAAGTTAAAAACGCTAGGTCCGGTGCAGGTTTTAGGTTTTAGACAAGTGACGATCTTTCAGAAAACGACATCTTACGCGAATTGTGTATAAACAGCCTTATTTTGGGACATTAATGGTGTGGCAGAATCACATCTTGTTGGAGAAAATGAACTGAAAACTCAAGGTTATACATGGTTCGGTCATCGAAAATGCGAAGTGCGGATCTGGAGGTTAAGAACAATTTAGTTTATATTTCTAATGTATTAGTATTAGGTAATAAATCCGGCATATGAAGGGACTGTGTGGTTACAACTCTCACACGAAGGAATGACCAGTTGTGTTGCAACAATGTGTGTGTTATTTGCCACCGGAATAGTCAACAACACACGTTGATGCGACCCAGTTTAAAAAAAATACTTGTGCAGAATTACGCCTATAACATTACAATAATAATTATATCTATGGCGATTTCAAATCGATTTTCGTTTACTTTGAGGGTGTACATTTCTTGCTTGTCTCAGATCGATGACACTGTTTTTATCTATGGACGGTTATTATCTGACTTTTTATTAAATGCCAATAAACGCAAGTGTGTTAGTGATTTGATGTATGTTTCATATTAAAGCGCTTCTGTGGTTGAATACTGCTTTTGAATTATTGTTTGTTGTTTTACGTGGCACTCAGCAATATTCCAGCAATACGATGGCAGTCGGTTAATAATCGAATCTGGACAATCCAGTGATTGACATCATGAGTATCGATATACGCAAGTGGGATACAATGATATCCATGAACCAAGTACACACATGGGTTGCTGAAGACCAATTCTAACCCGGAATCTTCGCGGGACTAATTATTTGATAGTATTTCACAATTTCAGTTAATTCGCCCAAAGTGACTGGTGGATTACGCTGGTCTTGCCTGCTCAAAGTGAAGCTGAACTAGACCACTCTGTTTTAACCTTGACTATGTGTATTGAATGTTACGGAACTCCATGCGAAGTCAGGACCAATAACGAGTGTGTTATAACGTGTGTACCGGACACTTTGCTATCATTTGTCGACAATATTGATATACTTAATGGTATCATATAAAGACTGGAAGATATAGATATGCGACATTAAGATGTAGGTAGTGTCTTTCAGTCGTTTAGGAGAACAACACTACTGGGTGAAATGAAAGACTAGTTACCAACAAGACGTATGTATCCTAACAGTAATAAGCTAAATATCAAAAGGAAAGCTGAAAAGGCTTGGCTTCTTTTAGAGGCATTTAGAAGTTGGAGTACTAAGTGAGGATAAGATTAATGAATGAACAACTTATTTATCAAAATTAGGAGCGACGTTTCGGTGTAGGTTCTAACACCGACAGTGAGTGAGTTTGGTTTAACGCCGCTTTTAGTGGTATTCAAGTTATATCACTGCGTGTCAGCTTAATTGTGGGAGGGAAGCCCGGAGTGATGCAGGTCTCAGGCTTTTACCACTTCGGTGAAACCCACGAGCAAGGGTATGGTGCTGACAAACCTAGAAACAGGAGCGAACCCACAATCATAGGTTTCTGACGTGCCTTTTATCGGACACCTTGTCATTAACTTATTTTACAGCTACCCAGTGCAACCACAGTTGCACGTCATATCGCGAATGGCATGGTAGTGTATCGGAGTTGATATACCGGTGAAACCAACGAGCACGAGTATGGTGCTGACAAACCTAGAAACATAATGGGGGCGAACCGGGATTCGAACCCACAATCATAGATTTCTGACGTGCCCAAGGGACGCAACTCTGCACAGCGAATCGCGGCGCCTTAGACGACTGCGCCACCCGTGACCCCCTAACACCGTACAATAGAGAGGAGGAGTCTGGTGCTTCTATCCTGCCTGGCATCGGCATTAAGGGGACTGGTCGGCTCTAAGTCAGTACACTTTATCTGAGTGCAGTATTCATGTTAAACTGCGGCATGGCATCTCAGTGGGCTAGCACGACCGGTATTAGTCCGGACAGCCACACACGCACGCACGCACGCAAACACACACACACACACACACACACACACACACACACACACACACACACACACACACACACACACACACACACACACACACACACACACACACACACACACACACACACACACACACTAAACACGTCGCAATACGTCGCAATACGTTGTTCTTCACAGCATGTATCGGGATATATCCCAGACATTTATCGATGTCATCTAAAGATATACAAAAGGTACATGGAAGATAAGAATTTATTAACATAAATAATGGGTAGAGCTTAGCATTTTTACAGGTTTATATATGGCTGCCCCAAATGTGCCCATGTGACACGGCGCTACTATGCGCCGAGTTCTCTAAACTGAGATAATGAGTCTGTAAGTGTGAAGTTTGAAGAACGACATTCTACAAAATCGTACAATGGCGAAAAACGTTTACATTATATTGCAATTGATATTTTGTAGGAACAGTATATTGGCCTACAGCAAAGACTGAACGGTCGTCTAAGGCGCCGCGATTCGCTGTGCAGAGTTGCGTCCCTTGGGCACGCCAGAAACCTATGATTGTGGGTTCAAATCCCGGTTCGCCCACATTATGTTTCTAGGTTTGTCAGCACCATACCCATGCTCGTGGTTTTCACCGAAGTGGTAAACGTTTGAGACCTGCATCACTTCGGGCTTCCCTCCCACATTAAGCTGACACGCCGTGACATAACTGGAATACTGTTAAAAGGGGTACAAGGCGTGTGGTGGGTATAAGTTATCTCCATGTGTGCACCAAGGGTCATTAATGACGATAACAACTGACATGAGTTGCATACGTACACAGCTGTCGCCAATTCAAGCCGCATGACAGGAGGAAAAACGTTAGTGATCAGCACAAGTTCAGAATCGCAAAATGGAGGACGAGAAGTGTGTTGATGACCACATACCTCCGTTAGAAGGAAACAGGGTACTCAGAGCACATAAACCTTCCAATGAACTCCTGAAAGTATCAGATGAAGACTCTCATCTGTTGGACTCCATGGGGAACATTAAGTCCTACAAACGCCGGTGGTATGTTCTGATGGTGTTCTCGTATGCCGCTCTTCTTCAGGCTGGGGTGTGGAACACTTTCGGACCTATTGCTCAGTCAGCTAAGGCTGTGTTCGGGTGGACGGATGCCAATATAGGCATGCTGAACAACTGGGGGAATATTATGTACGTTGTGTTCATGTTTCCAGTGGCCTGGTTGATGGATGTCAAAGGTAGGAATCTGTACTTGATGTGACACATGTTTGACAAGGTTATACCGTACACGCCTATATTCAATGGAATCTATCCCATTATAAATATTGAAAATGTCATGAAATTCATTAAAGACGCTTAATGCTAAAAACATGGAAATGAACTGCTAACAGTCATAAACCTACTGAGATCATAATAACTTGCAACAAGAACCTTGATCAATGCTATAAAATGTGAAAAAACATACTTCTGCAGTAACGTTGCTTATGTGTTGTGTGATAAAGTATTGTTTTGCCCTGAGCTATTATTGTACGAGGGTAGATAACTGGAACAGCGACATGGCGTCTACCCAATATAACTCAAAAGTATACTTTGTCGCAGGATAAAGTATAAGCGGCACCTTTGATCTTTTAGCGAAGCATCAGAATTAAACTCCCAAAGTCTGAAGACCCTGATAGATATTTCTGTACGTCCTGAAGAATCTCTTATTATCAAGGTTATGGAACTCATGAAACAAAGGATTTCTTCTTGTGGGCGTTGCCAGGATACCTGTCTCAGCGAGGACCCGGATGTTCCTTTATGTACATGTTCTTGTGGTCCTTATTCAGATAGTTATGCCTGTTCCTTCCTCTCCTTTATGCTCACCCCGGGGTTTTTCGAAGATACATTCCAAGTGGTGTCTTCAGGGTGGTTGCTCAGCAGCAACATAAAAGCCATTGCTGATCGAGTCCAGAACAGTGATCCACCGGATAATCTGTTGTCAATGGGATCCTTAGGCATGATCTGTGAATTTGTGGAACTGACACTTGCTGTACTGTCGGTTTCCATAGTCATCGCCTTCTTATGTTCTCAGTGCTACAGTCGTCAAAAAGGCGAAATGCCAAATATCATTAATAGAGTAAACGAATTAGACCTCGGACAAGCTTCCAGTGCTAAACAGTAATCAGCAGAAATAGCGGACGCTAATCTAAATGTAAAGGAGTCAAGCTTGTTACTTCTTGGCATTCATTTTATAGATTTGACTTTAGGTTGTATGTTTGTTTGTTTGTTTGTTTGTTGTGTAACATTCCAGGAACATTCCAGCTATACGAGTACAATGTGTAAAGACCATTTCTGGTATCCCCTGCCGTGATATTGCTGGGATTTTGTCCAAAGCGGCATAAAACCATACTCACTCCCAGCTTTGTGACTGCAGTCTGTAAATAATAGAGTCTGAACAAGACACTCGAGTGGATGACATCATGTTTTAGGTTGTAGAGCTAGTAAATAACGTAGATATTTATTATCTTTAAGTTCATATCAACCGTTAGGGGTGATTTAGCCCGAATTGTAATAATAATGGCAGATAACAATTCTTTTAACTGTCAAATACATGTTCATGATCATTCGTTAAGATATAAAAACTGTAGAGCAAAGACGAATCCTGTTTATTGATCTATTTCATATCCTGTGGATTTTGACGCAGTACGCAGGTTTCTCTCTATGATGATCGCTGGGAAGAATAGTTCCCCAGTTGGGATTTATGGGTAGAATATGTGGTCTGTACCCTGTACTGTCAAATCCGTCGGGAATACGGGGAAGAATATTAGGGGTGTACCCTGGGGATGTACGAGCAAAATATGCGGCTGTGTCATATACTAGTCTCCCATTGGGGAGTACCTGGCGAAGTTGTGATTGTAGCTATAGACCTTTGTTGATAAACACTCTCCATGTGATTCACAGAGGCTTACCTGGGTCAAGTACACAACGATGACGACAGTCACAGGCCAGAGATGGGCCAAGGTTGTAACCGGAGGATGAATCAAAATCACAAACACTAGGTCACACGCCAGAGAAAGATCAAGGTTATAACCGGAGGACCAATCAAAATTACAAACGCCAGATCACAGGCCAGAGAAAGGTCAACGTTATAACCGGAGGACCAAACAAAGTTAAAAACGCTAGGTAGGGTGCAGGTTTTAGGTTTTAGACAAGTGACGATCTTTCAGAAAACGACATCTTACGCGAATTGTGTATAAACAGCCTTATTTTGGGACATGGTGTGGCAGAATCACATCTTGTTGGAGAAAATGAACTGAAAACTCAAGGTTATACATGGTTCGGTCATCGAAAATGCGAAGTGCGGATCTGGAGGTTAAGAACAATTTAGTTTATATTTCTAATGTATTAGTATTAGATAATAACTCCGGCTTATGAAGGGACTGTGTGGTTACAACTCTCACACGAAGGAATGACCAGTTGTGTTGCAACAATGTGTGTGTTATTTGCCGACGGAATAGTCAACAACACACGTTGATGCGACCCAGTTTAAAAAAAATACTTGTGCAGAATTACGCCTATAACATTACAATAATAATTATATCTATGGCGATTTCAAATCGATTTTCGTTTACTTTGAGGGTGTACATTTCTTGCTTGTCTCAGATCGATGACACTGTTTTTATCTATGGACGGTTATTATCTGACTTTTTATTAAATGCCAATAGACGCAAGTGTGTTAGTGATTTGATGTATGTTTCATATTAAAGCGCTCGGGTGGTTGAATACTGCTTTTGAATTATTGTTTGTTGTTTTACGTGGCACTCAGCAATATTTCAGCAATACGATGGCAGTCGGTTAATAATCGAATCTGGACAATCCAGTGATTGACATCATGAGTATCGATATACGCAAGTGGGATACAATGATATCCATGAACCAAGTACACACATGGGTTGCTGAAGACCAATTCTAACCCGGAATCTTCGCGGGACTAATTATTTGATAGTATTTCACAATTTCAGTTAATTCGCCCAAAGTGACTGGTGGATTACGCTGGTCTTGCCTGCTCAAAGTGAAGCTGAACTAGACCACTCTGTTTTAACCTTGACTATGTGTATTGAATGTTACGGAACTCCATGCGAAGTCAGGACCAATAACGAGTGTGTTATAACGTGTGTACCGGACACTTTGCTATCATTTGTCGACAATATTGATATACTTAATGGCATCATATAAAGACTGGAAGATATAGATATGCGACATTAAGATGTAGGTAGTGTCTTTCAGTCGTTTAGGAGAACAACACTACTGGGTGAAATGAAAGACAAGTTACCAACAAGACGTATGTATCCTAACAGTAATAAGCTAAATATCAAAAGGAAAGCTGAAAAGGCTTGGCTTCTTTTAGAGGCATTTAGAAGTTGGAGTACTAAGTGAGGATAAGATTAATGAATGAACAACTTATTTATCAAAATTAGGAGCGACGTTTCGGTGTAGGTTCTAACACCGTACAGTGAGTGAGTTGGGTTTAACGCCGCTTTTAGTGGTATTCAAGTTATATCACTGCGTGTCAGCTTAATTGTGGGAGGGAAGCCCGGAGTGATGCAGGTCTCAGACTTTTACCACTTCGGTGAAACCCACGAGCAAGGGTATGGTGCTGACAAACCTAGAAACAGGAGCGAACCCACAATCATAGGTTTCTGACGTGCCCTTTACCGGACACCTTGTCATTAACTTATTTTACAGCTACCCAATGCATCCACAGTTGCACGTCATATCGCGAATGGCATGGTAGTGTATCGGAGTTGATATACCGGTGAAACCAACGAGCACGAGTATGGTGCTGACAAACCTAGAAACATAATCATTGGTTTCTAGCGTGCCCAAGGGACGCAACTCTGCACAGCGAATCGCGGCGCCTTAGACGACTGCGCCACCCGTGACCCCCTAACACCGTACAATAGAGAGGAGGAGTCTGGTGCTTCTATCCTGCCTGGCATCGGCATTAAGGGGACTGGTCGGCTCTAAGTCAGTACACTTTATCTGAGTGCAGTATTCATGTTAAACTGCGGCATGGCATCTCAGTGGGCTAACACGACCGGTATTAGTCCGGACAGCCACACACGCACGCACGCACGCACGCACGCACGCACACACACACACACACACACACACACACACACAATAAACACGTTGCAATACGTCGCAATACGTTGTTCTTCACAGCATGTATCGGGGATATATCCCAGACATTTATCGATGTCATCTAAAGATATACAAAAGGTACATGGAAGATAAGAATTTATTAACATAAATAATGGGTAGAGCTTAGCATTTTTACAGGTTTATATATGGCTGCCCCAAATGTGCCCATGTGACACGGCGCTACTATGCGCCGAGTTCTCTAAACTGAGATAATGAGTCTGTAAGTGATAAGTTTGAAGAACGACATTTTACAAAATCGTACAATGGCGAAAAACGTTTACATTATATTGCAATTGATATTTTGTAGGAACAGTATATTGGCCTACAGCAAAGACTGAACGGTCGTCTAAGGCGCCGCGATTCGCTGTGCAGAGTTGCGTCCCTTGGGCACGCCAGAAACCTATGATTGTGGGTTCGAATCCCGGTTCTCCCCAATTATGTTTCTAGGTTTGTCAGCACCATACCCGTGCTCGTGGTTTTCACCGAAGTGGTAAACGTTTGAGACCTGCATCACTTCGGGCTTCCCTCCCACATTAAGCTGACACGCCGTGACATAACTGGAATACTGTTAAAAGGGGTACAAGGCGTGTGGTGGGTATAAGTTATCTCCATGTGTGCACCAAGGGTCATTAATGACGATAACAACTGACATGAGTTGCATACGTACACTGACTAACTTGGACACTCAACAGCTGTCGCCAATTCAAGCCGCATGACAGGAGGAAAAACGTTAGTAATCAGCACAAGTTCAGAATCGCAAAATGGAGGACGAGAAGTGTGTTGATGACCACATACCTCCGTTAGAAGGAAACAGGGTACTCAGAGCACATAAACCTTCCAATGAACTCCTGAAAGTATCAGATGAAGACTCTCATCTGTTGGATTCCACGAGGAACATTAAGTCCTACAAGCACCGGTGGTATGTTCTGGTGGTGTTCTCATTTGCTGCCCTTCTTCAGGCTGGGGTGTGGAACACTTTCGGACCTATTGCTCAGTCAGCTAAGGCTGTGTTCGGGTGGACGGATGCCAATATAGGCATGCTGAACAACTGGACAAATATTGTGTACATTATCTTCATGTTTCCAGTGGCCTGGTTGATGGATGTCAAAGGTAGGGATCTGTACTTGATGTAAGACACGTTTGAAAAGGTTATACCGTACAAGCTAATATTCACTGGAATGTATCCCATTATGAATATGGAAAATGTCATGAAATTCATTAAATACACTAAATTCTAATAAGCATAGAAATGAACTGCTAACAGTAATGAACCTATTGAGATCATAATAACAAGAACCTTGATCAATGCTATAAAATGTGAAAAAGCATACCACTGCAGTAACGTTGCTTAACCCTTATAATGTGTGATAAAGTATTGTTTTGCTCTGAGCTATTATTGTACAAGGGAAGATAACTGGAACAGCGACATGGCGTCTACCCAATATAACTCAAAAAGTATACTTTGTCGCAGGATAAAGTATAATCGGCACCTTTGATCTTTTAGCGAAGCATCTTAGAAATATATACAGCAAGCCAATAGAGGGCTGTCATTTCTACCTTGCTGTCTCACGCACATGGACACACACAGACAGACACATACGTTTTTGACGTTTCCACAGTACAGGCTTATTTTCGTTGTATTATTACCCAGCGTGAATGTTGAGATAAGTGACTTACAAGACAATATGAATCTATAGAGGCTGCTTTATGATGGTTATCAAATATGTTCTTTATCGCATTGAGTGGTGTGTTCTCCGAAGGAATAGTCAGAGTGTTCTGGGCGACAGGGTACGACCATCCAACCATTTTAGGATCCACATTGATGGTTACGTTGCCATCGGTAGCAAGGAACCGATAGTGTTTCCTGACATCATGCTTGTCAGGAAGTTCTTTGTTGAGATGAACAAAAAAAAGCAAACAAGAAAAAAAGGGACAAAACCTTTTGGTGAGGGAAGTAGTCTGGGTCAAAGGTGTTATTCTACTCTTTTTAATAATATCACGTTATTTCACAGGGTGAAAATATTATTTTTATTTAAGCCAATACATACTGTATCTCATCCTTAGAAATATAATAAGTGATACGATTGAAATTATGCTGTGTGTAGCGCTGGTAGTGGGTATGCGCGGGAAGGGGCGTGGTGTGTGTGTTTGACTGCCGGTACTAGTCCGGCTGATTATGCTGATTGTTTTAGTGCTGTCTCACTGAGATACCACATGCATGCCGCAGTTCAATATGAATACGCCGCATAGTGAATGAGTGAGTGAGTGAGTGAGTGAATGAGTGAGTGAGTGAGTGAGTGAGTGAGTGGGTGAGTGAGTTGGGTTTAACTCCGCTTTTAACAGTATTCCAGTTATATCACTTCTTTCAGTGGCATTTAGAAGTTGGTGTGATGAAGTAAGACGAGTTCTGTGGATGAACAACTTCTTATTACAATTAGTGCGACGTTTCGGTGTAGATCCTAACAACTAATTGTAATTAGAAGTTGTTCATCCATTGAACTTGTCTTACGTTTCGGTGTAGATCCTAACACCTTTATCAAGCAAGTGATCACTTGCTTGATAAAGGTGTTAGGATCTACACCGAAACGTCGCACTAATTGTAATAAGAAGTTGTTCATCCATAGAACTCGTCTTACTTCAGTTATATCACGACGTGTCAGCTTAATGTTGGAGGAAAGCCCGAAGTGATGCAGGTCTTGGACGTTTACCACTTCGGTGAAACCCACGAGCATGGGTATGGTGCTGACAAACCTAGAAACAGCCCAAGGGAATAGCGGTACAGTAGGCAACTAGGTCACCCGTGTCCCCCTACGCCGCTTAGACACAGTATACTGACTCCGAGCCGACCAGTCCTTGTTTAAGACCCTTAATGCCGATGCCAGGCAGGGTAACGACAAGTACCATCTTTTAATGTCTTTTGGTAGACGCGGTCGGGGATCGAACCCACGACCTTCCGCTCTCGGGCAGACGCTCTACCACTAGACCACGGTGGCGGTCCCATTTATTCATAGTAATAAAGATGAAATATGTTGGTGTTGCTTTGTACGGCTAGAATACGCTTCGCTTTATCGGTCACCTTGTCATTAACTTATTTTACAGCTACCCATCCACAGTTGCACGTCATATCGCGAATGACATGGTATATCAGAGTTGATATATCGCCTTTTTGGTATCATTTTGTAAGCATACCGGCCTTCCCCTGGCAAGAGAACACCCAACACAGTGTATTGCATGCAGCGATCATATCATTTAGCGATATGTTGATGTATTGATCGTTAGAAAATAAGTTGAAATCCTGCTCTCATTTTGGCCTACACCGAGCACACGCTTAATTTGATTACACACCAATAATAGTTAAAATGGTAAATCATTGATTAATTAAAACCAAGGGAAAGGGAGATGACAACTGTGACATCAGTCAAGAACTCTTGGTCTTCCTCCTGAACAAGTTTCAACTTGACCAGTGACATTTTTAAGCCAAACCTCTCAGCCTCTCAGTTCAAATCTTGCAAATTCCTGCATGTGTTTGATGTTGCAATACTATGTTATCAATCAGATATTTTCAAACCATTAGTTGGGTGGGGTGGGGTGGGGTCGGGGATATGTATAATTTTGATGCGCCTGCTGTCAATTCAACAAATGCGTGTAGGCCAGCTATCGTAATGTTTAAGCAACGTATTACTCCAATATCACTACCACCCAAACACCTGAATACTTGTCTGTAACCAGTGATAAGGAATATAGCAAACAGTTGACGGTTGTGTGTACAAGGACATAATGATCATTAAGTTGTTCAAATATGACCAAATGTCAACATATTCTTCATATTCATAATAGCCAGCGAACATGTTAAAGGAGTATCAAAATACCCATTCAGTTATTGCTACACTGGAACATACTTCTATTGTATGAACATGTCTTGCAGCATGAAATGGAATTAATATATTACTTAAGTATATACTGTCATACAAATACTACATATATACTGTTCACTGGTGACATATCTTTTGTAAAACTCTCACTTGTTATCACATAATTAAAATGAACATACTACATACACCAGTCTCCATAAGTGCATGATAGAACACTGCCTTTTGTAGACGTATGCAAGGAGGGGATTAAGTTGTCATGTACAAAATGATTTCTAACTTTATACATAAACACATAGGTGAACTGTTGTACTCAACTGCATCTTGATTGAAACTGTGTTGGTATCGTTAGGTCTACATCGCTAGAGTATGTTATTCAAAATTAGTGTTGAAAAAATGACACGTTTTCAGAAACATTTTCTTTATCGTTTATAACGTCGTTCCAGGGCTTCTTTTTGTCACTTCATGCCATGAATTACGTCAAAAGCTGATGAGGTAGTCGTTGGAAAACCGGCAACTCTCTATCCAGGATGTTTAATTACTATCCGTATATTGCATCTGTATCAATAACAAACGAAACAGTGAAAACGTAAAACCATGACATATTTAAATTTATGTAGATTAAAGGTATATATTTATCAGTATTTTGCAAGGCCATCAATTCAACAGGTGTGATGTGGGATATATCTTACTACAGATAACCTGTATTGTTACTGTTAATATATTTCTGAATGGCTGATTTCATGAATATAAATGTCCTCAGACAAATATGAACAGGAATATACAGCAAAATAGTAAGGTCACTAAAAAAGGTGACACAAAATGTGAGAACCTATAAAAAGTAGTGAAAACAGTGTATACAAGTGAAGGGCGGTATGTTTTATATTCCACAGATATAGTACGACACGTTTATGTTTCCACATACCTCAAAGATTTTATCACTGGAAAAATGTGAGCCTCTGTGCCTGTGGTTGTGAATATAGTAGATATCTTAATATTTGTCATGTCGATTGGCTTCTGAATGTTACTGAGCTTCAAGACGTATTTATCCCACTCTCTCGCTCCAGGACTGCGGATATCAATGCTGTTGTGCGCTGCGCTGATGGTGTTCCTCACTGCCATAAGATGCATCACGAGTGAAGCAGTACCAGCGACATGGTCAGTACCGCACCAGTGTATATTGAATGTGGCAATCCAGTGCATACCGTATTTGATGGCATATTATATTAATGGGACGTTTTTAAGGTTTCGTACACTTAAACCTACAGCAAATATATTATTTCTAACATATGTTGTTATTCTGGTGTTAAATGACGGCCATAAAGTGCATTACGAGTAAAACAGCTGTACCGGCAACATGGTCAGTAACGCTCCAGTGTATACTGAATGTGGCAGCCCAGTGCAGGCCACATTTTATGCTATGACATATGATATCATATACTAAGATCTCCAGCGCATATGTTATTTCTAACATAGTGTGTAGATGCCTGAACATGATATTTTTCTAAGAATAAAATGAAACAATATTTAAAAAAAACATTCTGTAACAGCACAAGTCAGACACTCAAGCCAGGGTTATCTAAGTCAATGAATGCGACTTGATTATCTGAAATCTCTCATACTTTCTGAGTCTTCATACATGTATGTTAAAAAAAATTAGAAAGCAATCCTTCATGTATAATATACTGAACAACAAAAGTTCCTGTGACGGTGAATAAGACTTAATGCAAAGCTATGTTTTTTACCAAATCTGAAACATTTCAGTGTGCAACAGATAAAAGACATCTGTAAGAGTTCAAATGGTTTAATTTGCCATACTGACTTCAGAAAATGCGTGATTTCATAAAAAACAACAACATGAACATGCCAAAATGTCAATTTAAAAATCAATAGCGTGTGTGTCCACCTCTGGTTGCGATGCAAGCAACACATCTTCGTCTCATGGAATGGACCAGGTGTCGCACAAAGTCTTGTTGGATATCTGTCCATATCTGCTGGAGCATGTTTCGAAGTTCCTGGAGTGTCTGTGGAACACGTGGTTGACGTCGAATACGCCGATCCATCTCATCCCACATGTGCTTGATTGGTGAGAGATCAGGGAGCGAGCTGGTCAGGGGATGACATTGACGTTGTTTTGTTGAAGGGAATCCTGAACAAGTCGAGCAATATGAGGCCGGGCGTTGTCATGTTGAAAGATAATGCCTGGGCCATGACAACGCAAAAACGGTAGAACAAAAGGGCCGATGATCTCGTTGCGGTACCGCTGTCCATTGAGATTTCCCTCTACCACTATCAAACGGGTCCTCTGTCTTGCTGTAATCCCACCCCATACCAAAACGCTGCCGCCCCCGAATCGATCTTCTTCCATGACACAATGATTGACGTAACGTTCACCTCGACGTCGCTACACTCGAATCCGTCCATTGCTGTGGCTGAGGTGAAAACGAGATTCGTCAGTGAATAGAACTTGTCCCCACTGCATGGCCGTCCAGCGTAGACGCCCTCTGCACCACTGTAGACGTGCTTGACAGTGGTTTCCTGTCAAAATGGGACGTCTGGCGGGTCTTCTGGCGACAATCCCTGCACATCTGAGGCGGCGACGTACGGTTTGTGAAGATATTCGTCGAAGGCCAAGGATGCTTCTTGCAGTCACTGTTGCTGGCTGGAATCGATTTCGTAGGTGTGTTGTTCGAATCCAGTTGTCTTGTCGATTACTGGTTACGCGTGGCCTGCCACTCCGAGGATGGTTTTCTGACTGCATTTGTCTGTTGCCAACGTTGCCATAAACACCAAATGGTGTTTCTGTGGTCGTTGAATTGTCTTGCAACATCACGTTGACTCGATCCAGCTTCAAGCATACTAATGGCCCGCAGACGCTCATTTTCGGACGGGCGTGGCATTTCGTAATGTTGAATAATTGCGTAATTGTGTTGTTCTTCTGAGTAGTTGTTGTCAGCACGATGCTTAACAATGCATATGGAGTCCCGTAAAGGCACATGTTTTTATACCCATTCTTGGGTAGTGAAATGCATGAGGCTTGCATAAAAGTCAACTTTCGCATGGAATGCATGCTTTTCTGTAGCAGTTGCGTTTTTGTGACTTGATTCCATACATGTACTACAATATTAAAATCCAAACTTTACTTGTTTGAAAAATACAATAAAATATTGAACACAATACGAACACAATAGTATGTTGTGTGAACCAATGCTCAATGAACGCATCACATGTGACGTCATATATCCAAGACTTGAGATGCACTATTTGCCTCGTGCAGGATAAGCGTGTAACGTTTGGAAATAACGTGCAGCATATCGTGTGAAGAATAAGGACACGCTGTGGTAACACTTGACTGATTGTTAGTTTTGTCATTAATTGGTACACTTTTGAAACATCCCTTCTTAACATACATATTTCTCGATATGTGTCTATGGTTCGCGTTTCTTTTGGCGGTGAGTATATTTTGTTATAGAATGCTTTATATTTTGTTACGGTTCTAACATTTAGGCGTTGTGTAAGAAAGTATGTTTTCAATTTTATTAAAATTTTATCGTTCTTTAAGTTTTATCGTTCATACGTAAACAAAAGCGATAAAACCCTTTCCATATTCACAAGAATTATCTGCCAAAAGCAGAGTCGATTCCGACTCTATCACGAGCACGTGTTTATGAATCGCAATCAAATAGTGATGATACCAGGTGTTCGCGAAAATGTGAGCGTATCCTGCCCCACCGATGACACACGTCACAAACACGTGCAAAGGCTAGTCAATTGTTCACCTGAACAAATACGGCAACATATTGTACAAGTCAAAATAGGGAATTGCATCGGACATCATCCTTGTCACTGATGTGTCAAATTTGGAAATGTCCTCCACATGTCTACCATAACACATTTTTGAAAGATTTACTTAGTCCTTGAATGTTGCAACCTTGATCAAACAGCTTCTGAGCAAGAGTGGTGTTTGCACTGTTGGTAGAAAGAGCATGCTTGAGTGTACCTCAAATGTTTTAAAATGGAGACACCAAGGTTTTTAGATGAAGGGATATAGCTCGACATAAAGGTCTAGTGGAGAGTGTTTTTCCCTGTGAACCATCATGCATAGATCTAAACATGAAACAGATTAAGTGATCTGGTCTCCTTTTTGCTCGTTCAAATGGTTAAATCAGTGGAAGGGAATAACGATATACTAGAAGTTTATTAAGTTAAACATTTTGGCCAAATTACCTAGTTTTCACTTTGCCAGTCCAAGCAGAAATTCCGATTCATGTGCATCCGTTCAGCATGAAGGGGAGCACAATCGGTGCCCATATGGATGCATAGGGATGCAGTCGTGCCCATACGGACGTTCTGTGAAGAAATCCAGGTTATATGTGACAATAAGCGTGCTTAAAATGTTATTATAGTCTTAACATTTAGACGTTCTGTAACGAATAATAAAAATAGTTAATTACGTTTCATATTTATCACATAACGCTACCATTGTTGTAAGACACACGCGCGTACACACACACACATACACATTGATCACAATTATCAGATTCAATTTTGTTTATGTCTATCATCTAATCAGTAATCACTTCAAATAGATACATGAAGGTTTTATTTTTTTAGGTCCATGACGTTCACCTTATGATACTATGAAAGCTTTTATGCTCCGTTATTCAAACCTACTTTAAGGTTGATAAACATCTCAGCTATTGTGAATGGTGTGGTTGGCACTGTGCCATTCGGCGGCCCCGCCCTCCTCTCCGCCACGTGGTTTCCCCCCAAACAGAGGGCCACTGCTACAGCCGTGTCAACTGTGTTCAGCTACCTCGGCCTCTCTGTCGGCTTCATCATTGGTGAGTAGGGCGTTTAAAAGTCACCAGCACAGCTTCTGATGGACATAATCAAGATTAGAGATATGATATAGATAATATAATGTTACAAGGTATTTGAAACCTAAAACCAACAGCAACTGATGTAATAAAATGTCATCAGCTACACGTAAAGGGATGACGGGAACTTCGGGGTTTCAACCGGATTTCACATCCAGATGACATATGACATGAATGGTTCATTGAAGACTAAATAATACTCGTATTGATGTTTCAAAAGTGTTGCATTATTTCATTAGGGCATGTAGAGTGTTACACCAAAAGGTGCTCGCGTAGTGTAAGGAGATGCAATATATTCACAGAGACCAGCTGGTCACCCGTTTCAATCCATTTTCGTAGCTTTGATGACAAAACAAATACTAGCTAGAATAACACAAATAAAGTATTAAACTATCTAACAACCTTCTTGTACATACAGTGTTGCAAGCTGCATGCAAATGACAGATGGGTATTTACCCAGTACTTTCTGTAAGTGCAAGATTACAAACATATGCTAAACTAGATGATTCGTAATTTCCATGACTCATGATGACGTTTGTAGATCATCTTTATGTCCTAAAGGTTGCAATATTTCATTTTAGATTGCCTTTCCTTTGTGTGTACGTACTTCATTGCAGTATGAACCTTTGTAATGTGGACGCTATTTACCTGATGACATCACAATGGTCTGCAAAGCATTATGATGCAATCTCCACTGAGAGCCAGTTTTTGATGAAAAATTCAATTTATATCTATAGGTCCGCACTTGGTGCCACAACCAGAAGAACCATCCGTGAACATGACAGATATACTACACATGAAGTAAGAAACGTCTCCATTCCTCATTTTTTGCAATGAGTATGACTACACAAGAGGACATGCAGTTTCCTTCTCAATCTAATTACGAAATGTGAACATTTTTATGGACATTCTTACATTGTCTATATTGCAAAACATTGTTGCGTTTTTCCACATCTTTGACATAATTATGTCTGCCCTAGTAACCATCAGAAGCGGTTGAGTTGAGTGCAGATGAATATTGATTTTTGTCTACCGCTCATATCCAGTATACCAGTGGATATCATTGAAATAAATAATTAGATGTAGGTTTGAGAATATGAATTCATGATCCCATCATTGAAGATAGGACTGACTGATGGATTTTAGCTTCTTTTAGTATTTTTCCAAAGTGACTCTTTCGGTGCAGATGCTACTATAGTTATCGGGCCATATTTGTGGTGTGTTTTTTAAAAACCATGCAATCGTGTGACCTGATATTTGAGTGTCGTCGCACAAGAAAAGACAAATGTGCTGCTGATTAATTTTTGGCTCATTGATCTTCATGATCTAACATTGAATACCAGAAGCAAAACTCACTCACTTTTATTACACTCGAGTGTGTCAAATTTTGTATCTCATATTTCATCACTGAATGCATAATCAAGCAGGTGCTTCCCAAGGTACAAGACTTAAAGTTAAAGTTGGATATCACCAAGAAATCAAATTCATCAACTTTTAAAACGTTATATGTCTCATGTTTCTGGTGATTTTTTTACTTTTGACTGAAGGCCTGTACCAGCTCCCCATCACTCCACCTCTGTCTTTTAACTTCCAACTCCACACAAAATCCCCCCCCCCCCCCCCCACACACACACACACATACCATCCCTCCTACACAACTACCCAATTGACTATTTTCAATTGAAAAAACGTTGCCATTGCTATACCTGCTATATAATGGAAGTGACATGTCCGTTGTTGCAGTTCGTCAAGTGAGATGAACTCCACTGCGTTCTGTCTGACACCATCCACTAACCTGTCCGAGGTGAGAAGCGGCATCATGAGACTCATGTATATAGGTGATCAACGTTTTCTGCATCCACTGAATCAAACCGTTTAGAAATACCTTTTTAAGCATAAACCGTATTTACTATTTGTTCTCCCTTGTTATGCACATGTGTGCATGTCTCCCCATTGCGTCTTGTAATAGTCTTGTGTTTAAATTGTGTCGTCGCAAAGAGTTGGGTTCGATTTCCATTTGGGTACTATTTATGAAGCCAATTCTTTGTGTCCTAGTGATATGGGTATTAGTGGTAAGCGCATCTTCTGCATTTTGGAATAACAGTTTTAGTCTTACTTAAATGAGTGGAACTGCGTGTGTTATGTTTTATGCTTCTAATGATATTATTATTTCTGTATTCCACGTGTTAACTGTGCTGTATTCAGAATGTGCAGCTTGTGTGCTGCTGCTGCTCCTGGTGGTGGTGTATTTCCCCGCCAAGCCCCCCTCTCCCCCCAGCCTCACAGCGTCCATAGAGAGGACAAGCTACCTACAGGGGCTCAAGGGACTATTCACGTAAGATGGTAGTGATATTCTTTGAAAGTGCTACACATATTCAGAACCCATTTCCTTACTGTCAGTACACGAGTTACTGGGGTTACCTTAAGGGCTACGGCTCGATGGGTGACACAGGAATGCTGATATGCTCTGTAGGATTTACAACGCGTTTATATACATACGACCGGCTGCAAATCATATGTCATCAAAAGTGTACTTTTCATTCCGGATTGAACAAGACGATCGTTAATCCCTATTCAAATTACCCTTTTGAAGATTCGAGGAAGCAGTCGAAGTTGTTGACGTCCACTGTAAATCATGCAGAGTATATTGGTGGACTTTTCTAAAGGACACATACACACGTGTAATCCCAATGAATGACATACAGAACAGCTTTTAACAAACAATGATTGAGTGAGTATTGATTTTAACTTCGTTTTGAACCGTATTTCAGTTATATCAAGGCTTCTCAGCTTCATGTGAAAGAAAGCGCGAAGTATTGCTATTCTTGAGCGTTATCACGGGTAAAGTCCTCGAGCAAGGATATGATGCTGACAAACCTAGAAACATAATATGAAACGAATCTGGGATTCGAACCCATGATCACAGGTTTCTGGCAAGCCTAAGTCGGCACCTTGTGACCGATGGACGGGTGAGAGGCTACAGTAACCGCGAGCAGATCAAAGTGGGACTTGCGTTGTGTTTCATTAATCTGTCCGTTGAATTATTTTCAAGATTGATATTTTCCTTGTGCAGGCATAAACGCTTCTTGGTGATCCTGGTGGCCTTCAGTGTCCCGACGGGAGTTTTTTTGGTGTTTGGAGCTGTACTGGATGTGGTGCTTGACGGTATCGGAATAACGCAGGTAATGATAGTAGATGATGCTAATAATAATGGACAGTATTATCCACACATATTGGCACACTTCCACGGAGTTTTCAAATGATTTGTGTCGGAGCTGTTCACTTTGAGTGATCTGGTCGTGCAGTCGTGTGTGTTCTTTCATGAACAAACGCCTTCGGAAGCAATGTCACAAAATACGCTTCGAAGCGGGACACTGCTGGCACAACCGGAGTATAAATCGTAAGCCTAGACATCTGTCGAGATAGTTTAAACTAACTTCATTTCAGCACGCTTTACCTTTCACTTTAAATCAAATTGAAAGTCGCGAAAGTGGTCGGGTGCGTTACGCTCACAGGGACCCTAGAACTATCGGTAGACATTGCGTATGGATATAGCTCGATTATGTTATGTACGCAAGTAGCTCTATGCATAACTAATATAGAATGTCAAGCGAATTTGATGCGTGTGACGATCTTGTTTGGTGTAATAAAGTGTTCGCTTACATGGGATTCCTTCACTTCTGCCTTGTAGTTGTAAAGTGAATGACAATCAGTCAATCAGTATACAGTTGAACCTGTCCAATTCGGACAGGTAGCAATGTCCGGTTTATGTCGAGGACCACATTACACAGAGTACAAAAAGTTCGACTGAAAACAAAACGACACATTAAAACATTTTTTTCTTGTAAAGTAATTGAAAACGGACAGCTTATGTTTCTGATAAATGTTTTTCAAAATGTGTATTTGTATATAATAACCGGGTTCATTTGGGTTGGGTTGTCCTGACAAATAATTCATGGCTATTTTTCCTTTTATTATACACCCACTCAACAACTGGAATGCTTATACTAATCTGTAGGGACTTTGTAGGAGCCTAGAGCTCGTTTCTAAGACTGAAGCCCTGGGTTCAGTCATCCACCGTGGCACGGTGGACCTAGTCGTCTAAGGCGCTGCGATTCGCTGTGCAGAGTTGCGTCCCTTAGGCACGCAAGCAGCCTATGATTGTGAGTTCGAATCCCGGTTCGCCCCGATTATGTTTCTAGGTTTGTCAGCACCATACCAGTGCTCTTGGGTATTACCGAAGTGGTAAACGTCTGAGACCTGCATCACTTCGGGCTTTTCTCCCACATTAAGCTGACACGCCGCAATATAACTGGAATACTGTTAAAAGCGGAGTTCAACCCAACTCACCCACTCAGTGATCCACATGGAAACAATGTGCCCATTAATAGTATTCAGGTTGCTGGGATAGTTCTGCGTCGTAAAACAATACGCATTCACTTCCTGTACTCACAAGGTCGAAAAGTTGAAATGTTTATTCAGCGTGTTGGATTTGCGTAATGTTGTACGATGTGCTACTACATGAAGTGACATACCAGCTCTGTTGGAATTGTAATAGCGACATTATTTTTCTTTCAGTACCATGCTGGTTGGATGGGCTTTTATACCACGACAGGTGGTTGTGTAGCGGCACTACTGATGTCCAGGTATGTACGTGCATGTCAGGGTGGACTTTGAGACAGAATAAACGACGAATATCGATCAAACAATGTGAATGCTGTGTCCTTTACTTTAAGGATATCTGATCTGTTTCTGCGTCGCATGAAGATGCTGCTGTTGGTCCTGTTTATCTTAGCAACAACTGCCACAGCCTGGTTTGTTATGCTGCGCTTGTCCTTCATCCCCTTCAGTATGGGTGAGTCATTCTGTGTATATTCTATGTAAATAGTCCAATAGATTGAGATATGATATATTTACTCTATTTTGTAAACGTGCATATACGTGTCTGTTGAAGACGTGGAATGAATTCAAGGGTGTTATTAACTGGGTATGGTCAACTTGTATCTCGTGTTCTCCTCTTTCAGTGTCGCTGTACGTGTCCTGCATCCTGATGGGAGTCTTCATCAATGGTTCTATCCCGCTGTTCTACGAGCTTGGGTGTGAGGCTTCGTACCCTATTGCCGAGGGAGTCACGGTCGGTGTTCTCACATTTGCCAACAACCTGACTGGTGTCATCTTTCTATCTGTGCTGCAGATCCCGAGAATAGGTACGCCGTCATCTTCGCATCTTACGTAGCGTCACGAATGGTCTTATTTGGGGGCCAGTAAGTTGTGTTTAATGCAGCAATGCAGACAATGCAGGCAATACAGACAGACACACAAACACACAGACAGAAAGACAGTAGTAGGCCACTGGAAACAAAAATTCATGCATGACATGCCTGCGCATAGAACAATTATTATTGTGTGTAAATATATGTGAATGACGGTAGATGCAAAACGTTAGGTATTGTTATTGATTTCTGGTATTTCTTGCACTGATAATTTTCTATGTGATGTAGCATTAGAGCAGTGTAACATGTGGCATTATAGTGTTCATTTACTTATGTTACAGCACCTTCAAACAAGTTCAAATTAAAGTTGATCGATCAACATAAGCAAGTGATCTCAACATTTAATGTGACATTGATTTTAATTCTGTTTGTGGCAAGTGAAACTACATATGTATCTCAGGTTCACATTAGTAAAAACTTTAAATATGATCTACTTTGCAGTTTCGACATGTTAGTGTTCAATCTTTATGGTTTAAAATGCATCCATGTATGTGACTGATATCAACCACAGACTATTCATTCGAAGTCCCCGTATCTCTTGCAGGTGTTGCATGGATGACCTGGTGCATCCTGGGTTCTGTAGCAGCTGCAGTACCCCTACTCCTGTTGTTCACAGAGAAGTACACCCGGACTGACATCGACACGCAGAAGACCATTGCTTCAGAGCCAGAAAAGGGTGGTTCTGCTTCGATCAATACAAACAAGAAACTTGGTTGATAGTAAGCATCACACACGCTGACACCGTATATTGTGTATCTGAGTACTCCTTTGACAGGCAGATGATTGGTGAATCGGAGCCTAATCCAAATGTAGAACCTGTACTGGTATTACTGTCATGAGTGTAAGGAGTTTATATGACACGTTAATGAATCCAGCTATCTGATTGGCCTGTAGTCAGTGAGCTGGTGGGCCTTAACGAATGGTATGACATCCTATGGTTTGATGCGACGTCATTTGCTTCTTACGTTACGTCTGACCCTATTCACACTTCGAGTTGCCTGACTGAGTTCATGTGCACCACACGACCTTGACATATTTAGTGCTCATCAACATAATGCTATACACGAACGACGTGTACAGACACATACGCGTTTTGTCGATTTTACCAAGCATTATATCGTGACGGAGAACATTCTATTGGCCTTGACGTTGGCTCATCATCTACGTTTTCCAAAACAGGGATACTATTCCAGAAACTAGGTCTTGGTGTTTAAAGTTATTGTTGCATCATGTGCATGTGTTAATCAATCACAGTCCAATTGGGGTTAATGTCTCTTTGAACAGTATTCATCCATCCCACAGTGTGTCAGCTGGATGTAGAAGGATTCACAGATTTCCTGTATATACATCCCCACATTTGCACACAAACAGGAAAGTGTAAGCTGAAATATTATTCAATGTAGTGATGGGTTCACTATGCTCTGATAAACAAAAGGCACCCATACCATGCGAAGATAATTGTATTGTGGGCTTGTAAATAAAACAATATATAGTAAATACTGATGCATTACAAGGCAAATTCATATTTAGTAATACACTAATGCGACCCAAGCTAGTAATATTACCAAGAGTTAGACGATATGCAACGAAAGATTACAGAATTGAAAATGCTCTCTTGTGAAGGAGGGTGATGTAAATGTGGTACAACTCTTGAATACATGTTTACAGTGGGTGGACTGCAGCTCAAGGAGACAACGCATGTCTATTCCGTTGAAATGAGTATATTCTAAAATAGTGCATTACAAAATGACCGAAGCTGTGAAACTGTGAGTTTATCTGTCATCACATTGCCTGACCCATACATCTAGTTGAAATCAAAGCACATTTGTCAACGTTATGTAGAACAGTAGAAAGAATTATTCAGAAAGAATAGTTCAGTCTACCATGTCATGTTTTTCTGCTTTTGTCTTTTGTTTGCGTCTGATGTGATCCGTTCTTTCTCAGTTGGCTCCATTAAATTACACTCACGAATTTGACTTGGCTCTTTGGTCAAAAGCATATTGCTCCTCAAAGTGTGTGTGTGTGTGTATTGGGTGTAACGCCGCTTTTAACAGTATTCCAGTTATATCACGGCGTGTCAGCTTAATGTGGGAGGAAAGCCCGAAGTGATGCAGGTCTCAGACGTTTACCACTTCGATGAAACCCACGAGCACGGGTATGGTGCTGACAAACCTAGAAACATAATCGGGGTGAACCGGGATTCGAACCCACAATCATAGGTTTCTTGCGTGCTCAAGGGACGCAACTCTGCACAGCGAAAAGCGGCGCCTTAGACGACTGGGCCATCCGTGCCCCCTAGTGACATGCTCCTCAAAAGATTACATGAACATTTTGTACGACATTTTTGTTGGACAAACGGCACCACGGCGCGTCAGACAACTTCATTCCGATACCTCTGTGCTGGGGTGTTGTAATTTTTATTTGAATGATAACCAGTCTCGTCACGAGGATTGAGTCAGCAGGCAGGACTCAAGATAACTCAGATGAACTTTGGAGCCGAGACTGATGATATGACATTTACATGTCTGCCTATATTATGTTAATATGAAAACGTTCTCACTCATGTCAAATATTTAGTGAGTGAGTGAGTAAAACCTTACGACGCCTTTAGCAATATTCCAGCATTATCACGGTGGGGGACACCACAAATGGGCTTCACACATTGTACCCATGTCGGGAATCGAACCCGGGTCTTTGGCGTGACGAAAGAATGTTTTAACCACTAGGCTACCCGACCGCCCCCATATATTTAGCACATGTTAGAGATATTAAGATGTGAAAATATAAAACATTCTATTTTTACCATTCAGTGTTTTTATTTTTGTATCATAAGACTAGTCCACTTGGGGATAAGGAACTAGGCAGGGGATTAGCTTCCCGTTGGACCATTAACATGTTGGTTAGACTGTAGATTTTGAGTGAGTGAGTGAGTTGGGTTTAACGCCGCTTTTAACAGTATTCCAGTTATATCACGGCGTGTCAGCTTAGTGTGGGAGAAAGCCCGAAGTGATGCAGGTCTCAGATGTTTACCACTTCGGTGAAACCCACGAGCACGGATATGGTGCCGACAAACCTAGAAACATAATCGGGGCGAACCGGGATTCGAACCCACAATCATAGGTTTCTGGCGTGCCCAAGGGATGCAACTCTGCACAGCGAATCGCGGCACCTTAGACGACAGGGCCACCCGTGCCCCCTGTAGATTTTGACGTTTAGTTAGTTGTAAGGATACCTGTGGTTGTGAAGAAGGGAGCCCTGCACGCCTACCCGACCGGCCACACGTGTTCATTATCCAGCTGTGCGAGAGATATTGGATGACGATAGTGATAAGATAAGTTGTACGTGTACACTGAATAGCCTGGATAGCCCACAGCTGACACCAGTCGGGCCTCATGACAGGGTGGGAAAGGATGGTAATCACAACCAGTCCTGTGTAACAACATGAAGGACGAGGAGTGTGTTGATGACCGTCTACCTCCGTTAAGAGGAAACGGGACACGTACCGCACATAAAATCTCCAATGAATCCTCGAAGGTATCAGATGAAGAATCTCCTCTGTTGGATTCCACGAGGAACATTAAGTCCTACAAGCACCGGTGGTATGTTCTGGTGGTGTTTTCATTTGCTGCCCTTCTTCACACAGTGGTGTGGAACACTTTCGGACCTATCGCTCAGTCAGCTAAGGCAGTGTTCGGGTGGACGGATGCCAATATAGGCATGCTGAACAATTTGGCAAATATTGTGTACATTGTATTTATGTTTCCAATGGCCTGGTTGATGGATGTCAAAGGTAGGAATCTGTCCGTGATTTATCAGATGTAAGAAAACGTTATATATACAGTACACCCTTGTTAACTGGTCTGTATCCCACTATCACTGAATGCAGTGAATACGGATTAGAAATATGTATGAAAAAGATGTCAAAGATAGGACTGTGTCTATGATGTAACACGTGTGCTAAAACGCTCGTTGCGTTAAATATACAATACACGCTCATATTCGTTTGGGTCTATATCCCATTATGACTCTCTCTCTCTCTCTCTCTCTCTCTCTCTCTCTCTCTCTCTCTCCAAAATCCATTATTCATACGAAATCTCTAAACAGGTGCGAAGCATCATGGCACAAATCGTACAGTATGATGCACGTGTATGCGCGCAGGCCCACACGTGCACGCATGCCACGGACCACACATACAATTGAGCTTAGCAAACGTGTACAAATGCCCCAAAGACAGTATCCCGATGAAAAGACGCAGTAATAAGTTATTGGTACAATAGAGAGTGAGACGTCAATATCAAATGTTGAGTCAGATGTAACTCTGACCTTACACTTAGGCTTAGTCTCTGATCATATTAATTTTGATTGAAACAAACAACTCAATTGAAAAGAAGCACCAGTGAGGTGAACGATTCGCCTGAACCTGTGGACTTTCTAGACTTCCTTCATTTATAGCTATAGCATTACAGTATGTGTTGGGCGGAAGGTAAACATAAAATTAATAAATAATAATTGTTCAGCGACTGTGAGACAGTGTACACTGACCTATAATCGCATGGTTTGATGAGGTTAGTTTACACCTGTGATAGCGATGCAGATAACATAAGCTGGTGTTGCTGTGTAAGACGCCTCGCTTTGTCATTAGGAGCTAGTTGCAGATACCCAATACATGCACAGTTTTCAATCGGCTTAATTCAGAAAGGTTTGTAGGTCAGCGGGCAATATCATATAGTGTTACAATAGAGACAAGTCATAGGCGGCATTATAACGTGTGTATTATACATATGTGACGTCAGACGGTGGGTGCACGAGGAAAGACGTTAAACATTGTGCACCTCGACTTGCAGTTATGTCATACATGTACACAGCGGAACAAGCCGATTACCCTCGGAATGTTTTACAAATTGTAACGTCATCTTTATTGTCAACGCCCTTTAGCAGTTCAGTGTCCTTTCCTGCGCACACGCGTTCTTTAGTACGCATTGTTCTTTCTTTATTCGTAACATTTGACTATTATTGCGTTCTATTTGACTATACTGTTCTGTGTTTTCTTCACACAGAGAACGATACCACCAGATAATAGATTATACGTGATTGCTCTAATAAACAATATGTAATGAAATCGCTGAAAATATCATTATCAATGCTATCTGTACTAGATTTTGTTATTCCATATATATCAACAGTATGGGTAAGAGGCGACTAACGGGATCGGGTGGTCTGGCTCGCTGACTTGGTTCGTCAATGTCATCGATCCCAATTGGGTTGATCGATGCTTATGTTGTCAATCACTGGATTGTCGATTACTTACAGACCGCCGTCATATAGCTGGGATATTGCTGAGTGCGGCGTTAAACAACAAACAAACAAAATCAACAGTATGGAGAACGTTCATGAAGTCTGTATCACCTATTTTTGTTGATAAAATAGACATATATTACAGAAGAGAAGATTGGCGTAGTTCAGACACTGATTATCAGTTAATGAATACTGGGCACGGGCTCATCGCTATCGCATATCTGTCGCAGTAGCCAGTTGGGCAGGCTTGATGTTTGCACGTAGTCTACGATCCCGACCATTACCTTTGTGATGTGGAGTAGTGTCGTCTGCTATTGTAGGAGTCGTTTTGTGTTCGCCCGTTTCCATGTACTTACTTCGTTGATCGGTGTTTCCTGGTTAGTGTTGAAGCTTGACCTGGCGATAAGAGATGATGAGATTTCCGTTCTTATGGTACAGTAAACTACGGTTATAACGAACACGCTTATAACGAACTAACGAATATAACGAACTTTTTTTGGTCCCGACTATTGGCTGTAGTTATGCTGTATATATGCTTATAACGAACTACGGTTATAACGAACTAAAATTAGTAGTCCCCTTGAGTTCGTTATAACCGTACTTTACTGTAGTTGAATTTTCCCTGTTCCTTCAAGTCGTGTTGTGTGCTCCTCTGCAGTTTCATCAGGTCGTTTGCTATCCCTATGGCATTTTGTCTCAGACTGTTCCTGTTCCTAGCGCTCATACACAGTACATATTAACAATTATAGGGCGAGGTGTCTTGCTACTACTGGGTCGTACAAATCCTAAGCTATGTGCTGCAGCTAATGCCCGCGGCGTGATAGACCCCTCCTTTTCTGTAGCACAATTATTCAATTGACAGAAATCAGTTCTTCCTGTCTTTTTAAAGATACATCACTATCATTCCTAGGGCATGGGTTTAATTCAGTTATATGTAATATAATGTGGTCAATAATAATTACTGTTATTGCTACAGTGAAACATAATTCCATCTATTAAGTGTGCATGTCTTGCATCATGAAATACAATTTATCAAGTACACACAGAAATTGAAAATGTTACTTTCCATCAACAGAGTACTAATATGGAAAACAATTTCTTTATCGTTTGTAACGAGATTCCAGGGCAGGCGAGGCAGTTGTGTGACATATAGTAACCCTCTAGCAAGATTATCTAATTACTATTTAGCATATGGCATCATTATCCATAAACACGTATAAATTATTGTAGTCTAAAAACTATATTTGATTGCATTTTGATCATCAAATGAGCAGGGGTGATGAGGAATATACTTTATTCCAGATAACTTGGATTGTTACTATATATTTGAGTGTGTTTTCATAAACGCCATAGATATCAGGAAAATATGACTGTGGAATATACAGCCAGATTCGCAAAAAGGTATCACAAAATGTCCTGAGTACATATAGAAAGTGGGGCGGTCGGGCAGCCTAGTGGTTAAAGCGTTCGCTCGTCACGCCGAAGACCCTGGTTTGATTCCCGACATGGGCACAATATGTGAAGTCCATTTCTGGTGTCCCCCGCCGTGATATTGCTGGAATGTTGCTAAAAGCGGCGTAAAATCATACTCACTCACATATGGATAGTATTGAAAACAACCATTGTATACAAGTGAGGGGCTGTATGTTTTATTGTCCAAATATATAGTATGACACATTTATGTTTCTTCACCCCTCAAATATTTTATCACTGGATAAAGGTGAGCTCCTGTGCCTGTGGTTGTGAATATAGTAGAGATCTAAATATTTGTCATGTCGATTGGCTTCTGAATGTAACTGGGCTATAAGACGTATTTATCCTACTCTCTCGCTCCAGGACTGCGGATATCAATGCTGTTGTGCGCTGCGCTGATGGTGTTTCTCACGGCCATAAGATGCATCACGAGTGAAGCAGTACCAGCAACATGGTCAGTACCGCACCTGCTTTATTGAATGTGTCAATCCAGTGCATACCGTATGTGATGCTTTAAAATATTAATGTGACGCTCTAAAGATTTCGTTTACTTGAATCTGCACTAAATATATTATTTTCTACATATGAATTTCATGTTTCACTTGTATGTGAGCGTTATTCAGCCCTAAGAAATATGTATCTTAAACAGTATATCAAGTTTCAAACTGTAACATCTTTTACTGAAATTATTTCATAAGAAAATTTTGATGTTGTATATAACACATGCTTATATCTATATAAAGTCCAACGGCTAAGAGAAACTTAAATCGATTACTTCCTTGGCATGCGCAGTTCATGCAATCAACCATTGCCTGTATTACGGGCCTATGGCCTTCTTACTGAATAAACAGTCTGTCTGTCTGTCTGTCTGTCTATCTGTCTGCTACATATGTTGTTATTCTGGTGTAGAATGACGATCATAAAATCACGAGTAAACGGCAGTACCGGCAACACGGTCAGTAACGCTCAAGTATATTGAATGTAACAGCCCAGTGCAGTCATAAGATATATAATGATATGACAATCCAAAGTTCCATATACTTTAATCTCCCGAGCATATATGTGTTTTAATATAAGTGGCTATTCTTGTGTAGAAGTCTGAACATAACAAGCAACAATACCACTATAAGTCACGATACATATTTTATGGAATAGTTACAATTTGTTATTACTTCTCTGAAAGAACACTTTATTGCATTGAAAAAAGGTAACATTCCGATGGATAACAACACAGTATCCGTTTTGTTAAGAAATGTATTTGGTAGTGTCGTAGTTTTAACATAATACAAACATTCTGTAAATAAATATGCTTCATATGTTATTAAATAATTTACATTCAGATGTAGAGAATTATATTAATAGATACTGTTATTATTTTAACATAACACACCGCATAATATTACAAAAGCTTTCTGTTGATAAACGTAGCTGAGAACATAACTGCGCATGTACTGCACTGACCAATATTACTGAACAGATACGGGGGGCACGGGTGGCCCAGTCGTCTAAGGCGCCGCGATTCGCTGTGCAGAGTTGCGTCCCTTGGGCACGCCAGAAACCTATGATTGTGGGTTCGAATCCCGGTTCCCCCCGATTATGTTTCTAGGTTTGTCAGCACCATACCCGTGCTCGTGGTTTTCACCGAAGTGGTAAACGTCTGAGACCTGCATCACTTCGGGCTTTCCTCCCACATTAAGCTGACACGCCGCGATATAACTTACTGGAATACTGTTAAAAGCGGCGTAAAACCTAACTCACTCACTCACTACTGAACAGATACAAGCAGTCAACTCACATGGTCGCGTGTGAGGCAAGGTCAAGTAGTCTGACAAGTAGGACAGTTGCCATCACCACCAACAAGCTTTGACGCAGATAGATGCACCATGCGATATATATACTCAATTGGCTCTTCCGTTTCCAATTTGGACACAAGTCTATAAAATGGCTTCATTTTGTACTGCAATTTCATGCAACCTTCAACCTTTCCGTTGTTACAAGGTAGAATCCACAAAACGCATCACGGATCACAAGTTTCAGATTCACGTTTGTATATTTCCTCCATTTAATCAATATTTTCCATGTATTCAAACTTATATGTGAATGTTTTAATTTCATCGAACCGTATGACATTACCGTATGATATCATGAAAGCTCTTAAGCTCTGTTGTTTGATCTTATTCTCAGGTTGATAAACATTGCAGCTATGGTGAATGGTGTGGCTGGTACTGTGCCATTCGCCGGCCCCGCCCTCCTCTCTGCCACGTGGTTTCCCCCCAAACAGAGGGCTACTGCTACAGCCGTGTCATCTGTATTCACCTATCTTGGCCTCTCTGTCAGCTTCATCATTGGTGAGTTTGTTTGTTTGTTGTTTAACGCCGCAATCAGCGATATTCCAGCTGTATGACGGCGGTCTGTAAATAACCGAGTCTGGGCCAGACAATCCAGTGATTGGCATCATGAGCATCGATCCATGCAGTTGGGATACGATGACATGCATCAACCAAGTCAGTGAGTCCGTAGTTTGAGGCAAAACTGTATGAATGTCTGGGCTTGACAAAACTAGTTCAAAGTGGCGTTAAACCCAACACACACATACTGTAACCCGAATAGTTTCACCAACCAGCTTCAGTGACAGAGAGATTAATGATGTCATTTGATTGTGACGTCAAGGTAACCGATGGCGTCACAATGATCTGCAAAGCATTGCGGTGCAATTGCATTGAAGCGATATGTAAGAGACATTGCTTGATCTCACCCAAAACCGATTTGGTTGATAAATACGCTTTTTTACCTTCAGGGCCCCTCTTGGTGCCCCAACCAGAAGAACCATCCTTGAACATGACGGACATCCTACACATAAAGTAAGAAACGCATCCATTCCTCATTATTATGCAATGAACATGATTAACACACGATGACATGCAGATTCTAGCTGTCATTAATTACTGTAAACATGTCATGGACCTTCGTTCATTGTCCATATTCCAGAAATGGTGTTTCTTATTTTGTCCAACTGTTTGCACAGTATGGGCAACTTGACTACTACAGGTTATATTTTCACTGAGACACATTAAAATATCTCGCCTGGCAACCATCAAAAACATTTGCGTTGAGAACAGATGATTATTACATTCTGTTGGCTGTATATATCCAGCATATGCATGGTTACCATTCAAGGTAACGGTAAATAATTATATGTACGTTTGAAAACACACGACTGAGTTATGAATATCATCTTCTCTTTGTATTCTTCCAAATGCGACGTGTCGGTGCAGATGCTTCTACCGTTATCAGGCAACTGGGCAGAAAATGGTTAATAACTACGGTCACACATATGCACCGCGATTAACAGACACATGAGTCAATCGACATTAATACCAGCGCCTTAATGCCACTTAAAGAGGCATGTACCTGATCAGTTTCGTATGAGAAACATACAGAAACAGATCAGCAAGAAGGGGAGCACAAGTTGTGCCCATGGCGATGTCTGAATGTCTCACCCCCTAATTTTACCATTACTTATTGGTTTCTCAGTTAACTTCAGATGACATTTGCTTTCATTTTTGACAAATTGTCCGGATATTCTGGCGATAAATATGTAACTAGATCTTTGGTTACTACTCTTAGTAACACATGCCCCATGAATCAAGAACTAAAGTATTTTCTTACGTTTATCATGTGGGATAGTTTTGACATAATTAAACTCGGTTCTTTTCTGAAATTGTTACCAGCAAATCCAGGTTTTGAGAAACCACACGGTTTTAATTTCACTTGTCTCCAATACTTTCTGTGAATATAAAGAAAGTGCTTCCTTGATAGTATTAAGTATTCTGGCTACACCTTGAGACATGGATTTGGTGGTACATTTGCCGTATTCTCTCCCAAGAAAAGACAAATGATCTGTTTGGTATTTGTTTGTTTTTTCATCACAATCTTACTCTGCAAACGAAAAGCAAAAGGTGCTTAACGAAGGTGTCATTATTTTATTCAGAAAATACAGTACTGAATACATATTCAAGAAGGAGTTTCCAAATAAATAAATAAATAAATAAATAAATAAATAAATAAATAACAACCACCAAGAGAGCAATTCAGGATTAAGTTTATGCTATATAATCCATATTACCCATTAGTACACTAACTTAAACGTAAAAAGCAAATTAATAAATTCTTTTACAACGTTATGTATCGGATGTTAATGGTTTCAACCCTTCCCCGTGTATTAAGGGACTGTGGTTATGTTTCAATTAAAAAACATTGCTATACCTGCTATATGATAAAAGTGACATGTCCGTTGTTGCAGTTCGTCAAGTGAGATGAACTCCACTGCGTTCTGTCTGACACCAGCCGCTAACCTGTCCGAGGTGAGAAGCGGCATCATGAGACTCATGTATATAGGTGATCAACGTTTTCTGCATCCACTGAATCAAACCGTTTAGAAATACCATTTTAAGCATAAACCGTATTTACTTCTTTTTCTCTCTCGTTATATGTGCGTTTTTTTGTGAAGCCAATTCTTGCTGTATTTTACAATTATTACGTGGTTATTACTGAAATGTCGCATAGAACAGTTCTATTCTTACGTCAATAACTTCTAAAATGAATGTATGTGCGCAATGTTCAATGCTTCTAATGACGATATTATCTCTCTGTGTTCCACGTGTTAACTGTGCTGTATTCAGAATGTGCGGCTTGTGTGCTGCTGCTGTTCCTGGTGGTGGTGTACTTCCCCGCCAAGCCCCCCTCTCCCCCCAGTCTCACAGCGTCCATGGCGAGGACAAGCTACCTGCAGGGTCTCAAAAGACTATTCACGTAAGATGGTAGTGTTCATCTCTGAAAGTACTACTCATATTCCGAACCTATCCTGTCAGTAATCTGACTGGGGTAACCGTGGCCGCTGGCGGCTATGGATCGACGGACTAGGGTATGCCGATTTGCTCTGTTGTATTTACAACACATGTATACTTAAACGATCGGCAGCAAATCATACATCATCAGAAATGTACTTGGCATTCCGGATTGAACAAGGATTACCAAGGAAGAGAGTTTGTGGATGTGGCAGAGTATATTGGTGGACTTTTCTAAAGGACACATCTGTTGTCCCCAGGACTGACATACAGAACAGCTGATAACAAACAATCATGAAATCAGGGCGTATCAGCGTCATGTGAGAGGAAAACTCGACGTAATACAATTCTTAAACTTTTATCACTGATGAAACCCTCAAGCAAGGACATGATGCTGACAAACCACGTAAAACAATCTGAAACGAATCGCAGGTTGATTGTTGATTTCCAGTACAGATGGAATGAGGTTGGGGTGGTTGCCGTCACAATCCTGGTTGTCTGCAGACGTAAGCGAAGGGAAGAGGAGGACCAACGCCGCGATCACGTTCAACGCACGGTTTAAGTGAGGACCTGGCTTCTATGTGGTGTTGTGTGGTGTGCTAATACCTAGGGAGTCACCATCATCATCCTGCTCCTCGACCTCCTCGTGTTCCGGGGGCACGAAAGGCCTGTTGTCTGAGGCGACGCATTTCACTGTACAAAGTAACGTTCCTTTGGTACGCCAGAAACCTATGATCTGTTCGAATCCCAGTTCACCCCGATTATGTTTCCATGTTTGTCAGCATGATACCATCGTGGGTTTCATCCAAGTGGTACATGCATCACTTCGGACTTTCCTCCCACATTAAGCTGACACGCCGTGATATAACTGGAATACTGTTAAAAGCTGCCTTAATATCGAATTCCTCCTTGTCCCTACCCTTCCCCCTGAAACTCGTTCTGAAGGACTGTGGCTGGTCCTCGGCCTGGTCGTCGTCTTGGCTCTGTGTGGGTTGGGTTGTGGGTGATCTCTCCAGACTGGGACAGAGGGGTGGGGCGGGTCCTCGGCCTGGTCCTGGCTATGTGTGGGTAACGGTGACCTCTCCCTTTCCTGGGACTCCTCTCCTCATCCGCTGTGTTGTCCCCAGCCTACTTCCAGTCTTCCTTCGAGGTGGCTTACTGATATTTAAACACCGAAATTCTGAAACTTGCTGCTAATAACTAATATTCAACTCTGGAAACGCATTGGTTTCTTCAGAAACTCGCTGTGAGCTGGCGAGGGACGCGACCCGTATTTATACTCGTGATGATCCTGCGTCCCCCGCGCGTCCCCATGTGAACATATCGTCGCGCATTTGCGATAACCTCGTATTCAACACGTGATTATCGTAGTTAGCTCGTGGTACATCGTAGCTGACTGGTACTATGCACGTGTCTGACTCGTATAAACATCGTATCATACGTAACTTGCTCTTCTCCGTGAAAACTAAACGTGTTGTGCTCGTATAATCGTGGGGCGGTCGGGTAGCCTTGTGGTTAAAGCGTTCGCTCGTCATGGGTTCGCAGACCCGGGTTCGATCCCCGATGTGGGTACAATGTGTGAAGCCCATTTCTGGTGTCCCCCGCCGTGATATTGCTGGAATACTGCTAAAAGCGGCGTAAAATCATACTCACTCACTCATTCACTCACTCACTTACCCGTATTATCGTACCCACATCCTGTCTGTCGTGAAGACCTCGTGTTCACGTCGGGTCACAAATACCACATGAGGTCATTACGAGTGCAGTACGATAACAACGACCTAACAACGAACAATACCGGGCACACCATGAGTTTAGCACGTACAGGACTCGATGTAACACGAGTATTCGAGATATTTTAAACACGTATAGTGTACGATCTATCACGAATTATCACGAGCAGATAAGGAGCAAAGTACGAGGATATCACGCGCTAATCACGATTTATAACAATATTTCACACGAGCTTAACATCGAGATATATCGCGGCCAACATCGCGAATGTGGGCGGGCAGCCTTATTCTGCACACTCCAGTAAAATGCAGCTCCTTGAGACCGATAAATGGGTGAGGGGCTGCAGTAATCGCGATAAGATCACAGACGGACTTATCAAATTGTCATTATTATTTTCAAGCTTGTTATTTTTCTTTGAGCAGACATAAACGCTTCTTGGTGATCCTGGTGGCCTTCAGTGTCCCGACGGGAGTGTTTGGCGTGTTTGGGGCTGTACTGGATGTCGTGCTGGACGGTGTCGGAATAACGCAGGTAATAATAAGGATGATGCTAATAATAATAGATATTCAGTTGTGCATCATCTCCACCCACGACCCACGTTATGCACATAACGCTGTAAAGGCAATTACTGTGTTGCCCTTGGAATTGAACTTTGTCTTGGGCTCAGTGAGTCGGTCGTGCTGCTCTCTTCGAAGGCTTCTTGTTTATATAGAGGTACATTCTATGGGAAAATTATCTTCAGATAGCCAGCATCATATTGTTGCATCATGTTAATTTAGCATCCTTGTAAATTAGTCTACACCCGGTAGTTACAGTTCGCTCCTAGATGAGCTTATCCAACAATGGAGCAATAGTATAAAACAATATATTTTCTTTTTTCAAAATATAAACTACGGATGGTTCAGCAGACAATTGCTTATATCAATCGTACAGAACTCAATATTAAACAGATGCTTCACATGTATTAGGATTATTTTGATAACAGGGAATATGGTTTATCGAACAACAAGCTTTACGGTAAACCATATGACGTCGTGAGATGTCAGGTGATGTCAGGTGATGACAGGTGCAACATGTGTCATGACATATATTCATTTTGTGTCCTATGATAACAAACATAATTTTATCTGAATTGTATTATGTATTCGGGTTTGTGTCAACTCCAACCTATCATATCGATGTACTTTCAACCTCCTTGTCAATCCGTTGTTAGTATATAATAACTGGGTTCATTTGGGATGGTGTTATTGACAAACACTGAATTTTTAGCTATTATTTATTTCAATATGCACCACTCACGAACAACTGAAATGTTAATTCTAATGTGAAGGGAATTTGTGGTAGCCGAGTGCTCGCTTATCACGGCGAAGCCCTTGGTTCAGTGATCCACAACGAAACAATGTGCCAATTGATATTCTCCCGCCTTATGATTGCTGGAATATTACTAAAAGCGGCGTAAAAGTACTCATTCGCTCCCTGTATAACTGTCGAACAATTGAAATGTTTCTTCAGCGTGTTGGATTTGCGTAGTCTTGTATGATGTGCAACTTCATGAAGATACTCAAGTGCTAAACCAACTGTGTTGGAAATGTAGACCGCCTCCGTGATTTAGTGGTAGATCGTCCGCCCGGATAGCGGAAGGTCCGGGGTTCGATCTCCGGCCGCGTCATACCAAAAGACGTTAAAAGATGGTACCATATTTTGGCGCTCGGCCATAAGGGTCTAAAACAAGGACTGGTGGGCTCGGAGTCAGTATACTGTGTCTGAGTGGGGTATTCATGTTCAAACTGCGGCATGGTATCTCAGTGAGCTAGCACTATAAATTGGCATCAGTCCGGACTAGTACAAGCAGCCATACAAACACACACACGTACATGCACGTCACTATATAAGTGCAATAATCTTGGACGCGACGTAAAACCCAATTTCACCTCACCTCACCTGTTGGAAATGTGAAATTGAAACTGTTTTCTTTCAGTACCATGCCGGATGGATGGGCTTTTATAGCACGGCTGGCGGTTGTGTTGCAGCACTACTGATGTCCAGGTATGTACATGCATGTTAGGATGGAATCGGAGACAGAATATACGACAAAACTTACCTCGACCATTCAACTTAGGCACATTATGCTTTGTACTTGACACATTTGACTGTGAGGAAGCGTCAGGTATAGTATTAGGTATATGATGTTCACAGTCAATTACCCATTGTTGAATACTGTGTCCTTTACTTTAAGGATTGCTGATCTGTTTCTCCGTCGCATGAAGAGAATACTCTTGTTCCTATTCGTCGTAGCAACAGGCGCAACTGTCTGGTTTGTCCTGCTGCGTCTGTCCTTCATCCCCTTCAGTATTGGTAAGTAATTCTGTGTATAGTGTATGTTAATAAGCGAATATGTCTTGATGAATGTACAGTAAACTACGGTTATAACGAACTCAAAGGGACCACTAAGTTTAGTTCGTTATAACCGTAGTTCGTTATAAGCATATATACAGCATAACGACAGCAAATAGTCGGGACAAAAAAATAGGTTCGTTATATCCGACAGTTCGTTCAGCGTGTTCGTTATAAACGTAGTTTACTGTATTCGCTATTTTGTCAACATGCATACAAGGAAGTGCCTGTTGAACAAGTGGAATCAATGTCAGTGCGTGACATGGTCTGCCTGTATCTCATGTTCTTCTCTTTCATTGTCGCTGTACCTGTCCTGCATCATGATGGGGGTCTTCATCAACGGTTCTGTTCCGCTGTTTTACGAGCTGGGATGTGAGGCGTCCTATCCTGTCGCCGAGGGAGTGACGGCCGGTGTTCTCACCATCGCCAACAACCTGACTGGTGTCTTCTTCCTGTCTGTGCTGCAGATCCCGAGAATAGGTACACCCCCTTTATTACGCTAGGTCACAAATGGTGTCATTTGGGGGTCTGTAAGTTGCGTTTAACGCCGCATTGAACGTCATATCACGGTGTGTCTGCTTCATGTGGGGGAAAGCCCAAATTAGCGTAGTAGCCGACGTTTTTCACTTTAATGAAACACTGACAGACCACATGTTTTAATCCTGTTCAATCATTGATTCGAACCCGTATCCTGGCACGGCTAACATACCATTGAACCACCCGTATCCCAATGGACATGGATATTAGAGTTAATATGTTTGAATCCAAAGTTTTATTTACGTTTATGATGGAGAGACAATTTATAAGCGTTATTAAAACACATGCTTTAATGTGTATAATTATATTATTTTCTGCATCTAATGCAAAGTAACCCATATTATGAAATATTTCCTATGTAGATATGTGATAAAAGTGCTTAACGAGAATTATACAAAAAAAACCATCTAAATTTACGTCACAAAAGTAAATTTGTCAATGAGAGTCAGCCACTGAACAAAACAACCAAGTATCATTTTTTCATGTATATGTAAGTGAAACTATATATGTGTCTCAAGTTCCCCTTAAGAATAAACTTTAAATTGATATATTTTACATCACAAACTGTTTTGACGTTAAAGTATTCAATCTTAATGGTTTAGAATGCATCCAAGTATGTGACTGTGTAAATATGATATATTTCACATCAAAAACTGTTTTGACGTTAAAGTATTCAATCTGAATTGTTTAGAATGCATCCAAGTATGTGACTGTGTAAATATTATATATTTTACGTCAAAAACTGTTTTGACGTTAAAGTATTCAATCTTAATAGTTTAGAATGCATCCAAGTATGTGACTGTGTAATCAACCACAAACAATTCATTCGAAGTCCCCGTATCTCTTGCAGGTGTTCTGTGGATGAACTGGTGCATACTTGGCTCTGTAGCAGCTACCGTACCCCTACTTCTGTTGTTCACAGAGAATTACACCCGGACTGACATCGACACACAGAAGATCATTGCTTCAGAGCCCGATAATGATGCTGTGTCGAATCCATCAATACAAAAATGAAAGCTAGTTGATAAGAAAACATCACAAACGCTGACACCGTATATTTTGTATCAAAATACTCCTTTGAAAGGCAGATGATTAGTGAATCGGTGCCTAATCCAAATGTAGAACTTGGTACAAGTATTACTGCACATGGGTATAAGGAGTTTATCTTTACTCATTAATGAATCCAGGCCTGAAGGAATATCTTGAGATGCTTTTGTTTGATGCGACGTCATTTGCTTCTTACGTTACATCTGACCCTGTTCGCACTTCGAGTTACGTAACTGAGAGTCCAATGATGGTCACAATATAGATCAAACCGTCAGACACAGATGTGTTATCAAAAATATGTATCGTGAAGACATAAGGCTGAATTCGATACACGAGTCAGTTGTGGGCTATATGTGATTTTTGTGATTTGCTGCGGGTGGTTATGTTCGCCCCTCATCCTTCGATGTGATGGTGTCCAAGATATGTGCAATACTCATCGAGTTAAAACTTTCCATCTGCTCTTCCGGAAAGCTGTTGTGCTTACGTTTACTAATATCATAAGATCGCGTGAAGGTGTTAATGATCACGGTTTGGATTGAATGTCTCTTCAAACAGTTTCCAGTCCTCCCACAGTTTGTCAGCTGGCTGTGGAAGGATTCAAAGTCTCTCCATCCCTACAGTTGGTTTGCAAGGTGCACATTCTCTGATTAACAAATACATATCATGTGAAATGTACTGTTGACTTGTCAATAAAACAATATATAACAACTCCAAATGCAAAAAGAGACACACTAATGTACTCTGGTGAGGGAAGCGAGTGAGTGAGTGAGTTGGGTTTTACGCCGCTTTTAAAAGTATTCCAGTTATATCACGGCGTGTCAGCTTAATGTGGGAGGAAAATCCGAAGTGATGCAGGTCTCAGACGTTAACCACTTCGGTGAAACCCACGAGCACGGGTATGGTGCTGACAAACCTAGAAACATAATCGGGGCGAACCGGGATTTGAACCCACAATCATAGGTTTCTGGCGTGCCCGAGGGACGCAACTCTGCACAGCGAATCGCGGCGCCTTAGACGACTGGGTCACCCGTGCCCCGGTCAAGGGAAAGAGCCTGAATCCCATTCTTGTACCATACGAGTTTTCTAAACAAATAGAGCTGTTTGAACATCCCTGACTGACGTGGTACACATCACCAGCATATAACGTCGCATGACATGGAACTGCTTCATCATTCATTGGTGCCTAAAGCCAAATAGTTCCCCTGATACCGTCAGGCTGTGAATGAGAATAAAAAATGAGAACGTATTAGCTGTTCCTGTCCAAACGTTACTGCGAAAAGCGAAACTGTAAAACGTAACACTAACCAACATAAAAGAATATTAAAGAATTTTAAGAAATTCTAGTATTGTATACCGAACATTCATGGAAAACAAACTCCAAATTCTGTCAAAACAGACAATTGATCATGTGTTGTGTCATCTTTCAAATATGGTAGAACCCGTGAAGAGCCGGGTTAGAACAGGTCTTCAGCAACCCATGCTTGCCGCAAAAGGCGACTATGCTTGTCGTAAAAGGCGACTAACGGGATCGGGTGGTCAGGCTCACTGACTTGGTTGATGCATGTCACCGATCCCAATTGCGTGGATCGATGCTCATGATATCAATCACTGGATTGTCTGGATCATTTACAGACCGCCGTCATATAGCTGGAATATTGCTGCGTGCGGCGTTAAACAACAAACCAACCGGCCAATCAAATATGGTAGTGATGGTTCTGAATCAGATTAGACTTTCAATGACAGCTGGCTTGAAGAACAGATACTCGAATATTGTGGGACCGCTTCCATCAGCTCAATTCTACTGTTCCCTGCCGTGGTATTACTGCAAGCTCCGACGTTCACACAGTTGGCCCCCACTCTATGAAGGTTCATACTCCAGTGAACTCACACAAAGTCAATTCTTAAATAAATAATTGAATCTAGTTAGTATGTGATACTGTTTCATCACATGTGAACCATGTGGATCATTGCCCATGCTCCCAACCACTGGTCAGACTCAACCATGTACAGGCAGCTGTAATCTTACTGTCTGATGAGTTAACAAAAACATCGGTGTTCTCATTCATCCCTATTTACACACAAGAAACAACGTAAACATGGAAACGAAAGAATGAAAAACATTGTCATGTGTCCTATTCCTAGCTCCCGTTTCACAACCATGCGTTTGTTAATCACTATTTAAACCTTTGGTCCATATACAAAATGTAAACGTCAGCACGTGCTTCCAATTTGAACTGCCAACTCCACGAAGCTGTCTTCTGTATTGAGCATAATTTGTCCAGTTCAAGGAGTTTCTTGATGCTGCTCATTCCATAGCATCTGCCCTACCTTAAATCTGAGCATATCACAGTTCCTCTGCTTTCAGAGTAAAATCTCTCTGAAACAGTTTTGATTTCACTATACTACAATGGTGAGTGAGTGACTGTGTTGGGTTTATCGCCGCTTTGAACAGTATTTCATTTATATCACGGCATGTGAGAGGAAAGCCCGCGGTGTTGCAGGTTTCAGACGTTCAAGACTTTGGTGTAACCCTCGATTACGGGTATGGTGCTGACAAACCTAGAAAAATAATCGGGGCGAACCGGGAATCGTACCAACAAGGATAGATTTCTGGCGTGCCCAAGGCATTCAACTCTGCACAGCGAATTGCAGCGCCTAACACAACTGGGTCACCCATGCCACCCCCCCCCCCCCCCCCCCCCCCCCCCCCACACACACTATTCTATAATAACTTAAACTGTATACTGTTATATCTTACATTTAACAGTTTCTGACCATTGCCAATCAACGTTTTATCCCTTTTACCCATTTATACATCTATGTACATCTACTATATATTAATGGTAATACATTGATTGCATCATTACTGCAAACCTATTCAGATTTAATATATAGTAAATTCAAAACGTGAACGCCATAGAAAACCAGTCTTAACTGTCTGCCGAAATAGATTCCATAAGGCGCAAAAGATGTAATAGTGATGAGCATAGTATGGTATAAGGTGTTCGCGAAAAGGTAAAAGTGCCAGCTCTACTGGTAATACTGGCCCCACACAAAACAATATCGAGTACCAGTGAGTATGGCATGGCCTGCTCTACCCGTAGCACCCTTTTGCCACCCCAATCTCGATGGATAGAGGGTAATTAGATATGTCAATCACTGAATTGACTCGATTATATACATACTGCCGTCATATAGCTGGAATATTACTGAGAAGGGCGTTAAACAATCAACACAAACGCTGCACAAACAAACATTTTGCACTGAACTATTAAAACCCCAGATCACTTGGACGCAAGTGTCCCCTTGATGTAAATATATTATAGTTCAGGACAAAACTATGCAGTGCGTAGGATTTGGGACGAGACATGATAAAATTGCCTGTAGTCTCCACCAAACTATTTCTGAAAGCTTGCTGTTTTGGGGAACAAAGAGACATCATTTTGACAACTCAGAAAGTTGTAAAACGGATATTTTATACTCATAGAATGTAGTATCTCTGGTTTTGAGCTATGTCAATCGTAATGTTTCGGTTGAACATTTTAGTGAATCTATTGGCAAGTGTCTTGTTTCCAGCTCCTCAACACCTCTGGCCGAAATGAGGGCCTTGGGTACGATTCTTTCAGGGATTTCGTCACGTGTACAAATCCATCTTATTGAAATGCATCTTCGTCTATCACTGTGCTGATCGTAAGTGGCGACCAAACAGATCAGGTGGTCATCCTCAGCGACTTTGCTGATTACCCGACTGAGACGATCGTTGCTCCCAATATCGATGAATGGATTGTCTGGTCCAGATTCGACTATTTTCAGGCCGCCTTCATGCAGCTTGAATATTGTTGAATGCAGGGTTAACAATAAACGAACAAGCATTGTAAACTTCTCAAACACATTATAGACATGGCGATTGTGGCCATGACACCGCAGTGTCATAATATAAACAAGACCATGAAAGATATAATGATATAAAATCATATAACGCCATACAAATCAAAATTGCAGATAAATCATTATAAGATGAACTTGGATCAAACATCCTGTTATCACGTCACTCCCTCGGGGTAGCTCATGCAATGTTACAAGGCATCAACGAGAGGAGGGAGGCATGGAGGGTGCTTATTAACTAACTGGCTGTGCAGGCGAGTGTAACACTGCTGTGTGTAGTTGATTTATCTTCGAGGCAGTTCGTGACCTCTCTAACGTCAGTAACCTTGGATGGTGATAACGATTAGAGATACCTTATATATGAAACATATATGAACCACTCCAACAACAGACAAAGATTAAAGCTTCATGACAAGATGGAAAACGTTAGTAAAACTCAACCAGTTCTGTATAACGATAGGGTGGATGGGGAGCATGTTGATTACCATCTACCTCCGTCATCCATCTTGCATAAAGGAAACGAGATACCTAGGGAACACAGAGTCTCCAATGCATCCTCGGAGGTATTAGAGGAAGATTCTTCCCTGTTGGAGTCCACGAGGAACATTAAGTCCTACAAACGCCGATGGTATGTTCTGGTGGTATTCTCGTTTGCTGCCCTTGTTCAGGCAGGTGTTTGGAACACTTTCGGACCTATTGCTCAGTCAGCTAAGGCTGTGTTCGGGTGGACGGATGCCAATATAGGCATGCTGAACAACTGGGGGAATATTGTGTACATTGTGTTCATGATTCCAATGGCCTGGTTGATGGATATCAAAGGTAGGGATTTTTACTTAATCGTTCATGCTCATGTTATCAGTTTGAACTATATCTCATTATGAATAATCACAAAATGCGGTTAAAAGCATCATGTGCTGATTTTTATATTCACGATTTTATTTGGGTAATGACACTGATTCATAGTTATATAAATAAACTGAGGTTGTTTTGTGAAGCTAGAATCAGCTACGTTGGTTGGTTTGTTGTTTTACGCCGCACTCAGCAATATTCCAGCTATATGACGGCGGTCTGTAAATAATCGAGTCTGGACCAGACAATCCAGTGATTGATATCATGAGCATTGATACACGCAATTGGGATCAATGACATGCATCAACCAAATCAGCGGGCCTGACCACCCGATCCCGTTAGTGGCCTTTTACCACAAGCATAGTCGCCTTTTACGGCAAGTATGGGTTGCTGAAGACCTATTCTACCCCGGATTCTTCACGGGTCAAAATCAGCTACGCTTTGTCAGACACGCATTATGTTGGTATCATTGAATAGGCATACTGTACATGTGAACCCGTGAAGATCCGGGGTAGAAAAGGTCTTCAGCAACCCATGCTTGCCGTAAAAAGTTACTATGCTTGTCGTAAGAGGCGACAAATGGGATCTGGTGGTCGGGCTCGCTGACTTGGTTGATGCATGTCATCGTATCTAAATTGTGTGGATCGATGCTCATGATGTCAATCACTGGATTGTCTCGTCCAGACTCGATTATTTACAGACCGACGTCATATAAGTGGAATATTGCTGAGTGCGGCGTTAAACAACAAACAAACAAAAAGCTGTACATGTGAGTGTTGCAGCTGGAGGATTCTTGTACAAGTACCCACACACCCACATACCCACACACACGTGGCTGCACGTGGCTGTATTGGTACAATAATCTTGAACGTGACTTAAAACCCGATTTCACCTAACCTCACCTCACCTCACCTCACCTCAAAATCGCCTTACATTGAAGCGAGAACATCCTACACCCTATGTTGCTTGCAGCAGTTGCTATTTTTAAGAAATACATGACTCATACAATATAACATTTTATTGTACGATAAACAACGACCACGCGTCGTTCATTTCTTATATGATATATCAACATTATGTACAGCCTCTTTGAGGATGTTATTAATCAAATGTACAAACTTTAACAATATTTACCTTAATGTTAATATTGATGACTCCCTGAATAAAATCCAACCTCGGAAATGTCGGACAAGTCCATTTTACGAACAGGTGGGTTGCGTTTGGTATTTCCCGCACATTCTCACAATCCTCACGTCGATTAACTGTACCTTTTCTCCTAATGTCAATTGTCATATCTCTCCAACTTTTGGATGAAATCGTATATCTAACCCTCATACTTACCCTAAACCACGGTAATTAATTGGGCCTGGCGCAGACAACAAATTATTTTAAGACTTTGAAGGGTTGTCGTGAATTCATAAATCATGTGTACGCGAAGTGTTTTTATTTTTGGCTTCAGTTATGGAATATGTGGAACCAAAACAAAATGTAGAAACAAATACGTGCAAAAAATGTTTTATTGGGTGCTACCGGAAGGGAAGGACATTTATCATCCAAAACTGGCTCCCACAGGAGATATCGCTTGGGTGAGATCAAGCGATATCTACACTGTAGATATCGCTGCAATAAAATAGCATCACAATGCTTTGCAGACCATTGTGACGTCATTGTTACCATGACGTCACAATCAAATGACATCACTAATGGCTCTGCTACTGAAGCTGTAATCATTACTTTTTACACTTTAGACACTGCTTATTACGGTCTACAAACTGAAAAAGTTGGAAGAATGATGATGGATGATAAATAGAATCTCACCCTCGTGTTTTTTTATACCAAATATGTCAACACTCGTTGATAAAAGTGGAAAAATTCCTAGGCAAGCCTCGGTGTTTTTCCACTTTATCAACTCGTGTTGATATATTTGATATCAAAAGACACTCGGGTGAGATTCTCTATATCTACCCTTGTCGCGAACACCTGGTGTGATCACTGATTTTCAGTGATACGTTCATACATTGCATACTTCTCACTGCTATTTCGCCTGGCTATTATCTAGGGCTGACGTTTTCTATTAACAAGGTTTCACAAATGTTTAAATTAATTAATTTGTGTCAAGGCTGTAACAGAGAGTTAATTTTCGAATATTTTAAGCGAATTAAATGTTAGAGTTTCTGGGCTTTGTGGAAGGGAAAGAAGCCTTGTTTATGGTAGAATGTGTTGGTGTTGTTAATTATTGTTTCCTTCTGTACACATTCTGAATGATCAAACAATACTTGGATACTGAAATGATAACGAAGATAAGAAAATTGAGCATGTTCGTCGTGTATTTCTTTTTATTTAAAAAAAGGAAATAAATCACGTTAATGATGACATTGAGTATTTCAATTTAATTTTGTTGTACCATTTACAGATAAATAAAAGCGACAAAACCCTTTCCATATTCATAAGAAATCTCTGCCAAAAGCAGAGTCGATTGTAATTCAGACTATATCATGATCGTGTGTTTATGAATCACTTCGAAAAGTGACGATACCAGGTATTGCTTTTAATATAATAAAAAAGACGAATAGTTTTTTGCTAGTTCCTCTTCTGGAGTATTTCACTGAAAGACAAAATATTCTTCTGTTGATAAACACCACATATGTCAGTATACACGTACTGATGATATCATCTATATGAGAATGTAACACTGATGAATAAATGTTGACAGTTACAAATGGACAATGACGTACTAAATGAGAGTACTGAAAACGTTACAAGATCAATCCACTTCCATCAGGGTTCACAAACGAGATCGAAAGTAGTTCCAACTTTTTGGGCGAACGGGAAAGAATAAAGAAACTTTATTTAAAATATTAGTTCAACCAAACTGAAGCCATACATATTCCTAACATGTTGAAATGGTATGTGGTGTAGAACCCGCATTCAAATTGGAACATCCGCCATGTTCAGCCATTTGTATACATTCAGCGTGTGTCACCAATAGCGAAAGAACTAAACAGAAAATAGAATTGTCAGGAAATGTTAATGCACAAATTGTCCAGTCAAGTGCCAAGTTCTCTTAACCGACATCAAGGGGTCTCTTCGCGACATGACTACATTGAGCTATGACTCGTGGCCTTGAACTTTGAGCAGTTGCGATATAGGACATCACCACTCTTAGTTAAAATACTGGTCTTATTTGTGGCATTATTTCATATGCTACTTATACCAAGTACTGTTATAAAACAGTTAATGTGGTTGTGCTAACATGTAATGGTTATGTTATTAGAGGCCTTGTCAGTAGAACAACTACAACAAAGAATGTTGAATGTCGGACAGGTGTGAAAGCTGGCTAGGACAGAACTGGTTTATTCTACCCCACCACGAAGTGGGGCGTCGGATGTACGAACCTCCGTCCGTCCGTCCGATTCTCAATGGGGACACATTTTCTGAAAAACTATTTAAGGTAGAGCAATGGAAGTGTACACACTGATGTTACTGGTCACGATCGCCATTGACTTCGAAAATTGGTGTCTTAAATTCATTTTACAGAGTAAGGGCCCTTGATCCATGTTATTTTACTTCGTGCATAGTGTTTGTAGTGGGGACAGGTTTTATCAGTAACTACTGAAGTTACATGAATGAAACTTAGCAAGCTTATCCAAGAAATACTTGTCAAGACTGAGTTCGAAGAGTGGTGCCTTGAATTATTTTATTACACAGCGATAACGCTGATTTCTTGTTCCGATTCTGTTTCTTCTTTTTCAGTAATTGAATATGATTAGTATGTGATACTGTTTCATCACAGAAGAAGAAGAAGAATATTTTATTATAGTGTCACTCGCTGTACATATAAAATGACAAGGCAAGAATGTAAAAACTCAGCGGCCGGCCTACGAGACACTAAAAGACTCATAAAAACAATATTTTATGTATGTACACACCACATTTAATAGTAATTATGAAAATAACATTCATTATATTATCCCCCATACAAGCATCATATATACACACAACCACATCCAGTCCTTTACTCACAGCAGCTTACTCAAACCACTCAAACACACCCGCTCATTCAATGACAAACACACCCGTTCAATCACATCCGAACCCTCAACCACACCGTCATACATTACCCTCACGCACACCCAATTTCTCATACATACCCTCACCTGTACCCATTCACGCATCAATACTTACTCCCTTATCTGCATTGTCTATCAACCACGTCGTTACCAAACGGTGAACTTCATCTTCAACGGTTTGGCCGTTACATAATTTACAGACGCGTTCAGAAACAGGAGTGATGGATGTGGATCACTGCTCATGCTCCCAAACACTGGTTGGACTCAACTATGTACAGGCGGCTGTAATCTTACTGTCTGATGAGTAAAAAACATCAGTGTCCTCATTCAGTCCAATTTACACACAAGAAACAACGTAAAATGGAAACGAAAGAATGAAAAACATTGACATGTGTCCTATTCCTTTATAGCTCCCTTTTCACAATGTAAACGTCCGCACGTGCTTCCAATTTGAACTGCCAACTCCATGCACCTGACTTCTGAATTGAGCATAATCTGTCCAATCCAAAGAGTTACTTTATGCGAATTTTTTCATAGTATCTGCCCTACCTTTAATCTGAGCATATCACAGTTCCTCTGCTTTCAAAGTAAAATCTCTCTGAAACAATTTTGATTTAACTATACTGCAATGGTGAGTGTGTGACTGTGTTGGGTTTATCGCCGCTTTGAACAGTGTTTTCATTTATATAATGGCATGTCGGCTTCATGTGAGAGGAAAGCCCGCAGTGTTGCAGGTGTCAGACGTACAAGGCTTTTGTGTAAGCCACAAGCACGGGTATGGTGCTGACAAACCTAGACAAATAATCGGGGCGAACCGGGAATCGAACCTACAAGCATAGATTTCTGGTGTGCCCAATGCATGCAACTCTGCACAGCGAATTGCAGTGCCTAAGACAACTGGGCCCCCCGTGTCCCCCTATTCTATAATAACTTAAACTGTTAATACTGTTAAACTGTAATCTTACATTTAACAGTTTCTGACTGTTGCCAATCAACGTTTTATGCATCTTACCCATTTATACACCTAATTACTACTACTATCTATGATAGAAAACCAGTCTCAACTATCTGCCGAAATAGATTCCATAAGACGCAAAAGGTGTAATAGCGATGAGCATATTATGACATAAGGTGTTCGCGAAAGGTAAAAGTGTCCAGCTCTACTGGTAAGTCTGACCCCACACAAAACAATATCGAGTACGAGTACCTGCTCTACCCGAAGCACCCTTTTGCCACCCCAATCTCGATGGATAGAGGGTAATTAAATATGTCAATCACTGAATTGACTAGATTATATACATACTGCCGTCATATAGCTGGAATATTACTGAGAAGGGCGTTAAACAATAAACACAAACGCTGCACAAACAAAATTTTTGCACTGAACTATTAAAACCTCAGAGCACTTGGACGCAAGTGTCCCCGTGATGTAAATATATTATAGTTCAGGACAAAACTATGCAGTGCGTAGGATTTGGAACGAGATATGCGAAATTGCCTGTAGTCTCCACCACACTATTTCTGAAAGCTTACTGTTTTGGGGCACATCATTTTGACAACTCAGAAAGTTGTAAAACGGATATTTTATACTCATAGAATGTAGCATCGGTGGTTTTGAGCTATGTCACTCTTAATGTTTCGGTTGAACATGTTAGTGAACCTTTTGGCAAGTGTCTTGTTTCCATCTTGTCAACACCTCTGGCCAAAATGAGGGCCTTGGGTACGATTCTTTCAGGGATTTCGTCACGTGTACAAATCCATCTTATTGAAATGCATCTTCGTCTATCACTGTGTTGATCGTGAGTGGCGACCAAACAGATCAGGTGGTCATCCTCAGTGACTTTGCTGATTACCCGACTGAGAGGATCGTTGCTCCCAATATCGATGAATGGATTGTCTGGTCCAGATTCGACTATTTTCAGGCCGCCTTCATGCAGCTTGAATATTGTTGAATGTAGCGTAAACAATAAACGAACAAGCATTGTAAACTTCTCAAACACATTATAGATATGGCGATTGTGGCCATGACACCACAGTGTCATAATATAAACAAGACCATAAAAATCATATAACGTCATACAAATCTAAATTGCAGATAAATTATTATAATGATGAACTTGGTACAAACATCCTGTTATCGTATCACTCCCTCAGGGTAGCCCAGGCAATGTTACAAGGCACCGGCGAGAGGAGGGATGGAGAGTGCTCATTAACGAACTGGCTGTGAAGGCGAGTGTAACACTGCTGTGTGAAGTTCATTTATCTGTAAACCAGTTGGTGACATCTCTTACGTCAGTAACCTTGGATGGTGATAACGATTAGAGATACCTTATGTATGAAACGTATATGAACCACTCCAACAACAGACAGAGATTAAAGCTTCATGACAAGATGGAAAACGTTAGTAAAACACAACCAGTTCTGTATAACGATAGGATGGATGGGGAGCATGTTGATTACCATCTACCTCCGTCATCCATCTTGCATAAAGGAAACGAGATACCTAGGGCACACACAGTCTCCAATGCATCCTCGGAGGTATTAGAGGAAGATTCTTCCCTGTTGGAGTCCACGAGGAACATTAAGTCCTACAAACGCCGGTGGTATGTTCTGCTGCCCTTGTTCAGACAGGTGTTTGGAACACTTTCGGACCTATTGCTCAATCAGCTAAGGCTGTGTTCGGGTGGACGGATGCCGATGTAGGCATGCTGAACAACTGGGGGAATATTGTGTACATTGCGTTCATGTTTCCAATGGCCGTATCTGTACTTGATGTATCTTTCAAAACAGATACCGTACATGCTCATGTTTACAGTTCTATATTTCATTATGAATATTCACAAAATGCAGTTAAAAGCATAATATGCTGATTTTATCCTCTCCTCGCCTCGCGTCGCCTCGCCTCGCATCGCCTCACCTCACCTCACCTCACCTCACCTCACCTCACCTCACCTCACCTCACCTCACCTCACCTCACCCCACCTCACCTCACATCACCTCACCCCACCCCACCTCACCCCACCTCACCTCACCTCACCTCACCTCACCCCACCTCACCTCACCTCACCTCACCTCACCCCACCTCACCTCACCCACCTCACCTCACCTCACCTCACCTCACCTCACCCCACCCCACCTCACCTCACCTCACCTCACCTCACCTCACCCCACCTCACCTCACCTCACCTCACCTCACCCCACCTCACCTCACCTCACCTCACCTCACCTCACCTCACCACACCTCACCACACCACACCTCACCTCACCTCACCTCACCTCACCTCAATGATTAGCAACTAATGTTTAACTGAATGAGCTTTAATTAGTGTGTTTTCCACTCTCTCACTCTAGGACTGCGGATATCAATGCTGTGTTGCGCTGTGCTGCTGGTGTTTTTGACGGCCATTAGGTGCATCACGAGTGACCCAGTACCAGCTACATGGTCAGTAACGCTCAAGTGTATATTGATTCCAGTGTGTACCATATAATGATATGATAATCCAGTGGTAATTATAAGTGATGCTCCAGTGTATGTTACACGTGACGCCAAGAGTATATGATATGAGACACCACAGACTGCATTTTTCAGACGCCCAAATGAATACCATATGTGCCACTGCAGAGATTATTATATGTGGTATTACATTTTATATAATAGGTGACGCCACAATGTTCATTATATCCTATGCAAAAATAGTGGGGGTTATTTTGTTTTGAGGTGAAACTACAGGAAAATACACCAATGTCTGGCAATGAAAGTAGGTCATTTAAGTGGCAATAACATTTCCGAAGAAATTAAGCTCCCAAACACAACATTATCAGAGTCATTCGGCACGTAACCTTTAACAGCACGTACAAGGGGTGGGGTGCCAGAATTGCCATTGTCACTCAGACTCGTATTGTTTTCTTGGAACCAAATGCTTTCAAGACACTTTACAAAACACCTGTAATCATTGAGGAAGCAACCGACATGTTGTGGGGGTGCACACAGAATATCGTTGCCCAGTCGCTGCGATTTTCTCAATCTGTCATCAGCAGATTGTGGGCCGATACCCACATAATCGCGCTGAATGCAGGGCAACAGCCTAGGACAGAACGATGGCATTAAGAAATCGGTTGCAAACTGCCACTCAGAGAAGGGACTGGTTGCAACAGGCAACTGATGTAAGAGTACATGCCTAGACGGTGCAAAATCGTCAGCACGTCGTCAGCGGCATTTGTGTGCACGACGTCCACGTGTTATCCCACATCTTACTGTACGCCATTGGAAACATAGGCATCAGTGGTGTAAGGAACGTCCTCACTGAAATGATCGACGTTTGGCTAATGTCATGTTTTCTGACGAATCAAAGTTCACTCTTGACTTCCATGACGGAAGGAATCGAGTTTTGAGACTTCCTACTAAGCGTCCTTCACCTTTTAAATGTTGTTCGTCCTTATAAGGCAGCATCCAAAGAAAAACATTAATTATTTAAAAACAGATTCATGATTGTATTTCCTAACTTCTGTGATGTTTATCTTGAGATGAAGGCACAGTTCTTCTGCTCTCAGGTTGATGAACACGGCAGCTATAGTGAATGGTGTGGCTGGCACTGTACCTTTCGCCGGCCCCGCCCTCCTCTCTGCCACGTGGTTTCCCCCCAAACAGAGGGCCACTGCTACAGCCGTGTCAACTGTGTTCAGCTACCTCGGCGTATCTGTCGGCTTCATCATTGGTGAATTGACCGTCTGAAATCCGCAATTGTTTAAAACTTCCCCTTTAATCCGTAACAGAAGTTTTGAATAGTTCAGATACCGATGAATAAAAGATTGTTTGAGATATTTTCCAATATTAAGAAGAACTAATCAGGACAAATATACATGTAAACAACCTTACCAGATTAGATATAGTATTATCAGATACATATATAGGGATTACAGTGAACTGATTAACTCTTTGTTAGGACATTGGCATGATTACACATCTAGATAACATACAGGTTCATTGAACGTACCTTGAGTACTTAATGATAATGTTATTATCGTCCTATAATATCCTCTCCAAAAAAGTATGAGCCATTCGAAAATATAAGACGACTGCAGAAATACAAAGTGGTATAGTGTGATGGTAATTGATTGATAAGAAAACACAAAGGTTAGATGTAACATGACAATCAACAGAAGATGTTGGCAGTGTATTATAAGGGTGTAAACAACAAAGAAAGACGACAGGGGTGTGTAGTCAAAATATGAGCGTTTCCGATGACCTGATCAATAAGAGGGCATGCCCCCACGATTGATCAAACATTCGTTTATGGGTTAAGGTTAGTCTGACCTCATTTTGGCTAACGTAGCAGTGACCTTTGAAGTCGAGTACACGTAACCAGATCATGATCATGTCCACGACGTGCTCTATGGGGGAAAGGTCTGGAGTAATTGCTGGCCGTTTCATTGTACTAATGTTTTGGCGCTGACACAACCTTTGACGCTGGTATGTTGTCTCTGTAGTACTGTCCATTGACCTTTCCATGGGCAGTATGCAGTGGAGTTCTGGCGCTCATGGTGATTCCACCCCGAATTATTATGGACCCACCACCCAATCTGTTATGTTGCTTCAGCTGACATTCGCATGATACCTCCTGACACGTCCACGCATATCCAGAAAGTCCAGAGTGAATCTGGACTCATCTGAAATCATTACACGAAATCCTTACGGCTATTCCCCAGATTCTACAATCTAATGTCCATTTGGCGTCAACATCAATTTCTTTGGTTTCTTAAAGCCTGGCATCTGATTGATCGATTCTGGACTTGTGTTGTTGAGCTAGGGCGCCCTATCCAGGCCGATAATTAACATTTTGTGTCTGCATGAACCTGTTCCAAGTCTCCCAATCACAGACTGAGACACATTGCACAGATTTACTGCCTCTTGCTGAGTTCTACCAGTTTGAAGCATGCCAGTAGCCGTTCATCACGTTGTGAACGACGCATTCCTAACCTGATCACAAATACTGCAATAAAGCTAGAGTGGAGAGCTTACGTTTCACTGTTGATAATGAAAATAAACCTAACTAATGACTCAAAAGGATTGGGCGACCTTTTATTGAAGTGTCAAAATCAAAATGATCCCACATGCACAGAGAAATTGCATAGTCTGTCTGCAATATGTTGGTTGTGTTGGGAATATTGTTTTGGTTCGGAAAATGTCAATGCTCTCTGGCAGTCATTGCTCAAGGTTGACCTTTCTTCTGACGACCGACCACAACATAATATTTCACGCCTCCTACTTGTGTTTGGAGTATCCCCTGTGTAGCATACATGTATTTCAGTAGAATATGCAGAGTGCCCAAAGTAGACGCCTCTCCCTGTGTTGAGTTACCTTCCTTATCCATCAGGACCAGGTGGTCACAGGTTCGAATCCATAACATCTCGAGTAATGTGTCAATGTAAATGTCCATGACCTATGTGCACCACTATTATCCCTCGCGAAAACTAAAGGAATAACTTCATTCCTTGATCAATGGAGCATTTATCATAAAGCGTAGTGACCATATATATTTCTTCAGAAATGTATCAGAAATGAAAGCAAATGTCATCTGAAGTTTATTGAGGAATCGAAGACATGAAATGCTAGACTTCCCCACAGATAACATTTTTTGTGAAATTTGGACTCAGAACATTTTGGCAAGAGCTGGGCATCCTCATGGGTGTCAATTTCTGCTCGTTTTAGAAAAGTCAAAACAAGGTAATATGGTCATGAAGTTTATCTCATGGATCAGGATCGATGATCTGATATCGTGTAATATATGTCAAATATGTCAATTCCCTTCCACTGACATATCCACCTGACCTAGAAATAACAGAGGCCAGTGAAAACACCTAATCTGATTCATAATATGCATAAAGATTCAGTGACAATAAACTACTAGTTTACACATGACAAGCGGGGTGACTTCAACTTTCCAATAGTCTACTCTTCCTGACTGTTAGGCAATATTCTAGCATCTCCAGCATCTTTGACGTCTACATTTCACAACGATTAAGGTATAATCGATCATACTCTTTCTATGAAGAGTTCAAAGAGGATCATACAACTCGTGCACAAAAGTTGTTTGATCCGTGTTTGAACATTCAACGGTTTATGGTAGGCATGTGGAGGACATTTCCTGATTTGACACAAAAGTGACAACAACAATTAGGTCTGATGCAATTCCCTATTTTCCCTTGTTTGTTCAGATATACAATTGACTTTACTTTCAATTGTTTATGATGGGTGCAACCAGCCTGGCAGGATATGTTCACATTTTTGGCATCGTAACTCTTTGATATAATTATGTTAATGATATAGTCCGCATTATACAATGGACTAATGCCCTATACAGATTTCTTATGAGTATGGAACGGGTTTTGTGGCTGTTATTCAATTAAACCAGTTCACAGCTTCGTTAAACTCATCTCACTCAATCCTTATATTTACAGGACCGCTTATGGTGCCGCAGCCAGACGAACCATCCTTGAACCTAACTGCCATACTACCTTTAAAGTAAGAAGTGCCGGAGTGTCAACACGAAAACCCTTCATATGTTATGTAAATTTAACACATGCTGTGTTTTAAACCTGCACCTCTAGTTCCCCTTCAGCTCTGTTACTTCATCCCTCATTTATATTTCCCTCACGACAAACCTCTATTCCCAAAGGGGCGGTGGGGTAGCCTAGTGGTTAAAGCGTTCGCTCGTCACGCCGAACACCCGGGTTCGATTCCCAACATGGGTACAATGTGTGAAGCCCATTTCTGGTGTCCCCCGCCGTGATATTGCTGGAATATTGCTAAAAGCGGCGTAAAACCATACTCACTCACTCTATTCCCAAGTCTCCCAACTCTATCTCTTTTCTCACATCCCCTCACCTCTATCTGTTCTCCCTTCCACTTCAATTTCTTTTCCTCTTTTCACTCACGTTTTCCCCTTCCTTCTGTATTCCTACATCACCGACCCATATCATTATTACACTTTCTGCATTGGTCGTGTCCTTGTTTGCAGTACGTCAAGTCAGGGGTACTCCACGCTCAGTCCAACAGCAGCCACTAACCTGTCCGAGGTGAGAAACGGCATCATGAGACTTATGTATGCAGGTGATGAACGTTCTCCCTCTCACTACATTGAATCAAACCATTTATAAAATCCATAATGATGGTGTACCATTTTAATCGTAATCTGTATACATGTCTGTTCTTTCACGTAATACATGCACGTCTCCTCTTGGGTTCGTTGGCACAGTCCAGTGGTATACGCGTTCCCTCGTCACACCGCAGATCCAGGTTCGATTACCGCATGGCTTCAATTTGTGACGCCCATTCTAGGTGTCCCTTCCAAATATTGCCTAGATATTGGTTAAATGTGGCATGTCCTGCTCTTTGGAATAAAGGTTTTACTTTCATGTCAATTACTTCTTAAACAAGTGTAGATGTCTTCGTGAGTCATTTTTATGCTTCTCACGACAATGGTATCTTGGTGATATTACTACTAAATTGTTACTGTTAACTGTGGTGTGTACAGAATGTGCGGCTTGTGTGCTGCTGCTGCTCCTGGTGGTGGTGTACTTCCCCGCCAAGCCCCCCTGTCCCCCCAGCCTCACAGCGTCCATGGAGAGGACAAGCTACCCACAGGGCCTCAAAGGGTTATTCACGTAAGATTGTGAGCTGACTAACCCCTGTGAAATGGCTACAGTCTTTTTAGGTCAATGTTGAGTCTTTTCTCATAGTACATTTTTCATGAAATAGATAAATTATGATGAAGTGGTTTGCATAAATTAATATTAATATAATTTGTAGGCCATCAGTAGTCCCCAGAAGTGACATATAGAAAGCCCCTGTGTTGTCATTTATTGTATTGGTTGGTTTCCATGATCATCAGCTCTGATGGGCGTTTTGGAAAGCTTAATAACATCCTGTATGGAATAGTTCTAGCAGACATGTTAAGTAACATATTCCTTCTCTGAAAACTTAAGTTGTTCTATTTTGCTCATAACTGGATATATGTTATCAATCTTTCACGACATTTTTATCGTTATTTGTCGGTATGAAAGCGAAGCAACACCTGGGTGAGGCTTGACAGTACATAAGACCCCCTCTCCCCTCCCCTGTCGATGAACGAATTATGATCTACAGTGACCTCAGATCGATCACTGTTAGACTGTATCATTCAAATATTTGTATGATAGTTTAACTTGTGCAGGCATAAACGCTTTTTGGTGATAATGGTGGCCTACAGTATACCAACGGGAGTTTACTTGGTGTTTGCGGCTGTACTGGATGTCATCCTGGACGGTGCCGGTATAACACAGGTAATAAAGGAGTTCTACTGTATGTTATTAGGGTAAATTTCAAAAGTGCCTGATATAAAGCAAAGTGGACTTATACATACATTGGAATGTTGAAATGTTGTATAAAAAAATAAATTACTGGAGTGGCTGGCAATCAGTCTGTGGTTTGTAATGACACATTGTCAGAGACTGAATTTTTAAAGCTGGTGTACAACAGGGATCGGTATTAACGAAAGGTTTGAGTCTGGCTAATTCTCTATTACACCAGCAAAACACAAACGGTTCTTTCTCCACTGCATCAGCTTCAGAAGTTCAGCATAGTGGCAGTGTGTTGAAGAAGATTTATGTTATGTTTATTTGTCCACATTTTGTATTGGTTAGATTGTCCTTCTCGGTTTACAACATGGGTGCCACAATTTATACAATTTGAAATATTCTGAAAATACAAAAGCACGGATTGATCATTTCATGTTTCCTCCATCATTATTATTCTTAAGAATGCTGTGAACGCAAACAAACCTCATTCCTTAAGGAATACTTGAGTGCGAAATCAGCTCTTTCAGAAGCGCTTGTTAAATCATTCTACAATTGCCTTTCAGTACCATGCCGGTTGGATTGGCTTTTATGCCACGATAGGCGGTTGTGTAGCGGCGCTGGTGATGTCCAGGTATGTACATGCATGTCAGGAAGGACTTCGTGACAAAGATCGAGCATTCAACCTTTGATGATATAAATAAAGCGACACAACCCTTTCCATGTCTAATAGAATTATCTGCATAAAGTAGAGTCGATTGTGCAATTCCGCCTATATCATGAACACGTGTTTATGAATCATTGTCAAATAGTAATGATACCAGATATTCGCGAACAGTTTAACGTATCCTGCCCCACCGGTGGCACTCGTCACAAACACAAACACAGGGAAGTCAATTGTTCACCTGAAACAACATGAAAAATTATGGTAAAGTCAAAATAGGGTATTGCATAGGACATCATTTTTGTCACTGATGCGTCAAATTTGGAAATGTCCTCAACATGTCTACCATGATACTTTTGTCATACAGTCTTGTGGAGGGTGTTTTGTCACTCTGAATCTTTATGCATAGATCTAAAATATGAAACAGATGAGGCTGTCTCACTGGTCTCCTTTATTTCTAGATCATCCAACAAATAAAGTGAGTGAGTATGGTTTTACGCCGCTTTTAGCAATATTCCAGCAATATCACGGCGGTGAATGGTCTTCACACATTGTACCCATGTCGGAAATCGAACCCGAGTCTTCGGCGTGACGAGCGAACGCTTTAACCACTAGGCTACCCGACCGCCCTAACAAATAAAGAGTGAAATATCTCAGTACACAGTGATTGGGTAATCATATAGGACCTTAATTACAACGTAAACGGAAAGACGCATGCGGTTACGGGCATGCTGTGCACTAGGTGCTTGAAAACCTGCGTTTGGATGTATCGTGACAGAATTGTTGCACATCATTATCAGAGAGCACAATAACGTCTGTGACTGAGGATTGCAACAACTGAATGTTTTTATGCCCCTCAGCATCTAAGACCTCGTTTGACGACCGAAGAAGTAGGCAGAAGCATAGTATGCTGGGTCAACACAACGTCACGTTGCAAAAGTCTTTGGTGTCAGCGAAAGTATTTTATAGCACAGCATAGAATCGATAACCAGCGAAAGCAGGTGGTCAACACCATTTCACCAAACAGCGTGATGACACCTGCCATCACACTCAGTTATGACCTGCCGAAAGCCAGTAGTGTTAACGTCTCAACTCAGTGCGTAATCGTTTCCTTGAGGCTGGTCTCCGATCACGGAGGGCATGCATTCGCATCCCACTGACCCAACATCACAGGTAGGCACGTCTGGACTGAGGTGAAGATTAAGCCATTTGGACAGACCAGTACTGGGCTCCTGTACTTTTCACTGATGAATTGAGATACTCTCCTGTCTTCACCGATCCTCGTACGTAGACAAGGAGAAAGATTTCAAATTTTCAAAATAGCCGAATTGACCGCTAGTCAGAGTGACTCAATCATGATTTGGGATGGGATCAGAAGAGCTGGAAGAACCGATCAACATGTCCCACAGCAGGGCAGGGTGACAGGTGTGAGCTACATGGATGACATTCTGGATGTGTATGTAAGACCGTATGCTGGTGCAATCGGAACAGACTTCATCCTTATGGACGATAACGCACGAACTCATCGTGCCAGGGTCTTTGATGCCTACTCAGAGCAGGAGACCATTATCCGTATGAAGTGGCCAGTGTAGTCTCCAGACCTCAAATCCATGGAACACATGTGGAACTCACTGCAGATCGCTCTCTCACGACGCCCTGTCCTCCAATAGAGTGGGCTAAAATTTTACGTCACATGTCCTCTACAGGCTCTGCATGGCTCTTACTCAAGAGTGGAACAATCTTACCATGGCAACCATTCAGACACCTTTCGAGAGCATGAGACAATGGTGCCAAACTGTGATCGCATCAGGTGGATCACATATGCGCTACTGCGTATACTCTCCTTTTGACGGGTGATGTTGTTTCTTGGTATTGTGTTTCTAATGGCAACCGACTTTGGTTCATTAAACATGTCTTCGTCTTTGTAAGAAAGATTTGGGAGAAACTGTACATTTGGATAAAATCCGTTGTGGAAGGAACCATTGGTTTAAACAGGGAAAAAAATATTTTTTTTTTATTTCAAGGAAAACACAACAACCCATTGAATATTGTACTTTTAATAACAAAACAAGTAATATACAGACAATGTAGGACAAGATTACTGCCACATTTTGAACACATACAGCATAAGATAATTAGTTATGACAATGATACAAAGGTAATGTCATTTACAAATTGTAACTATGTAATCTTTTTGAGTTTCTGGTTTTCCTTTCCTTACTAATTTGTAAGACACACTGATGCAGTACGTTGACTTCACAGGCAAGAATTTATATGTATGAAAAGATGTACATTGCTTGAATACCATGTACCACAATTGTATTGGCATGACATGTATATATCAATGCTGTACCTGCTGAGGTGAATAAAGAAGGGAAAAAAATGTCTTCGTCTTTGGCTATTTTACCAGAGGCACGCAATTTGATGTAATACTTTTTAAATTGGTGACCCTTTGCAAACTTTGGTTTTTGTTTGTTGTTTAACGCCGCACTGAGCAATATTCCAGCTATATGATGCTGGTCTGTAAATTATCGAGTCTGGACCAGATGATTGGCATTATGAGCATCGATCTGGGCAATTTGGATGCGATGACATGCATCAACCAAGTCAGCGAGTCTGACCACCCAATCACGTCAGTCGTATCTTACGACAAGCATTTTAGCGTACGCCGTAAAGGCAAGCATTGGTTGTTGAAGACCTAGCCTAACCCGGATCGTCACGGTGTGCAAACTTTGAGTAGTAAATATGCATTTTACTTAATACTTGACACACTGGCTGTTGACAACGCCTAAGGTATAATTCGGACCATCCCTACTGCCATATTCGTAGCCACTCAACTATTGTTTAATGCTGTTCTCTATTTCAAGGATTGCTGATCTGTTTCTACGTCACATGAAGATGATACTCTTGTTCCTATTCGTCTTAGCAACATGCGCTACTGTCTGGTTTGTCCTGCTGCGCCTGTCCTACATCCCCTTCAGTATGGGTGAGTAAGTATGTGAATACTTTATGTAAAAAGGTACATATTTCTCTATCTTACACCATAGCCCATATGGCAGGCATTTCACTGTGTGTGTGCGTGCGTGCGTGCGTGCGTGTGTGTGCGTGTGTGTGTATGTGTGTGTGTGTGTGTGTGTGCGTGCGTGTGCGTGCGCGCGCGTGTGTGTGTGTTTGTGTGTGTGTGTGTGTGGACGTTTTGGTTAACACCCATATCCGTACCTTTTGATTTTTCCCCGTCAGTGTCGCTGTACGTGTCCTGCATCTTGATGGGGATCTTCATCAATGGTTCTGTCCCGTTGTTCTACGAGCTTGGGTGTGAAGCAGCATACCCAATTGCTGAGGGGGTGACCGCGGGTGTTCTTACCATTGCCAACAATCTGACCGGTGTCATCTTTCTATCTGTGCTACAGATCCCAAGAATAGGTACACCACCATTTCCTCATCTGAAATGTCGCAAATCTGAGACGTTCAGCATTTTCATAAAACGCATGAGCACTGTGGTGAAGCTCTAAAACACCAAGGATCATAACCTTGATCAACTATGGATTCCTTGACGTCACCATTGAGCAACGTGTATCACTGAAACATTTTCAGTGTACAAACAATAATATATTTAAATTCAATGAAAATTATTTTAACGTTTAATAACGATTATGATAGGAGACACACGGTTCGATGCGTTTTGTTTTCTGTATCTATACGTAAAATTCCGTAAATAATGAAAATCACCAGTGTGGAAAAATAAACAGCAAATAATCAATTCTACCACTATATCTCTTGCAGGTGTTGTGTGGATGAACTGGTGCATGCTTGGCTCTGTAGCAGCTGCAGTACCCCTTCTTCTCTTGTTCACAGAGAAGTACACCAGGATTGACATCGACACGCAAGAAATTATAGTTCCAGCGCCTGGTGAGGGTGGTGCTGCGATCAATCCCGACATTAAAGTTGATTAATAGGGAAATATCACACATGCTGACAGTGCATTGAAATACTGCTTTGACTCGTAGCTGATTTGAGAATCGGTGGCTTCCGGTTTCATGATGCGGATCATTTGTACTGGTTTTACTGTACGTGTGTTCAAGGAGATTTTAAGGAGATTTACCAACTTGTCACCATGAAGGAATGCTCTGACACTCTCAATCACGCATGTTATGAATAGACCTTCATTGCAGGCAGACTCACGACAAGTTTATCCACATAAACCGTGTACTGATGTTTTGTCCATTTTCAAAAATATATCTATAAAGACTGAGAGTACATTCACCTATTTATGTTGGTGGTTGAGTCCAAGCGTTTGCTCTTTTTGCATTGTGCTGCTTTGATCCGAACAGGGACTCACTTCGAGAAACCTGTTCTTGGTGCTAACAGTTACGTTTATCAATAACGTTACATCATGTTGAAGGGTTGATCAGGGTAATCATTAATGTTACCTAAAGTAAATGCACCTTTGAACAAAGTCAGTACTGTCTCAGCATGTCAACTTGGTATGGGAGATAGACTCAAAGTGGCAAATGAATTCCATTTCCAAAGTTTTTTCATGAAATAATTCATATTCCTCGGAATTGTACATACTATCTATTCCTGAATCCATTTTATATAAACATATATATATACTGCTTCAAACGATTTCTTGGCATGTTCACCATACTCTGTTCAAAAGAATAATCTCAAACTTTGAGAAAAGTATTGAAAATGTATGGCTTATAGGTTCCGACAAAATATATAATTAGTACACATGTAATAACCGAACAATAGCTTGATTAATACATCAATATGTCCGCAAATCATTAGCATTACCTGGGGTTAAAAGGATAGGTAATGACTGATCCGCAGGTCATTAGCATTACCTGGGGTAAAAGGATGGACAATGACTGATCCGCAGGTCATTAGCATTACCTGAGGTAAAAAGGATGGACAATGGCTGATCCGCAAATGATTAGCATTACTTAAGGTAAAAAGGATTGGCAATGACTGATCCGCAAATCATTAGCATTATTTGAGGTAAAAAGGATGGGCAATGACTGATCCGCAGATCATTAGCATTATTTGAGGTAGAAGGATTGGCAATGACTGATCCGCAAATCATTAGCATTACCTGAGGTAAAAGGATGGGCAATGACTGATCCGCAAATCACTAGCATTAGCTGAGGTTAAAGGATGGGCAATGAGATATGATAGAACCGAAATGATGATATGTAGTGAAGTAGATCGGAATTAATGTGACGCAACTCTTGCATACACGTTTCCAATATTTGGACCACAACTCGAGAGAGGCAGCTACTCATGCCTGCTTACACCCTAAAAAAGAATGTTTTTCTAAAACAGTAACTTGTGTCCAGAGCTGAGAAATACTGGTTTGCCCCGCTCTTTCATTACATCGTTTGATTTATCCAGAAGTCCCCTATTTCGTTAACACCATTGACACTGTAGAAACCCATCTCAAGTACGTTAGAACAAATACAAAGTCATGAATGCAGTCTATCCTATCATACTGGTCTCCGACATATCTTGATAAAGTCTCAGCTTTTGGGGTATTGTGGTTTCTGAGACGTTTGTTGAAGACTTTGAGACTTCATTCTTTACAGTAAATGCAAAAGACGTTCTTGTTCATCGATCACTTGATTGTCTGGTTTGTTACAGGAGTACTGCCATTTTTGCAAAGTGTGTTAGTAGCGGTAGGACGGGACATGCTTACCCTTTTCGCTGGTGTCATTGTAGTGGTCCATTCATATAATTTTCACAGCATTTGTGCCCTTTACGTCAAATAGAATTTGTTTCTGAAGATAATTTAGACAGGTTATTCTGGTTAGACAATGACTGTGTATTTACCATTACAGTTGTAACATTAATTATGTTATTAAATTTGAATCAAATTCAGGGTTGTTTCTTAACAGGTTCATTTTTCATTTTGCGAAATTACAACTTAAATGTTGATTGTATCGCCCTGGACCAATCTGTGTCCTTTTATGGTGCAAGACATCCTCCTTAAAATCCAGAAATCTCTTCAGAAATCTCGGCAAAGAAGCCGAATGTGAACAAGTCGAATGTTTCTGGACCTACAATAATCTCCCTTGGATATTCAGTAACCCCGACAACATAATTACCCCTGTGGGCGTTGCTTACAATATCAAGATTAGTCATTTGCTCTGTCTCGTCCAGATCTGGACTCGATTATTTGCATGGCTTTCATATAGATGAAATGTTGCTAGTTGCGGAGGTTAACAAAACACATATTTCGTTCATTTAAATGTAACATTTGAGTTTTATATAAGGATAGAATATACACAAGTTCAGTTGAATGATTATATTCATTTTGGTCTCATTGTCTAGTCCAAACATTAATGATGTACACACGAGGGTTGGTTAATAAGTTCTAAGCCTCACAGGGGCACGGGTGGCCCAGTCGTCTAAGGCGCCGCGATTCGCTGTGCAGAGTTGCGTCCCTTGGGCACGCCAGGAAACCTATGATTGTGGGTTCGAATCCCGGTTCGCCCCTAATATGTTTCTAGGTTTGTCAGCACCATACCCGTGCTCGTGGGTTTCACCGAAGTGGTAAACGTCTGAGACCTGCATCACTTCGGGCTTTCCTCCCACATTAAGCTGACACGTCGTATTATGACTGGAATAATGTTAAGAGCGGCGTTAAACCCAACTCACTCACTCACTCTAAGCCTCACACAGAAGAAGTTGAGTAATAGTGAAATCTTTTGTAGTGGACATAACATGATGTCATAAAAGTGTTTCCTCACAAACTTGAGTCAAATTAGCAAATTGTTTCTCGTTGACAAGTCAGTAAAATGGGTAGGTGTCTGTGACCTTTAAAAAATGGATAGACTTGACTGCCACGACAGTATGTGTATGTTCTGAGCTCCCAAGAAAATCAGTACATTTTCTTAGCTTTGATGTGTGTGGACGTATTGATCTTGGACTGTTGGGCTGTTGTGGTGATGCGGGTCTCCCAAACCATGGACGATCTCTTTTGTCCCCATGTTACAGTTATCCTGCCCAAAATTGGGAAATTATGCTCTGGACAGCGTTGAATGCAGTTACTTTTAATTCACGGGCTCCAAATCTACCAAGGGCGTTATTTCTCGCATTATTGTTGAGACATGGCATGACTTTTTTCAAAGTTTACTCAACTGAATGAATTCTGAAAACGACGTGATACATGGTGACAAATGCAATGATTTTAACGATGTATACCATGAAGTACTTATCAACCCATAAGTACCCTGCCGGAATTCCGGGTCATCATAGTTTCCTAGCCCAATAATGGTTCTTGTAAAAGCTAAAATGAGGAGCTTGTGGCCAAAATTATCATGTTAGACTGTGTCATCGTCCCGACGATGTGGATCATTGGTCATGCTCCCAACCACTGGTCACACTCCACTATTTACAGGCGGCAATATTACAGCTCCAATCTTGCGGACCATTGCTCATGCTCCCAACCACTGGTCACACTCCACTATTTACAGGCGGCAATGCTACAGCTCCAATCTTGCGGACCATTGCTCATGATCCCAACCACTGGTCACACTCCACTATTTACAGGCGGCAATACTACAGCTCCAATCTTGCGGACCATTGCTAATGCTCCCAACCACTGGTCACACTCCACTATTTACAGGCGGCAATACTACAGCTCCAGTCTGACGGACCATTGCTCATGCTCCCAACCAGTAGTCACACTCCACTATTTACAGGCGGCAATACTACAGCTCCAATCTGGCGGACCATTGCTCATGCTCCCAACCACTGGTCACACTCCACTATTAACAGGCGGCAATACTACAGCTCCAATCTGGCGGACCATTGCTCATGCTCCCACCCACTGGTCACACTCCACTATTTACAGGCGGCAATACTACAGATGCAATCTGGCGGACCATTGCTCATGCTACCACCCATTGGTCACACTCCACTATTTACAGGCGGCAATACTACAGCTCCAATCTGGCGGACCATTGCTCATGCTCCTACCCACTGGTCACACTCCACTATTTACAGGCGGCAATACTTCAGCTCCAATCTGGCGGACCATTGCTCATGCTCCCAACCACTGGTCACACTCCACTATTCACAGGCGTTAATGCCACAGCTCCAATCTGGCGGACCATTGCTCATGCTCCCAACCACTAGTCACACTCCACTATTTACAGGCGGCAATACTACAGCTCCAATCTGGCGGACCATTGCTCATGCTCCCAACCACTAGTCACACTCCACTATTTACAGGCGGCAATGCTACAGCTCCAGTCTGGCGGACCATTGCTCATGCTCCCACCCACTGGTCACACTCCACTATTTACAGGCGGCAATACTACAGCTCCAATCTGGCGGACCATTGCTCATGCTCCCAACCACTGGTCACACTCCAATTTTTACAGGCGGCAATACTACAGCTCCAATCTGGCGGACCATTGCTCATGCTCCCAACCACTGGTCACACTCCACTATTTACAGGCGTTAATGCCACAGCTCCAATCTGGCGGACCATTGCTCATGCTCCCAACCACTAGTCACACTCCACTATTTACAGGCGTTAATGCCACAGCTCCAATCTTGCGGACCATTGCTCATGCTCCCACCCACTGGTCACATTCCACTATTTACAGGCGTTAAGGCCACAGCTCAAATCTGGCGGACCATTGCTCATGCTCCCAACCACTAGTCACACTCCACTATTTACAGGCGGGGCAATACTGCAGCTCCAATCTGGCGGACCATTGCTCATGCTCCCAACAACTGGTCACATTCCACTATTTACAGGCGGCAATACTACAGCTCCAATCTGGCGGACCATTGCTCATGCTCCCAACCACTAGTCACACTCCACTATTTACAGGCGGCAATACTGCAGCTCCAATCTTGCGGACCATTGCTCATGCTCCCAACCACTGGTCACACTCCACTATTTACAGGCGGCAATACTACAGCTCCAATCTGGCGGACCATTGCTCATGCTCCCACCCACTGGTCACACTCCACTATTTACAGGCGTTAATGCCACAGCTCCAATCTGGCGGACCATTGCTCATGCTCCCAACCACTGGTCACACTCCACTATTTACAGGCGGCAATAATACAGCTCCAATCTGGCGGACCATTGCTCATGCTCCCACCCACTGGTCACACTCCACTATTTACAGGCGTTAATGCCACAGCTCCAATCTGGCGGACCATTGCTCATGCTCCCAACCACTGGTCACACTCCACTATTTACAGGCGGCAATAATACAGCTCCAATCTGGCGGACCATTGCTCATGCTCCCTACCACTGGTCACACTCCACTATTTACAGGCGGCAATACTACAGCTCCAGTCTGGCGGACAGAGGGGTAAACTATCTTCAGTGAACCAGTTCAACTATTTGCGTATTTACGCAACAGAAACAATGGAAACAAAAGCATAAAAAAACGTCGCCCAATTGTAATAAAGAAGTTGCTCATCCATAACAATTTTGTCTTAGTTACCAACTTCTAAATGCCACTAAAAGAAGTCATAAATAACATTGACATTATTCCTATTCCCAGCTCCTGTTTCACCACCTCGCGTTGGTAATTACTATTTACACCTTGCTTATGAAGGGCAACTGTCTGTCTGAATTCGAAATCTTATCTTTTTTTAATACAGATTAGTGCAGAGGCTGCCATAATTTCGACATATGCATTTTGCCCAGATCTACAGAAGACACTGAAAGGTTTCATTAATGTTGTTGTGATTTCCAAAGAAACTAATAAATAAATAACCATGACTAAGGTATTTCCTGCGACTCTCATGACCGTACGTGGTAAATCTGCTACGTCCGTTACTATAGTGATTTTAATGTGCTGTTGTTCATAATATGAATAATGTATTATTTGAAAATAAACTTTTGTTGTTTTAAATATTCTTTTGTTATAACGATTGATTATTAGTAGTGTAAATAGTATATGTAGTTATAACCTATTTACACAAAACCGGAACCAGGTCGCAGGGTTTACATACACATGTTAACTACATTTTCAAGCTTGATTTCCTAAGTTCGTTACCCGGTACACTGGCAGCGGTAATTGAGTTCAAATGTGTGACAACCCACGGCACTGTTCAGGCACTTTCACTTTGTGATCACATTCCTCTCCTAGGCCAGATGGGGGCACGGGTGCCCAGTCGCCTAAGGCGAGGCAATTCGCTGTGCAGACTTGCGTGCCTATGGTTGTGGGTTCGAATCCCGGTTCTCCCCGATTATTTTTCTAGGTTTGTCAGCACCATACCCGTGCTCGTGGGTTTCACTGAAGTGGTAAACGTCTGAGGCCTACATCATTTCGGGCTTTCTTCCCACATTAAGCTGACACGCCGTGATATAATTGGAATACTGTTAAAAGCGACGTTAAACCCAACTCACTCACTCACTCAATCACTCACTCCTAGCGCATATAAAGTCATCCACGTCACTTGCTATCACAATCCCACGATTCTTTCAGTGCTCTATCTTAACAATCTAGCTTATCGAAATGTTATATCATTGAAAATGTCCCACCTCGATGATTCCGGGTTAAAATAGGCCCCCGTCAAGATCGGGTGGTCATAACGACGGCGTCAATGAAACCCCAGTTCGAGTGAGTGAGTGAGTTGGGCTTAACGCCACCGTGTTTGATCAGTGTACCAGTCGCGACGTGTCAGCTTGATGTGGGAGGAAAGCCCAAAGTGATGCAGGTCTTAAAAGTTTTCCATTTGGTGAAACCCACGAGCACGGGTATGATGCTGATAAACCTAGAATCATAGATTTCTAGCGTGACTCAATTAACTTATTCTAAGATTAAGTCCTTTTTTATATTAAATCTAAATTATCCTTACGTTTGCTTTGTCGCATTATGTGTATACCATCATTGGGTTCCTTGACAAGATTATCAAGATTTTGCTGTTATAATATATAATTAAAGGATTGAGAATGAGAAGTGTTTAGCATGAACCCTGTAAAGACACACTGGCAAAAATACTGTGTTACTAAATCTGAATAAACTGCTTTTGATATATCAAAAGGCGGAATAAGTTCATTAGCTAGCCTGGCTGGGGAGATGAATATGAACTTCAACGCACAGTCACTGCTATCATAACGTCATGGGGAGAACTTGAATGATATTGTAGGCAGCTGGCACGTCACCCTTGATTGCGATAACGATCGGAGAAAAACGTTGTATATGTGGATTGATTAACTCTGTCAATCCTCATGACAGGATCGAAAATGTAAGTAAGTCTGAACCTGTTCTGAACATCGAAATGAAGGACGGGGAACATGTTGATGACAATATTCCTCCGTTGGGAGGAAACGGGGAACGTAGCGCACATAAACTTTCCAGAGAACCCCCGAAGATATCCGATGAAGACTCTCCCTTGTTGGACTCCATGGGGAATATTAAGTCCTACAAACGCCGGTGGTATGTTCTGGCGGTGTTTTCGCTTGCTGGTTTTCTTCAGGCTGGGGTTTGGAACGTTTTCGGACCTATTGCTCAGTCAGCTAAGGCTGTGTTCGGGTGGACGGATGCCAATATAGGCATGCTGAACAACTGGGGGAATATTATGTACGTTGTGTTCATGTTTCCAGTGGCCTGGCTGGTGGATGTCAAAGGTAGGAATCTGCACTTGATGTATGTTACAAACGTTTACAGCCACTGTTCACGCTCATATGCACTTTTGTAGACCTCATTATGAGTGTTGACAAAAACAGCTTGAAAACATCATAATCAACATGACTTGCTTGTAGAATTGAAACTACTGCGTTAATGCGTAACTCCTATATTTTATATGTGCACCGTTTGACATGAAGAAATTTATTCATTATAATCTAGATAAGATTTATTGGTTTGGTATGAATACGCTACGCAGCGTGTTGGTACAAGTTCGAGCAGCCACACACATATAGACACGCACACACGCACACACGCACACACGCACACACGCACTCACTCTTTATTCTCTTACATGAATGCCCGAACGCACACACACTCATATTTGAGGGGTCGCCTTCCAATGACAAAAGAGTGAGGGAGTATGATTTTATGCCGGCTTTCGCAATATTTCAGCCATATAACGGCGAGGGACACCACAAATGGGCTTCACGCATTGTAACGGTAATCGAACCCGGGTATTCGGCGTGACGAGCGAACGCTTTGACCACTGGGCTTCCCGAAAGCCTCCATTGACAAGAAAACATATATACTGATGTTATATTGGTCACATACTGAAGATGCTATTGGTATTTTTTTCATCTTCGAAATCATTCTTTCTTTTTCACATTTGTAGATTTGTTTAAGATTTAGATATGTGTCACGGTGATTAGTCACTTATTCTTAACAGAACTTTAAGACGTATTTATCCTACTCTAGGACTGCGGATATCAATGCTGTGTTGCGCTGTGCTGCTGGTGTTTTTGACGGCCATGAGGTGCATCACGAGTGACCCAGTACACGCTACATGGTCAGTAGTCAGTGTGACAATGCGTACCGTTTGTGACAAAAAAATTATAATAGGATAATTCAGTGTACATTATATTTGGCGCCAGTGTGAGTCTCATATTTGATACTCAATTTTATTTTATAGTTGACGCCCTTGAGTATATTTCGTGAAACGCCCAATTGAACAGCAATTTGACTCTGCAGTGTATATCATATTTGACGCTCCAGTGTATAGTACAGGTAACCCCTTAACGTTTATTTTGTGTGACGCCCGAAAGAATAGCATTGTTGACCCCCCAGTGTATGTTGATAGAAATATTTTCCAAAAAATGTTTGTGTGTTAATTGTAACAGATATTTATATATTGTGAATATGTCAGTAGTGCTGGAGATCTATGCGACTGCTTGCAACTGCTAAATAATAGTGAAACGTTGATAACTGTTTGATGGTATTGTGTATTTAATTGTATCGTTTACATGTTTAAAATGCGATGTAATTCGGGACACGGTAGAGCAGAAAGATGCGATGTTCATAATGGAATGTATGTTTATGTTGTTAATTCGTATTTGCTTCGGTTCGCATTCCGTGCTCAAAATTAATGATTACAAAATATTTTTTTAATATAATTGATGGATGAGATAAGCAAATTGAAAATGTATGTTATGGTGTATTTCGTGTATGAAAAGAAACTAATTACCATCATGATAACATACGGTCTTTCGTAATAAAAGTCGTTGCAGCATTCACAAAACATGACATTTGATGTTCTATGTTCAAACAATTTACAAACACTCAATCGTGTGATACAGTTAATAACTTAAAATACCCAGAGATGTTGTTCTCTGGTGTCACGTGTCGATTCCCAATTGAAACAGTGTGCTTACCCAGCAATATGTACGTAAAAGATAAAAACAACCAAAAATGGAATACAATCAACAAATATATTACAGAATTACAGAATCAGTTCACAAAAAATACAATTTGCAATTGCAATGGCAGGACACAATCGAGTGGTAGTACAATATTCAATGATAGTAAATGATATGATGGCAGTGGTCAGTATCCATTTTGGCAGGGAATCCGGGGTGATGAGTGATCTTCACACGAAAGCTGGTCTTGATGTTATGAAATGTGTGGGAGACGAAATGTGTAAGAGATACGAGAGGCACGCTCTTTTTCCCTCACATACAGTCTAACTAGATACTTAAAATTTTCCCCACAGTGTCACAGTCTAGCGGCACTTGAACATGACATAATATTCCACATCAGTCCACGCTGTTCCGGACGTTACCACATCACATTAGCATCTAAATATGGTAACTTCCTCAAGACTGCTTACATTAAACAGTACTTGATTTCTTGATTTCTAATCACTGTCGAAATACAACGCAATGAGCTTCTGCCGAATCTTAACAGAAACACTTTAATACAGTTACAATCATCGTTTAACAATAAAAACACAACCATATTACACTGGTAATACTTGCATGGTATTGATATAAATTGTCAATGCAAGAGAGGAACAGTCCAGATCATCTGCCGAAACAGATTCCATTTGGCTTAAAATGCAAAATAACTGTGAGAAGTATATGAATGGACCACAGAAATCAGTGATGACACCAGGTTTTCGCGAAAAGGGTAAGCATGCCCTGCCCAACCGGTAGCACCCGCCATTCACACAATGTTCATAAAAATGTAAGTATTTATTGCTAATAAACGAATTGGGTACACATTACAATCGGTAGTAAAGTGTGAGAGTGTGTGTTATGACCGCCAACGATCTAAATTGATGATAGGAACAAGATGGGAAATTTCAAAGTTGACGTTTTTTGATCAGCAGTGCGTGATACCACCACGTTTTGTCAAACATTCATTCAGTCGACGAGGCATGCTGACTACGAGTTTCCTAATGGTAATTTGAGGAAGTCTGTCCAAATCTCTTGCATCGCCTGGTCAAGTTCAGCCAACGTGGTCTGCGGCCTATGACGTTGACGCACACGTCTCATGTCCCAGACGTGTTCAATTTGGGAAAAGTCTGGGCTCATTTCTGGCCGTGGCATTCTATGAATGATGTGCTGCTGGAGGTGAGCATTGGCATTTCGTGCACGATGAGCACGACGTTCTCGTCCTAAAAGACAAAATCAATCAATCAAAAGAAGTTTATTGTACAAAAGGCCTCCGGCCCATATACAAGAAAGAGTTAGGCATGTAGATCAATCATATATGTTACACGTTGGGATATACACGTTGTTTGATTAATTTCTTTTGGCTAATGCATGCTTAATATAAAGAGAAAGATTTAATATATTTGATTCGTTCTTTGTCGTCAGCATAACTACAAAGGCGTTTATCGGTGACATTGCTATTAAATAATCTTTTATATTTTTCTTTCGGAGATCATTGTAAAATGGACAGACAAACACAAAATGAAATTCATTTTCTATCTCTAGATTACACAATGGACAAACTCTTTTCAGTTTTTCAATGGACAATTTTCTTCCTTCATTTACAAATAGGTCTAGCAAACCAAGTCGATATTTAATTAACTGTTTTCTTAAGTTTTCCGTTGTGAGTACTGATAAATATATTTCTGGTTGAAGTAAAGTCTTGAAAGTTTTGTAATATTCATACCGTGAACTATCCTCTAAAGTGGAGTGCAATTCTTGGTAGAACATATGTAAAGACCGATTCCGAAATTCATTAAGAAACATATTTACATTTCCAACTGACTGACAGCTATGTACAACCAAAACCATGCGAAAATAAAAGATTTCTTATATGCGATGTCCAAGTATTCTTTCCCATGTTAGAAGCATGTTAGAAGCTTATTTGGGGAGACGTTGTTCATGCATGGGAAGGATTTTAAACTAGTATTTTAAACATCTGATCTGTGAGTTATAATATAATGGGTATCTACCACATTCACCATAACCATGCAATTTGGTGTAGAAGATCCAACACAAAGAAACTTTTTACATGCTAATAAGTGAACCTTCTCTAAACAGTCATAACGTTGAAATCCCCATACTTCAAAACCATACAATACAATTGGTTGTATCTGGGTATCAAAAAGCTTAAAGAAGATATTAGGTGACATCGATCCAACTTTATGAGCAATAGACATTACACTTATTAATGCTCTCTTTGCACGCAAGGACAAGTCAAGGGTACATTTTTTTTCCAATTCATTGTGTGTGAGAACTAGATTCCTAAATATGAAAAGTGATCTACTATATTGAATGACTGACCATCGAATGACCATCTCTCTTTCGACGCTATTGGACCACCTTTTCTGAAGATCACAATTTTAGTTTTTTTCCAAATTTACTGATAATTTCCATTCTTTCGTGTATGTACTTAAAACATTTAATTGCCTTTGTAGACCAACAACAGTATCTGACACTAGAATGACATCATCTGCGAAAAGTAACATTAATATTTCTATCAAATCTGGAAACATTGGATACCATGTTTATCACTGGCAGCTATTTCGTAATATAATTCATTAATGAAAAATGAAAATAAGATCGGACTCAAATTAGCCTTGTCTTAGTCCTAAAGGACAATTAAACTATCCCAACAGCGAACACATAACCTCAAACTAGAATACATTGATTTTAGAATAGTAAACATTTTCCCACGTAAACCAGCTTTACGTAGACATGTCCATGGCTTAAAGTGATTAACAGAATCAAAAGCCTTTTTAAAATCTACAAATGCTACATACAGTTTTCTTAAAATGGCTAAGCCACTGCGATTTTGTTATGTTATCCGTAGCAGAAGATCTATTCTTAAGAGATCGTACTTGTTTCCAGAACGCAGAAGGGTTGTTAATGGACTTTTTCAGTTTGTCTTGTCTATGTCTACGCATATCAAATTTGTATTTCTGACAGCAACTTTTATATATATTCTACTTTCGCAATATTTCTTTCTGTCAAGACTGGTACGAGTTGTTCTAAATCTTCGTAGTGCTTTGCGGGCGTTACGCCTTGCAATTCTACATCCAGTATTAAAAGTTTTAGTTTTATCCATATTCAGTTTTAATTCTTTTCTCATACAAGCTGCTGAAGTTAGCATAATTTCAACAAAGTCATCAATTGCCCCCTCAATATTATTATCAAGTTTATCTAGAAGTAACTGTTTAAAATATGTTATACTTTCTCGTAGTTTGCTCAGAAAGTTGTTCTAAAGTTCGTCATTCCATATTAGTTTCTTTTTAGTGACACCCTCATATTTTAATTTGGTATGTGTTTGATTCATACTAGGCAACTTACAAGTCAATTCCAAAGGTAATGATCAGATTCTAGACGATCGCCAATATTCAACATCTTAATATAATCGAAGAAATCGGGGGAACATATAAAATAATCATTAACGCTCGCACCTTGGTTTCCACAATAGGTAAATTATCCAAGGGTATCCCATACACTCTCACATTGACAATAAACAAGTGAAATGTATACAACATATCTAGCAGCATCTGACCAAATTTATTAATAACGGTGTCATGGGATTTCCGATCTCCAACACATACGTTTTCATCTTCTGGGAATGGACAGTTATTATGAACAAAATCGTTTTGTATATCGACAAGAGGATTGTTTTGTTGACCAGTACGAGCACTCATATCTCCACAGGCTACACTGATAGAATCTTTAAGCTGCGACTGATTATTTAACATGAACTCTTCAAGATGATCAATACTACAGTTTGAGACCACATGGTTATAATACGGCGAGCCAGCTGGTGGTATGTATGTACATAGCAAGTTTACATTTTTGTCAATTGTAAGTAACACTTTTGATATGTTCAAGCACAAGAGATTATCAACATCTGATTTAACTAACCTACACAATTTACTGACGGTATGATGGACACATACACAAATACCACCTGACAGCCTTCCGTAGTCAGATAATTTTATTGCTGGACTATAATAAATATCACAACCAACTAACCAGTTAATATCAAAACTACAGTCGACAAATGATTCCACAAGATATGCTATTTTAAATTGTTGTAAGTATGATATAAAATCAGCATCATCGATTTTGTTTCGAAGTCCATTAATATTCCAACTTAGAAAGTGAATGTTTCGCTTGGACAATCAACGTTTAACGTAACACCGGTGTTCATAGTGTTAGGACAAAACGTCTTCCCACATAGCTTGCAAATTGGACAACAAAGGGTGTCAGTATATTGTCCCGATAGTACTGCCCAGTGACCCTTCCCTGCACAATCTGGAGTGGTGTTCGCTCAGTCATAGTGATGCCACCCCGCACCATAACTGATCCACCACGTATGTATGGATATCTTGTTTTGAGGTGAAATTACATAAAAATACACCAATATCTGGCAATGATTTATGTGGCAAGAACATTTTCTAAGAAATGAAGCTCCCAAACACAACATTGTGGGAGTCATGAAGCACGTGACCTTTGACAGCAATTGCATGGGAGTGGTGAGCCAAATTCACCATTGTCACTCAGACACGGTTGTGAGCAGACGCATACTGTTTTCTTTCTTTAAAACACATGTATTCAAAAAGATATTCCGTAAAAAGAAGAGTCGATTGTACCGATTTCATCATGAGCATGCGTTTATGAATCACTATCAAATAGTGATGATGCCAGGTGTTGGCGAAACGGTAAAACATTTTATAAGCTTTATTGGGGCATTGAATGTTGTAATTCTGCTCAAACAACTCTTAAACGAGAATCGTACGGGCTTGACACACAATAAAGGGAGACAATTTGCGGGGAGAAAACTCTAGTATGACAATAGCCCTGTGAAAGTGTTATGTTCACCTCAGTGGAATATTAGGTGTTGTGTTCACTGCAATGAAAGTATCACTTTCCTCAACTTCGGAAAACTCTATCACACTGAAGATTATAATAAATGCATTAATCAGAATGTAGTATGTTGTTGCTATTTTGTTGCAAGTTGCAAAATCATTTACTGTAACAACTTGAACTAATGCATAAAAAACGAGGGGGATACCTATGTTTTAAGAGTTGAACACATTCATGTTTTAATGAAGCTTTTGAATCCAGTACACAAGCGGAATGAACATGTTTTCATGTCTTAGAGTCATGCCCGAAATTCATTGTACTGATGCCTGGGTTTGGCAGATTTCAGAAGAAAACATGACATCAATTCTTTAGGTCAGTCACCTATTCTAGTTGATTCAAAACAGATTCATGTTTTCATGAAGCTCTGAAGTTTACCTTGTGATATAATGACAGTTTTTCTGCTTTCAGGTTGATAAACATTGCAGCAATTGTGAACGGTGCGGCTAGCATTGTGCCCTTCGCCGGCCCCGCCCTCTTCTCTGCCACGTGGTTTCCCCCTAACCAGAGGGCAACTGCTACAGCCGTGTCAACTGTCTTCAACTACATCGGCATATCTGTCGGCTTCATCATCGGTAAACAAATCACTGACAAGCAAGTTGTACATCAGCATTTGTTTCAAATACGTTCTTTTGATATCGTAACAAATGTTCAGACACAGAAAAAGATAATTATATAGAGAATTATTTTGTTATGAAACTGACATTGTACAATACTTTAAAGAACCAAACCTGAATAAATATACATGTGACTAGTCGACACCTGATATGGCACATATACTATTCGTTACGTCTTCGCATATAAAATATAACTTCCTTTTTGATGGATATTCAGACCGCCTCCGTGGTCTATTGGTAGAGCCCGGAGAGCGGAAGGTCCGGGGTTCGATCCCAAGCCGCGTCATACCAAAAGACGTTAAAAGATGGTACTTGTTGTTACCCTGTCTGGCGCTCGGCATTAAGGGGCTAAAACAAGGACTGGTCGGCTCGGAGTCAGTATATGTTATCAAACTAACCTTTATAAACACCAACGTAGTTGCAGATCGAAATTGTTGTCTAATATTTACAAATCGTAACTATTTTTCAAATTTAAAATGTTGTTTAAACAGTGAATACAGTACGGCATATTTACCATTCATTACATTTTCACTTCACCTTTGTTGAAAGCATTTTTTGTCCTTTTAGTGTACAATAGATAACAGACCATGCTTATCCCAGACCAACCTTGAAACGTATTTACTCGATAAATGTGTCTCAGTTATTTTTATTACGGGTATCGCGTGTGATACAACTTGTTTAATACCTTTTATGGATAACGACATGGGCATGACTATAAGGTTTAAGCCAATAGGTAAAAACATAAACAGGAAATCGTCCACATTCTCCAAGTACATTATCAGTTTGTGTGGGGATTCGTATACCAAAACAACGCTTACATGCTTGTAAAGGTACCTGTCTGAACATTTGTACTTTCGAACACCCCACATTTCCCGTTCATACAATACAATAGGCAGTCAAATACTTTAAAGTTGATATAACATGATGAAATTTCAAATATTAAAAGATTTCTGTGCCTTATAAGTACCTTCTTTGCTTTTAAAGCTATATATTCTACTGATGATTGCCATGTAAGACTTCTGGGAAATAACATACCTAAAGAATTATATGAAGGCAATACCTTCAACGAAGAACGTTCAATATTCTGTTTTTTGAAAGTTTCCCCCATATTTCTGAAAACAACAATTTTTACTTTGTTTAGTTTGACCTGGAATTACCATGAATCATAAATATGGTCTAAAATGTCAATATGTTTTTGGAGTCCAATTACAGTATCTGACAAAAGAACAATACCGTTCGCAAACCAAAGGAGAAACAATTCCAGTAGGTCTGGGAGTAACTGTATACCATTTGTACATGTCGATGTTACTTCAAGTAGTTTGTAGTTTGTGATAGGACCTGATGTTTATTGCTGCTACCAAATATTTGAGCCATTGTATGATTGTAAACCCAATCCTGTGTATTTCAATATAATTTTAGTGTTTATTGATCTTGTGTTGGTATTTACTGATTTCACAATCTAGTTCTGTATGTACCGACTTCTGGATCAAATTTCGCGTTTCAATTTGAAAATCAACACGTAACAATACAAACATTGTAACCAGATACATTTAACGGTACCACGGGGACTGTAGTACTCCTTGTACGGGTCTCAGTAGGATTACACATACAGATAAAATATAAACCTGGCTCATTGAACTTACCTTGAATACTTAATGTTTCTGTTGGTCTCATTGCTATGTCCCTTGTGTTTTAAATGGGACATGTAGAGTGTTTCTCCTTACTCAAAGGAACACATGTGGTCACGTAGTCTAAAGATATGCATCTTCCCGAGGCAAGAGAGTTAACTGACTTTTAAATCCAGTTTCCACCCTTGCCGAACTAGGCTGGAATTACTGGGCTCGATCGTAGCGCCACCAGTGGCTATTACCAGCTATGTCCCTTCTGAGCCTCTCCTATGGACCAATCAGATTCCACCACTCGTATCACTTGCGTTTGCTTCACACAAAATGGTGGCGCCTAGTCAGGACGATCTGATCGATAATCAAGATCTATATTGTGATAAAACGGGTCTTACATCGCGAAATGCATCAAATCACGTGAGCACATTGATTAAAATTATGAAAAGATTTGGAAAATATCTGCTGACAACGAGTTGGCGGTGCCAGTGCTTTGCAAACCCTGCAATCGACCGAAATCTGCACGACGGTTTACGAACCGGATTTCGATTTCGGAGCGCGATTTTGATTTGACTATGCATAGACTCATTAGTCCAGCCAAAATGTAACTCCATAATACCAGCCTAGTTCGGCAAGGGTGGAAACTGGACTTTTATTGTCACTTAACTCTCTTGCCTCGGGAAGATGAAAGATATGCTACTCCTTGTGTAGCGTTGCCCCTCTTATCGGCTAGGACCGTCTGGGTACAATGCTATAAAAATCAGATCTCGATTCCCGCTACCGCTAAACAAAGATCTGAGGACATCCCATTACGGGTCACGTCAGAATGACTTTTCGTCAGAGCGAAGCTTACCAGATCGTGAAAGTGACAATCGGAATGTGTTTTCTAATCATGCAACCTCGAAGAGGTTCACAAGCGGTATTCTGAACAACATTTACGGGCTGTTCGACTGATTAGTCAAATTCATTGTCAGTCTCTCGCTTCAATGGGATAAACATTTTAAACGGACTAGACTTTTCATAGCCCGTGGGAAGTACTGCCATACAACCACGGCTATGTTTTAGACATTCCAGAAATTTTCTTGTGTACAGTTTTCAAATTTTGAATCACTATTTTTCCAAGGTTAGTCTAGAATAGATGTCGCGATGTTGAAACCAGTGCCGTAAAGCTCGAGAAAGCTGCTTTCTGATTGACTGATGTCGAGTTCCTGTTAGTCGGTTTTATTGGTCGGTCAAAGTTTGCGAAAGGTCGTTCTGACGTGACCCATAATGGCATGTCCTCAGATCTTTGTTTAGCGGTTCGTTAAAGCTTCGTTCGTAGCTTTTGAGGTACAGTCAAGCATGCTCTTTCTACGGAACTTTTAAGACGTGTCATATGTTCTTGTTTGGAGGTTGTTTGTTCGGGGATACAATGTTCAAAGCTTCTCAGTGAAGCTTTCAAAACGTTTTGTGAAAGGCATGTGGAGGACATTTCTAAATTTGACGCATTAGTGACAGAAATGATGTCCAAAGCAATTACTGTGGTTGTTTTTCAGGTGATAAATTTGTGTTTGTGACGGGTGCCTCTGGTAAGGCGGGTTACGCTACAAATATCTTGTAGAACATTGGATATATTCGCTGTTTAATATTGATTTACATGCTTACGGCATCGTACAATGGACGTTTTATATGATTGTGGAAATAGTTTCGTCGCTTTCTTTATTCTCATCTCAAGAATCCTTGTGTCGACAGGTCCGCTATTGGTGCCACAACCAGATGAATCACCCTTGAACATAACCGACATGCCACCTATAAAGTAAGAAGCGCCTGCCTTGTGTGTCACGCACACAGCCCACCCCTCTATGTCTACACCCACTGGTTCCCCTGCAGCTCAACGACTTCATCCCGCAATTCCCATCTGTATTTCCACAACTCTATTTATCATCTCTATCCCTTTTACATCATCCCAACACCCCTAACACCCACCCCAGCCACTTTCTATCTACCCACGTACCCTTCTATTTTTTCACACTTGCCGTAATAGTCAGTGTTCCTTGTTGCAGTTCGTCAAGTCAGGGGAACTCCAATCCATTCAGTCTGACACCACACGCTAACCTGTCGGAGGTGAGAAGCGGCATCATGAGGCTGATGTATACAGGTGATCAACGTTTTCTGCTTACATTGTGAATCAAACCTTTATAAATAGCAAAATGATCGGGTGTCATTTTAATCATACAATAAATGCATTTTCTTTCTTTCGCGTAATACATGCATATCTCCTCATTGGTTCATTGGGGTAGTCCAGTGGTAAACGTGTTCCTTCGTCACACCTCAGGTCCAGTTTCGATTACCGCTTGGATGCAATTTGTGAAACCCTTTCTCAGTGCCCTTTACATATATTGTGAAGATATTGCTTTAATTTTGCATCTCCTGCTCTTTGGAGTAACAGTTTTACTCTTGCGTCAATCACATCAAGATTACATTTGTAAAGCTTCTTAACACAATTATATTTTGATGATATTACTACTAAGTTGATACTGTTAACTGTGCTGTATACAGAATGTGCGGCTTGTGTGCTGCTGCTGCTCCTGGTGGTGGTGTACTTCCCCGCCAAGCCCCCCTCTCCCCCCAGCCTCACAGCGTCCATAGAGAGGCCAAGCTACTTACATGGGCTCAAAGGACTATTCACGTAAGACATTCATCTGTTTGACAGGAAATCCGTTTTGCCAATAACGACTACCGTTTTTGTAGCCATACATGTGAAGAGGTTTACATAAATTACAATTAATTTAATTTGTAGACCATCTTAAATGGGAATGTGCACTGTAAATCATTCGGCCCAATCTAAAGTCAGTCAGAGGTGAAATATAACTATTAGAAAGGTCCTGTGGTGACATGTATAGTTTTAGGAGGTTTGTATGATCAGCACTTCTGATGGGTGTTTTTACAAACTTTTAAACAACCTATTTCCCCGCTTAAACAAGTCTTACATCCTAACTAACCTTTTCCTTCTTTGGACAGTCAAGTGTATTTGTTGTTACTAAAAACTGGATTGTTATCAGTCCCCCGTGATATTGTATAGCTATTTGTCGGTTTGAAAGAATGGTAAAACAATCCTCCAGTGTGAGGTTTGAGAGTGTAAACCATCGCGACAAAAGGCCCCCCTTTCCCTGGAAGAAAGTATGATGGACCGCAGCTACAGCTACAGCTAAATCAACTCCATACTGTGTCATTCAAATGTCTGCGTGATAGTTTAACCTGTGCAGGCATAAACGCTTCTGGGTGATAATGGTGGCCTACAGTGTACCAACGGGAGTTTACGTGGAGTTTGCGGCAATTCTGGATGTCATTCTGAATGGAGTCGGTGTATCACAGGTAATAATAATTATGAGGTGAGGTGAGGTGAAATTGGGTTTAACGTCGCGTCCAAGATTATTGCACTTATATAGCGACGTGCATGCACATGTGTGTGTGTGTGTGTGTGTGTGTGTGTGTGTGTGTGTGTGTGTGTGTCTGTGTGTGTGGTTGCTTGTACAAGTCCGGACTGATGCTGATTTATAGTGCTAGCACACTGAGATACCATGCCGCAGTTCAACATGATTACCCCACTCAGACACAGTATACTGACTCTGAGCCGACCAGTCCTTGCTTAGACCTTAGCCCCTTAATGCCAAGCGCCAGACTGGGTAACAACAAGTACCATCTTTTAGCGTCTTTTGGTATGACGCGGCCGGGGATTGAACCCCGGACCTTCCGCTCTCCCGGCGGACGCTCTACCACTAGACCAAGGAGGCGGTCTAATAATAATGAGGAGGATGTAGATGATGATGGTTGACATAAGTAGTGCGCCATATCCCGAATACAATAATGACAGTAAAGACGAAAGAATCTTTCAAGGACTGTTTTGAAACAGACTAGAGAATTCCAAAGTGTAGCAGCTGTATAGGCAACTGTTTCGTGGGTTCAAGCTTTGTGTAGAATACACGTGTTACACAATATTGGGTTGTAAATGGTTACAATGTATGAGGCCCGTTTCCTATGTCTTTCGTTATATTATTGGACTACTTCCAAAAGCGGCCAAAGCACTCAATCGATAATGAATATGTCAATTAAGTGCGAAATCAGCTTTTTTGGAAGCATTGTAAATCTACAATCATTCTAAAATTGATTTTCAGTACCATGCCGGTTGGATTGGCTTTTATGCCACGATAGGCGGTTGTGTAGCTGCGATGGTGATGTCCAGGTATGTTCAAGAAGGTCTGGGTAGACTTTGAGACAGACCTTGCAACAAAGGTCGAGCATTCATTTTATGCACCTTGCTCAACATTTGACACATTAGCTTTAACAGAACCTTAGGTACACTTTTGGATCATGCATAATGCCATGTTTGCTGCAACTATTGTTTAATGTCGTGTCCTTTACTTAAAGGATTGCTGACCTGTGTCTACGTCACATGAAGATGATGTTGTTGGTCCTATTCGTCTTAGCAACAGCATCCACACTCTGGTTTGTCCTGCTGCGTCTGTCCTTCATCCCCTTTAGCTTTGGTGAGTAAGTCTGTGTAAATTGTATGTAAAAGGACAGTTGGTTTGAGGTCTGATACATTCATTCATATACGTGCCTGCGGAACAAGTTTTTTACCATGAACCCACGTTATCTTCGTCGAATTGATTTTCTTCTATCAGTTTCACTGTACATCTCCTGCATCCTGATGGGAGTCTTCATCAATGGTTCTATCCCGCTGTTCTTCGAGCTTGGGTGTGAGGCATCATACCCTATCGCCGAGGGCGTCACGGGCGCTGTTCTCACCATGGCCAACAACCTGACTGGTGTCATCTTTCTATCTGTGCTGCAGATCCCAAGAATAGGTAAACCACCAAACAAATCTTCCCAACTGAAATGTCACAAATCCCAGGTGGTGAGGTGAGGGAAACGTCGCATTCAAGATTATTGCACTTATATAGTGACGGGCATGAAGTGTGTGTAGCACTAGTCTCGCCTTATCCGATTTTATAGTGCTAGCCCACTGAGATACCATGACGCAGTTTAATATGAATACCCAACTCAGACACAGTATACTCCGAGCCGACCTTTCCTTGTTTCAGAGGAGACCAATGACAATGACTTTTGGCTTTTCCACGGCTAAGATACCACTGAGCTACATGTATCTCTAAAACTTGTTTGTTCAAACATTGACATACTCAGATTGTATATAACTGAATCCAACGTTCTATTAAGGGTTATACTGAGGAAACCCATAAAAAAACGTTACAGACACACAGGTTTTGATAAACATATGCAAAAGTGTTTTCTATCTTTAAATCCAACATTCCGCAAAGAAGAAACATGCCGACTGGGGGGCATGACTGTACAAATCAACCCCCAAATAATTAATGTTATCGCTTTATCTCTCGTAGGTGTTGCGTGGATGGACTGGTGCATGCTTGGCTCTGTAGCAGCTGCAGTACCCCTACTCCTGTTGTTCACAGAGAAGTACACCCGGACTGACATCGACACACAGAAGACCATTGTTCCAGAGCCTGAAGAGAGAGCTGTTGCGTTGATCAATACAAACAAGAAAATTGGTTGATACGAACACAGCACACATACTGAGAGTGTATTTAAATATGCCTTTGACTCGCAGCTGATAGGTGAATCCGTGGCTTACTGTTTCGTAATGTGGCCTTTTCCTACTTTTTATTGAGATTAACCAACATGCCGCCAGGAAGGAATACTCTGACACTCACAATCACGCATAAAGAGACCTTCCTTCCAGGCATACTCACGACAAGTCTAACCAAATAAACCGTGTACTGACTGTTGTCCATTTACGAAGATATGTATTATATCAAGACTGAGAATACATTTATCTGTTGGTTATGGTGCTGGGTAGCCAACTGATCGCATTTTGCTGCTGTGATGGGACATACTTCGAGAAACTTGTTCTTGGTGCTGACAGTGATACAAGCGTAATTATTACATTGATATGACCACACGTAAGGTAACAGGTGGATAATGAGAGAACTGCAACGATGACCTCTAACGAGCGAGGTTGAAATTAATGTGATACTTGCTGAAGGTTTACAAGTGTTGAACACATCTCGGTGTAGATAACGCTTGCCTGCTTGCCTCCTTAAATGGAAGCAGATTAAATGTCGATCGGAAGGGACGTGTGTTGTATGTACTACTCTCTGTCAGTTGGCTCTGCTAATCACGCATCTTTCTTTATTGGAATAGCTGATACTATTATTTCCTGATATGATTTTACACAAACATCAACAAGCCTTGGTCTCATGATATCTGTGAAATAGCTGACCATGACATCTGTGAAATAGCTGACCACAGAAAACCAATAGGAAAACCGAGTTGGACATACTTCTTTGCCGTCAGATTTGGTTTAACTTCGTTCAAATGTGCTGTTATTCTGAGGATTGTGTGTTCGCCAAACAACATTATACTTTTAATATTGATTCGTTCACAGTAATTGTAAATTTTGAAATGGGTTAAAGCCATTTGTCGAAGTAAGGATGTGAGGATTCCTTGATACTGAAAATACCTAGAATAAAGCACCAAGCAGGGTAATGTGATTGCACCTTGTTTGTTTAATATTATGAAAAATGACCTACTATATTCGCTATCTTTTAATGTTGATGCATTTCAGTTAGCTGATGATGGGACCTTCTGAAGACGCATAGGTCACTTTCCATTGGTACAAAACCTCCTGCGCACCGTTCCGAAAAGCGATCTTAGCGCTACGACTCTCGTAAGCCAGTGTTAAAGAATGGGACTTACAATCACCTTAGCGCTAAGATGGCTTTGTGGGACGGGGTCCTGAACGTAGTTCATAGATGGTGTTGTAATTGGGCTTGTAATATATCTCATACTAAGACGCGGTGATGTTCACAGGGAGAAATACCCTCATAATAAAGAATTATGGTAACGTGATCAACTTTGTTTAAAAATTCAAAACTTCCAGGCATATACTTTGATGAAATGCTGACATTCTTTTCTCGTATGACCAGTATCATTACCAAGCGTAACACATTGCTATATAAAGCTTTGATTCTGTCAAGGGCAGACCTTGTATGTAATATGTTCACCAATGCCTCAAAATGCCGTCTCATAGAACTGGCATTCAATCAAAGGCACAACGACTTTGTATTGAAGTATTCCTGACAATTTCAATAGCTATTGTACAAGCTGAATGTTCGGAAATGCCTTTAAACCTCTGACGCCAAGAACTGACATTGAAATACATGAAAATTAAATCAATGAACGAATATCAATCTGCAACTGAGCGTGTAGAATATGTGATGTGTAATTGGGTTGATGGTACAACCCTAAATCATTTTTGAATCTCATCTCATCCTCGCGAGTCATGGGATTGTGACGATATTGTTCGGATGCAATGTGTGATTGGGCATTAATATGCTGCAATTAGGATGTCGGACAAAAATGTAATAATATATAATGCTTGTTTCTTTTCTTCATTATAGTTCAGTGACATATGAGCATACAATAGACAAAAGTACAGTCAACTATATCACCATATAACTGACTGCCTAATTAATGCCAGCTACTTCATGCCTAAATGACTTGACGATGTTTACAAATATTTTGTTGACATCAGGATTTCGATATGCAATATGGATGTTGGCAATGTGAAGATATTTATTCATCTCTTGAACAAAGATGATTTAATAACCTTCAACAATCATGGTGTTGTTCTCTTAATAGCATATATGATACCTGGGACTGAAGCATTTTTAATCCCTGTTAGTTGTAAAAAAATATCTTTTATTGAAGATGAATTTCTTATATTGCTTGTGTGTGAGCGTTATTCAGCTCAAAGAAGAATATCAAGTCTCAAACAGTAACATCTTTGACTTAAATTATTTCATCTGAAAACGTTGATGTTATATATTACACATGTTTATATTTCTACAAAGTCCAGCCACTAGAGAAACCTTATTGATTACTTCATTGGCACGCGTAGTTCATACAATAAACAGTGTCTGTATAATGGGGCTGTGGACGTTTTACTGAATACACTGTCCGTCTGTCTGTCTGTCTGTCTGTCACATCACAATTATCCTCTGATATTCATTTCCTTTCTTCATCTTTCGCTTGAATCATATACCTACATATCCAGTTCAACTATGGTCCTACATATCATCAAGCTTTAGGTCTCCCTAGCTTGTTCATGTGTTCTGAGAAGAAGTTTCTTGGAGAATTTCAGACTTCCTTCATGCCAATTCCTAAAATAAGAATGTATTTTATGTTATTAAATCTGAGTCCCACTGTTACACACACTTCTAATGTTTCCGTCTCCATTTTAACACATTGTGGTTTCTTATTTTGAGTTTGGATTAATACGATGCAAACTGTTAATATAAACCCACAACTGTCCCACATCCTCCCTGAAATCTGTCGTAAAAAGAAAATGTTGGTTGTTGTAAGTTGCAATGTCAGAAACATCCTTGTTAATCTACATTTTGAGCAGGAAACAGGGCCTGTACATGAATGATATAAATTGCTTTAAGTGTATAAGCTGTTCCAAGATTTCCTTTACAACCGTGATGCCATGAACTGTTTGATAGGCATTCCTTTCCTGCCATGTTTTAGTTCGATACCATGAATGTACCGGCGTGGTCCTTCAGTGGATTAGGAATCTGCTCAGACAAGGACCGTGACGCCTGTCTCAAGCAACTTATACATGCCGTAAGAATCGTCTAAGTTGGTCGGGGGGTCAGGCTTTGTGACGTGGTTAATTGCGTGTCATCGTGCCCCTTTTCCTCATAATATCCATCACAGGAGTGTCTGATTCATGATGGTTTTACTAATATCATTCACAGTCAGGCAAGATAGATTAACCTTTTCAGGGGCGCTTAAGTTATATATCCGCCATTAATAATTAGCGTTTCAAGGCTTCGGAGTCCGCAGCTCCTCTGTGGCATCTCTGGAATGCTGAAACAGGTGGACGGGTAACTTGGCTTGCGAGATTGGATGTTACAGCGGCGCAATTGTTAACTAAACAGGACTCAACAATGTTCATGCGACATGCATTGTATCACTTGACTCCACTTGACCCGCCATATTTCCAACGTCAGTCCTGACCCAAGAAACCACATGAATTCCACCATCGTGTAAACCATATCAAGCCAAAAACAAATTGAGCCAATTGGCATAAATAGTGATCTCCAGTCAATAGTCACCTTCATATCCTATTGCCATTCTGAAACACCTTTCCGTTTCCCCTTTAGCTAAAGATACGACTAAAATGAGAATAAATATGATGTGACATTTGCTGCACCGTGTGATCATACACAGACGATGTGCATAGCTGCTCACGCTCTCAAGCACTGGCATGGTATCTTAGTGGGCTAGTACAAGCAGTCAGACACACACACACACACACACACACACACACACACACACACACACACACACAGAGAGAGAGAGAGAGAGAGAGAGAGAGAGAGAGAGAGAGATACACACATGTGCATCCGCGACTCATGTGAGTGCAATTAAATTGTACGCGACATTAAAGTGACTGTCGAATATTGTAGTACCGCTTCTTATCGGTGATTCAATTGATTCAACTGCCCACAAACGCCAATGTGTAAACCGGTTTTACTAGTTGATCCCCAAGTTGAAACGCGACATTTTATACAGAAATCGGTTCATATAGAATTACAATTTGTGAAATCAGTGAATAACCACACAAGAGTGTTTATTGTTTAACGCAGCAGTCAGCAATATTCCAGTCATCAGGCAGCCATGATACAGCAGTAATATTGTTGACCGAGGGGTAAACCAACGTCGGTGCACTCACTCAACCCTATTTACGAATTCACAAGGAAACAGAGACAATGAAAGTGATAGAAACAAATAACATGAACGGATAGAGAAAATTGACAATGTCATGATTCCGTTTCCTGTCTCATATTTCTTGACAATGGATGAGTGTTGGAAGAGGTCCAAGAATCTGTCAATTCCTGAAAAAAACGATGCGAGGCCTGAATGGGTGTTCCAAATTTTAGACTTATACAAGACATTTTTTTCTCGGGAAGTGGGGGTGGAGGGTGGGGGGTAAAAATAATTAATCAGTACTATCTGTTGTCTTTACATTTTCTGAGTCGTCGATGCCCGTCGAATGCGTTCTCTGTTGCGCCGTCACGAATTGATCGTCACTTTTAAGTAGAGTGAGTGAGTGAGTGAGTAAGGTTTTACGCCGCTTTTAGCAATATTCCAGCAATATCACGGCGGGGGACACCAGAAATGGGCTTCACACATTGTACCCATGTCGGGAATCGAACCCGGGTCTTCGGCGTGACGAGCGAACGCTTTTAACCACTAGGCTACCCGACCGCCCCTTTTAAGTAGATCTGAACCATAGTTATTTTCCCTCCGCCCAGCACTTACTGTATTGCTGAAGCCCTAAAAGAAGGAAGTGTAGATTTCCCTCAGGTTTTGAATCTCGCTAGTGTTCCTTTTCCATTTAAATGGAGATGTTTGTTTCTTTCAATATTATTCACATTGTCACATTTGAAAATGTCCTCCACTTGTCTACCATAACAATTTTTGAAATCTTCACTGGTTTTTAGTTTTGGTTTGTTGTTTAACGCCGCAATCAGCAATATTCCAGCTATAAGACGGCGGTCTGTAAATAATCGAGTCTGGACCAGACAATCTAGTGATTAATATCATGAGCATCGATGCACGCGATTGGGATGAATGACATGCTTCAACCAAGTCAGCGAGCCTGACCACCCGACGGACAAACCATCCAACTAAATCATGTAGATGCCTACTTCTTGCCCAAATGCCCTTTCCCCAAGCTTCACATATGTTTTAGATGAAAAATGAAATGTTTTGACAGAATTAAACTTAGCTCTTTTCGAAGACTGCAACAATTGAGAATCCACATAATATGAATTACACTTGTTCGTCCTTGATTGCATCGCATCAAGGATTATGGTTAACCTGTGAGACAAGGATTTCGTGATATAGTTGCTGGATCCTGCAATATACTACTATTTGTATGGAAGGGGGCGGTGTTTGACGTGCAGTCATGCGTCCCTTCGGTGTACAAGAGTTTCACGAAAATAACTTGAAAGTCACTTGACTTCTTTCCACAACCGCACACCGTGATATTATCCGAAACGCATTTGCAGCTGTATTGCAACCAATTACCTCTCTCGTGTGCAGTATCGGTTATATAAAATCAAATTTCATTTAAGATGCATGTGCAAACATGTCCCATGTTTTAACTTCTAAAACATGATTTCAAGTTGTATGTCCAATAGCATTCAACCAGGGTATGTGAATGAACCAATCAGACTTGTGCTGCGTTCTCAACCTGATAAACCGCTTAGTGTGTGTTCAATTGGATTCAATAAACGTGGTTAACTGAACAGTCGTCGTGTTGTTCCGTGGGTGTCTGGAAATCTGTGTACACATAACAATAAACTAACTGTCTCTATTTGCAGAAGGAAAATAAAGCAGAAACACTTTTTAATTTAATGTAATTATTTGATAACGAAACAAATATCCCTACAGAGCATTCATTATTTATTAATTGAGACCAGGTGTGAACATACCGAGTGTCAAAGAAGGAGGAAGGCAAAACGAATAATCGAAATATTTAATAAACGTGACGCCACGCAAATACTGCCAAAAGGAGGGATTATACCAATCGCGCCCCATGAAGATCCGAGTTAGCTTTGGTCTTCAGCAACCCATGCTTGTTGTAAGAGGCGACTAACAGGATCAGGTGGTCAGACACGCCGACTTGGTTGATGCATGTCATCGTATCCCAATTGCGTAGATCGATACTCATGATGTCATACACTGAATAGTCTGGTCCAGATTAGATTATTTACAGGCCGCCGTCATAAAGCTGGAATATTGCTGATTGTATTTTGTTTAGATAAAAACAAACATACTAACAAAGCACTGCAGCGTGTGATATTGCTACGCTTTCGGCTGGAAACGAAATAGCCCTGGGGCGCGTCAGTAAATGAGGATATAATACATGTGTTTTGCTTTGAATGAAAAAAAGAAGGCATATTTATAACAGAATATTTCTCAAAGATGACATACAAAACCAACGTGCTATTTAGCAAAGGACTGAATGAACACGATTTGTTCATCTAATCGAACACACCTAGTACTAGCTAGAAAAATGAGTTTCTGGGAAGAGCTTGTCTATAAATAACCTGACACGCATTAAGTCGATACTTATTGATAGGGGGCTTTTCGTGGTATTTTATCCACAAAATATAACATAAGTTAGTCACAAACTACGTGTACATTATGCGACATTATCCCACAGAGGTGGAACTGGTATGTTCAGTCAGTTCCACGTCAGGTTTGCATACAGCGAGTAGATCACCATATATGATGGTGGCCGTTCTCGGAATTCGTAACTTCTACTTTGAATTCTAAGAATAAAGATAGATTAATTTCTTGGTAATACTGATAAAGGCGTTTCCAGGAAGGGTTTTGAATTGATTATGGTTTCCATTTCTCTGGATATAGACAGGAGTTATGTGGGGACTATGCTCGTGTTCACTAACGGGACTGACATGTATGTAGCACACATTTACTGCTCCAGAATATATATCTCGTCCCACACTGCACATTATATATGTTGAAATTAATGTGATACTTGCTGAAGGTTTACAAGTGTTGAACACATCTCGGTGAAGATAACGCTTGCCTGCTTGCCTCCTTAAATGGAAGCAGATTAAATGTCGATCAGAAGGGACGTGTGTTGTATGTACTACTCTCTGTCAGTTGGCTCTGTTTGAGCTAATCACGCATCTTTCTTCATTGGAATAGCTGATACTATTATTTCCTGATATGATTTTAAATAACATCAACAAGCCTTGATCTCATGAT